TTTGGGAGGTGGGGGTGGGGGGAAAAGCAGTTGTATGCCCATAAAAATAAGTGACATCAGTTTTCTGATTAATACAGAGGGATCTGATTCTATCTGTGTTTTTTTTTTGGTTGAAATAGTGAAAAACATTTTACATGAAAAAGAAATGGTGGATGTATATATAATTTCCATACTTTTTTTCAACTCACTTTTATCGAAGTCTGTAAGAAGTATTTCTTGTTGCCAACTTGCCTTTTTGGAATATAGTGTATGTATGCTATTGTGATCATTTTCTGAAATGTACACTTTTTAATTTTTAGAATATAAGTTAATGACCAAAGTAGATTGATCATGTTTGAGATAAAAGAGTTTAAGTATGCATACTGTGTTAATGCCTGTATGTCACTGTGAAAATCATAGAAATTTGACATAAAATATTGTATCTAATAATTTATTGTCTAAAAATGGCAGTGGAACTGGAGCACATAGTTTGGAAATAGAGATCATAGAATGTAATATACTTTAATGTAAAATAGTTGAATCTGAAACCTCAAGAAACATTTGTTTAAGAAAAAAAACAGTATTACTATCTGAATGATAAAGCTACAACCTCCAGCATAATTGAAGGTAGCAATAGAAATATCAACATTGCTTGACCAGTGGCGGATTTAAGGGGGGGCGCACCCGGCGCGCGCCCCCCCTAAAATTGTCAAAGTTAACGTAAATCACAGTTTCGTCTAGAAAATGTAAATATGTCTACTTGGTAGACCTCATTTTTACCCTAAAAAATCTCTAGAACCCAGGAGCTGCCGGGGGCTTCGCCCCCTGGGCCCCCACCAGGGCTTTGCCCTGGACCCACTGGGGGCCTCAAGGCGGCCCCCAGACCCCTTGCCTACTTTTGGCGCCCCCCCTAACTTCAAATCCTGGATCCGCGCCTGTTGACAATGATCAAGTGGTATTTCAAAAATTAGTGACTGCACAGAATTTACAGTTCACTGTTAAAGTATTTGTTAAAAGCATTCATTATCATTATCATATAATAAATTCAAATGACAGTAACATGGAAAGTTTTCACCCTGTTAAAGTATTTGTTAAAAGCATTCATTATCATTATCATATAATAAATTCAAATGACAGTAACATTGAAAGTTTTCACCCCTTGAAACCTTTATCAACCTCGGATATGTCTTGGTCGATATTGGTTTTCTTAATCTTTGGGTAAAAAAATTGCAGTGTAAACCTCAACCACATGCAATATTGACATATAAATGTTAGGCTTCATTGGAAGTTCACCTGTATTGTTTTGTACTGAACATTTACAAGTAAAATACCGGGTAAGTTTAATACACATTTTGATGTGGCCATCATGCATCGGAAGTAACAAAACATCAACAGGCTATGCCAAACAACTAATGAGATACTGAGGTGCTTTGTATGATTCTAATTTCAACCAGGTGTATCACTGTAAAAATAATAAATGTCACTAATAATATTTATGATATACATGTACATGTATCTGAGCAGAATTTGAAACATGACAATATTTTTTCCTTCTTAACCCTGAATCTGATAGAAATTGATTTTATAGGTATATGAAAGGGTTAAAGGTTACTAGTTGGCACAGGGTTGCATGGATTTAGTTTGACATAATTTTGCTCAAGGATTAATTTACATACAAATAATGTTCTATATTCGTTTAAATGATTAACAGGCTGGGTTTTTAGTAGATCTATCTAGTAAATACTTAACTCTTGGTAAATAAGAGTTACCTCTCTTTACTTTGGTTGGATTCCACTTTGGGTTTAATTTAAAGTAAAAATATATATTTCTGTATCTTGATTGTCATAAGATGTTTAATAAGCTTTATAGATCTATCAATTTAAAGGGACACATATCCGTTTGAAAAAAAAGAAGGAAAATTTGTTCATTGGTTAAGGCAGCTGGTAATTTATTTTCCTCAGTTTAAATCTACAGTCTCAATTTCTTGATTAATTTTCTCTGGAAATATAGATCTACTCCATGTTGAGACTGAGATTTTTGTTGTTGTAGTAATTTACAAGATTTATAACCATTAACGTACATATTATCAAGATGGTGATTTGGACATTGAACTCTTTTAAAATAAATTTGGAGAGGGTATAGAATTTTGTTCTTTGGCTTCCTTTGACAGGTAGTGAGGTTAAAAATAATAATATCATCGGATTTGTGTCTTGAATTTCAATCCCTCTCAAAATCTGTATAGCATGAAATTTTGTCAATAATGATCATTGAGTTGTGAAGAGAATTTCTTAAGGACGGCCTCACTAGGACTTTTTCTTTACCATGCCCAAAGAAATCAGTGCGTTCAAAATGCACCATTTAATTTCAAACAAGTGAAAGACTATTGATCCATAGAGTTGTCCAAAGAATGCGGGTTTCTACAAGAGACCTGATAATTAGTGTGTGAAAGAGACGAGACGCGAGGCACGCTCAGGCTGAGGCAGAATTATGTGTTTCTGCGCGGAGTGACTTACGGCCGGAGATGGAATTATTTTGTACATTAATGTTGTTTTAAGGATTAACAAAAAAGCAGGAGAGCGACTTTTAACAGTATTCTGATTATTCAAGTTTAAAGGATTAGCTCTCGATGGGTGTGATAGACTACGTGCCTGTTTTGACTAAATTTGTCAATCTGGGACCACCGGTGGGACATTTATTCGAGGTGAGGAAATGATAAAGATCTTCTTAAAGGCCTTGCTTGTTGACAACAACATGCATTGATGAGATCTTTGAAGTTATGCAGTCTTAAGTAATTACGTACATAGAAAGCCATTTAACTAAGTGGATTCTATTAAAGAATGTTGTTGTTTAGTTGGATTTATTCGAAAAAACAATTTTGGGGTTACAGGTTGGGCTTTTCAAAAGCTGTTGTGTAACTACCCCGTCTTATTTTCATAGACAACAGGCAAACTTAATTTTCTTTCCTTTAATGTCAATTTGGGCCCATTTCTTCCAATGCTGTATCCAAACTATCGCATTGATTTATGCACCTTGTAAGGTATGCTAAATGTTTTTTTGCATTAATTATGGTCTAGGGCTTAAAGACATGAATGTTGGTGCACTTATTGATTCCTGGCTAGCCATTTCAATTTCTACATCTGTAATCAATGCAGTCGAAAACTTCCTTTCCTGTCCAAAATCGATACGACTCTATTTATGCAAATTGCTCATTTAGTCATCTGCACCTGAATTGAATTCATTGCTATTGAGCAGTGTCTGAATAACTACCCAACCTTTATATCCACTCCCCAAATTATTTATAACTACTACCAATTAAATTGCTTATCCACTCAAATAAAAGATTCAAAATAGCCTTAATTTTATGGATTTCACAGGCTAAATAAAAACAATGCTTATATAGTACAACTGGTGTTTGAATCATTTTAATTTGTTGGTCCCTTTTAGTGGATATTGCTAAAAAAAATTATCATTTCAGGGGGAAAAAATCTTATTTGGGCAAAAAAATACTGTTAATATGAATATTTTATTTAAAACAGACATGTTAATAAGAAGGATTGGGCAGCAGACACGGCCTATTTAAGCCATATCTTTCTAATGAATATCAATATCCATTAAGGATATGTGAATTGATGCTTGAAAATTGAAACCCTTGTTAATATATTGGATCTATTATATATTATGGCTATTTTACATTAATTCTCTAGGAAAACCTAATGTGTACCCATTAAAGTGCTTCTAAATCTTGACCATCAATTCTTTGATCTGTGATCCTTCTTCTCCATCTCAGTTTTTAATTGCCTGCCGCACTTATTTTGGCAAACATTGTATTGTAGAATTCAAACAATTGTTCAAACAGCAAAAATTGATTTAGAGCAAAAGAACTTCCTTCATTTTACTACATGTACTGGCTAAACTTGAGAATGTTTCTTATAGCTTTAAAATAATAAATTGTCAGTCGTTTGTAGCAATTATATGTAGGCTTTTTGAAAGAGGATAATGCGTCTCATACATACAAAGGTGGTCTGGTGCAAGGATGACCATAAATTTGCTCAAAATAGGAAGTAATTATAGAATGGCAAAGATTGATCAAATTTTAAAGATCAAAAATGGATGGAAAATGTGTAGTTTGATTGGATAAAACGAGTATTATTTGCTTTCTCTGACCCCCCACCAATGGTTTATCTCTCGCAGTGAAAAGAAGCACCGCTGGGATAAAAGTAAAAAGTTCATAGTGATCAAACAATGGCCATCTACTCAAATGATAATGTTTGACTAAAGAGACTTCATGTTATTGTCAGAACCAAAAAACTGACAGTTAAGGACATTAATAAAATGAGCATTTCAGAGGACTCGATCTGAAGTTGTCATGCAGAGCCCCCATAGTCCAGAGCAGTTCTTCTCAAGTAGTGCTGTGTTGATAAGTGTTGTCATTGCCATAGACACAATACTTAAGACGCACCACAAATATTGACCTGTTTCACTGTGGCTTGCTCTACATTGCAAGAACTATTCCTGAACTTTTACTTAAATATGTACATTTACATTTGGGGCTGAACAGACAACAGTGGACAGTTCTGTGAATGACTGTATTTTAAAAGAATTTGGTCACTTAATTTAAAGTACATGAAAAAGTAATCTCTTCAATGTTTTTTATTTGAAATCAAAGATTGTTGATAATTGAAATCAACAACCTCTCTGTACTTATTCTAAAGGTTATATACCTATATAGAAAGTAATATCAGGATGCATTTAACATATTAAAGGTAGAATAATATTTACCAATCCTGTGTTAAGGATAATTAAAAAGCTTTTAATTGCACAAGAAAATAGTAGGGCTAAACAGATTGTCCAAAGCGTTAAGAAAGAAAGTTGGGACAGAGAACATTATTGAAAAATTATTCAAAGCTGGATAAGAACTTTAAATTTGTTTCATACCATTATATTTGAATAAATGTTAGAATTAAAATAATTAATGTTATTTATATGATCCACAGAGTGATAAATTGCATCTGATTTTACAGGGAAGCATAAATGATGGGCCCCCCAAACCTATGCGAGCAACCTGGGCAGGAGATGAATCAACCGAAGTCAACCACACACCCAAGCAGCGGAAGCCGCCCCAGCGCCGCATCACCGTGGTGGGCATCAACGCTGCGGAAGATCAGCAGTCACAGCAAGAATCAGGTGAGGGGATTTTTACTTGTAGTTGTATTATTAGAAGATTCTAAAAGAGAAACTGAAAAAAAAATTCTGCTCCGTTGGTACTAAGATTGAAAATGTTATGTAGGGTGTTTCTTTGTTTAGGTTTCTTTAAGTAAATACATGTAACTTTGAAAGTTGATTTTATTTTTGTATCATGAACTTTTACTGATGGTAATGGATCTATCTAAGATTGCTATTTTTGTTTGTCTGCAGGATCCTACAAACAAATGCATTTGAACAAGCTGAAGAAGAATTATGGCAGCACAGGAAAAATCAACACAAATACCATTGGTGGACTAGATTTAGCAGAAGTAGAGAGAGGTACTTGAGGCCTTTTATTGCACCATATGTTAACTTAAATAACATAAACAGAGTTTATTTGGGGGTGAAAAACTTACAGTAGAAGATATAACTACATGTAGTATGTTTCATAGAGTATAATTTCATAATAACACACTTTGGATAAACAGTCAACAATTTCCATTATTAATTAATAGTTCCTTTTCTGCTGGGAATGCGGTTACTTGCGTGTGTGGGTTGTTTAATGGTTTGAATGTCAACATGCCCTCTAATTGTAGAGTGACAGTGGGGACTCTCTGACATAAAACTGTTTTTCTTCTGACATCATTTCATAAGAACTGAAGAGTTCCCTGTCTGTTTAATAGACAACACTTCAATTATACAAGTCTTTAGAGAGTGTGTGCAAATATAGACATAATATGTACCATTCACCTGTACTCTCCACCCTTTTATGAACGGAGTGTATCTCTCTGATCAACTCCGAAAGGTGAAAACCTCACTCTGATTAATATTTCACACCTCGTGTTGAGATTTATTCTGCAAGTAGCCCCTCGGGATTCATTTTCAGCAACAGTATCAGGATTTATCAGATACGGCTCGTACATCCCTTAATTTTCGTAATGTCCAAGTTGATGAATATTTGAACCGGTCATGTGATGCTGCATAGCCAAGTGAAATCCACAACGCTTCTTTGTAGTACATGTATTAATACTTACCTGTAAAAATAAATCAATAATATCCCCACGTCCCAGACTATTTACAAATCAACAGTCAATGACTGATGTCGGTTAGCTAAGGGATAACTGGAAATTCAACCAGCATCCTGAAACGTTTAACAGAATGACTTTTGGTGATGTAATGGGAATTTTGTGTTCAGTTTCTGCAGGTATGGTAGGAATACCTGATAGCATATATATGGCATGCTTAATTTTAAACTGATAAAAATTTCCTGGTAAATGTTCTTTTTCTATAGCTAAGACTAAAAAAGCAGTTGATAGACCACCAGTTAAACCCTTTTTAGAGCTTCGTTCATCAGAGAGTGAGTAAAAAGAAGCACATTTTGGGAGTATGGAACTCTGTGTCTTTATATACCATTAGATGCCACTATTATGTTATGATTTTTACCTTATATGTAGCTTGCATTAAAGTTCTAGACGTAGGCGATTAGTAGAAATGTATAGTAGAATGAGCAAAATTGTCAATTAAATATCCAGCATAAATCTCACAGAAAATATGATGTCATTTTTACCGGGTATTTGGTTCAAGAAAAAAATGATGCTTTTCTTCTTGAATGTTTGTATTTTAATGATTTTGCATTTATAAGAAAGTTTTGTAAACAATCTTGACTCTTTAGTGGCTTCAGTCTATATTTGACAATCACAGGGATTTGATTTTTAAACCCACCCATTTATTGTGGGGCCTGGTGTGTGTCGTCCCTCAAAACAAACATTAAATGTCCTGATGTTGATTACGGATGTGTGATATTATTATTCAAATTATTGCATTTACTTACGAAGACGTGTTGAAGTGTGCTTCTTGCATTCTTTTCAGTATTCAAATATTATGAAGTAGAGCCCCTTCAGGATTTTTATACCAGCAATATGTTTAAGTATGTTTAAGTCTTGAAGAAAAAAAAGCTATTACATAACTCAAGTACTAGCTACCTTAGAGAATTTTGAGTGGTATTTTTGAACAGATTTGAATTAGGTTTTACTGATTTTAAGGAAAGAAATCCAAAAGCAGTAGAAATTGATCCGACTGATAATAAAATATCTGAGTGTAAGTCAAATATATACAAGAAATTTCAAAGTAGATCAATCTGTAGAATGTTTAATATGACATTTTTAGTGGGTTGTGTTTTAGAGCTGTTAAATATATAATTAAAGTATATAATTTTTGTTAAAGCTGAAGCTAGGTCTTTAATGTTAGTTGACGAATATATAGTGATATTTTTTTTTGTTTTATTTGTTGGCGTAGGAATGTATCTGGCAATGATTGTTTATAAATTCTTTCAGTCTCACACCGAGAATACAAGCATTTTGACACCCTTTTTATCCCAACTAATTTTGATTTAAACTAATTTCAATATATTTAATATTGTATGATTATAAACTTGTCAAACAAGCACATTTAAAGCATATTCATTGAAAAGGCATTTTATTTATCACAACCAACCTATTAATAGTACTTGTTAACAACATATTAGAACTGCATTAATTAGTACTAACGACACTAATTCTAATTGTTTGTAGCTGATGTCGGATCTCCTAACTTCTCTAACGAGGATTCTTGGAGAGGTATATTTCATGTTGTCAACATGTTTAAGTTGCCCTGATCGTGATAAATCTATGTATTTGCGTTATTCAAGTGTGTTTGTTAAAAAATTTAGAGATAAAACTACTCTTGGTCTATTATTGTTAAGACTTTGTTAGAACGCAGGAATTTGGTTGTAAATTTCTTCATTTGGCTTTAAGTCGGAAAAGAATTTTGTCAGGTGGAAAAGCTAATCTGTGGATCATCTTTAAATTTAAATTAGAAAAGGTTGTATTAGAAGACTTGAGGCAGAATAAAGGCATCTTTCAGAACCCCTTTAACCAAATTTGTTTCACTCTATTCTTTGAAATCAATTTTGAATATATAAAATGATTTTCACATATTTGTGTCAATGGTAACTTGATAGGAACACACTTTTTTGCCCTTAAAATTTGTGGGGGAAAAACTATTGAGAACAGGATTTGATGACTTCTGTATTGTAATCAGAACATTTAAAAGATAGAAATAGCTGAATAGATGACATTAACATAATTTAATCATTTAATTTTATCAAGAATAATTACAGACTACAGGCATGGGTCTGCAAAAAATCCCTCTTGCGTCATCAGTGCATATGAAGCAAGACTTGTTAGTTAGTGCGCTTTCATTTTTGCCTGTCAGGGGGTCCAAAACGTATTTAGAAGATCCTTTAATTGATCAGCTCATTCATGACTATATTAATTTTCTTTTTTTACAGGAACAAATGACGAGTCTCCGTTCCCATCCAAACCAGCACTGGCTCGCTCCGCCACGCGTCGCCCCGCTAAGAGAGTTCCTCCGATCGCTGCAGCACAGTCTGAGAGGTTCTCCTCCTCCAAAGAAGATGACCAGGATAGCGCTTACGAGGACTCGGTCGAACGGGGGCTCTATGATGAGTCCAAGTCAGAGGTAAACAGGCCTTTACTTTCACTATACAATTAGACTCAAAAAATTATTTTCATTCCCTTAATATTTTCATAGTGAAATATTTTCAAAAAAGTGGTCCTTAAAGTTCAGTTCATCCATTTATGTGAAAAATAAGCACACGAAAACAAAGTGTCATTCTATCTGCATGTTCTTATTTCCTTTGCCTAAATTGGCAACAGACCTTTGTATGTCCTATTTGTTTTATTTTCATGGTACTTTTGTTTATGTTTTTGATCTTGGTAATATATAAGAATTTAAAATTAGGAAAATAAGATTAGATTTAATGAACCCTAATGAGACAGAAAATAATCTGAATACATAAGAAATCTTATTTTAGAAGGCAAAATTTGATAAGAATGGAAAACCTGTAAGAAACTGCACAAAACTTATTCTACAAGTATATGCATGTCTACAGTATAGATTATAGGAGCAGTTTCTGTAATTAAGAAATGCTTAAAACAGTAGATAAAGTTTAAATAGTATCTTTAATTAGAACTAACAATGCTATATGTGCATGCAATAGTTCTTAAGTTTTTAAAAATACAAAAGTCCCATTTTATCTGTGATCATGCATGCAGTTGATTAGTTTCAACTTAAAATCACACTTGTTCTATAGTCATGGTAGAATTATTCATTTGTTAAATGTTTAGAAAACTATTTTGTTCTACACATTTTCTGAATTATAATTTTTGTAATATGTCACACAAAATTTTTTTGTGCATTGGATCTCAGATTTGAGAATTTGACTCTTGCGTTGATTTCTGCACCATTTCTTAACAGATGATGAAGTACTTAAAAAGTCTGCGAGGTGGTGCCAAGGTTTGTCACCTGTATTACCTGAGTTGTACCTTACACAGTTTGCTTTTGCTAACCATTTATATGTGTGATACGAAATGAGAAATGAATGGACCTAACCAGAATACCTAATAAGTCTAAACACCCCCTAGGGAAATCATTACCTATTGATTCACAGCTACAAGCTACCCCAATCACTTTTCCTATTGGATACACCGAAGTCGACAAAACAAGATATCCCATTTCTATTGCCACAACTGTTAAACTTAACATGCATGAATTATTTACGCTCATAAGAAAGAATGTGTTGTTTTCATAAAAAAAGAAGGCACATTTGAAGCATTTTTGTCACATTTAAAAGTGGTCTTGCATTGGATTATGGGTTATTTTTGTAAAAGCTTTTTGTTAGTACGGGAACATTTTTGTTGAGTTGTTATTATAATGGTTTATGTGTTAACAATTGTTTTTGATATTGTCACTCATTATGTGTCAGTCATGCACATTTGATGATACTGTGGAATCATTTTAATTCTTATGTGGACCAATTCTGAATTCATAGATTCTAAAAATTTGAAATGTTTTATGTGGAAGCATAATTTTATGGGTGAATGTCTAATATCCATGAAAAAATTAAATGCAAATAAAATGATTTCACAGCACTCAATTTAATAGAGTAACCTTCACTTATTTGGTTGTGTAGATAATATTATGTGAATTCCTAAGTAACTTTTTAAAAAAAAAACAAACATATCTTGGTAAGAAGAAGTATTTGTTCACTCACAAATTCACAGAAAATTTCATGAACATCTTCATTGAAGAGTCTTCAGATATATGATTTAATGCTTACAAAAATGAATAAGAGTAAAACTTAATATTATAGTACATTGATAGTAAAAAAAAATACATTCAATTTATCTTTGAGTTGAGGAGGAGAAAAGGGTGGGTTCAAATTCTTTAATATTGTTAAATTTTGTCTATTTGATACATGTTTAAACCATCTAGTATTAAATTTGTTATGCTTTTGGTTATAAAATTTGTATGCAGAGGTGACATAATGTCATGGCTCTCAGTGGTGCCATTTATACAAATGAGAATATATAAGTACTCTACAAGTGTACATTATATATATTTATACTTTATAAAACTGGCAGTGAAAAAAAACTTAACTTCTTTTAAAAAATGTTTACAGATGATGAACTCCCTAAAGAGCATACGAAGCAGTGCCTCAAAAAAGAAAGAGGAACAGATAGAAAAGTACGGGAGTCACTCGCGGTCTAGTTCCCCCTCAGCCGATTTACACGAGAGCGGAATCTGGAGCACCATCTCCTCTAACGGAGAGTCAGATACAGGATCTATCTCTAATCGATCCAAGAAAAGGTAAAGGTTTTTACCCATAATTCATGGTAGAATTAAATAATTATATTGTATTCTTAATCAATGATAATTAATTGATTTAATTATTTCTTTAATATAGTAAAAATTTTTCCTTGTTTAGTAAAAAAGCGGAGTCCCCATTTGAATCACGACCAAAGTTGGCCAGAACCAATTCTTTCTCCAAGTATTAATACATTAAAAAATTTTCTCCATTTAGTAAAAAAGCAGAGTCCCCATTTGAGTCACGACCAAAGTTGGCCAGAACCAATTCTTTCTCCAAGAAGAAACCAGAGAGCAGTCCCGAGGACTCGGGCATCAGCAGTGCGGGGAACTCTGGTGTCATAAGAATAGACTATAACCCTGCCAGTGGGGTCACATTTAGGGAGAACAAGACATCTAATGTCCAGGTGGTGGGCAAAGGGTACAATGACGATCAGGAAGCCTTAGACAGGAGGGCTAGTGTGGGCGGGCTAAATAAAGTCCGTGACAGACGGAGAATGCAAAAAGGTAAGGAAAATTGCACATAGTCCCAGTTATATCACTTCTTGAAATTACAAGGGGGACATTATTGTCTTGCAGTGATTATTGCATTGGAATATGTCTACTTTGAAAATGTGTAAAGGAAATTTTGTCAAGATAAAGTTTTATGTAATAGAAATATTTTTTTGTTTGTTTGACAATTTCCTTTAGACAAATGTTTGTGAATGTTATTGGCACTGTAAACAATGCACATACAGCAAAACATAGCAAGTGATCTATCCTTAAGCATACCTCTGTAAAGATTTGGAGCAAAAAAGAACCCTCATTTGTTTATTCATCCTTGTGTGGAATATTTCTAGTCCATATATGGGTCTGTTTCAAAATTGCATGATCACTGGTTTGTTTACATTTTTTTATTGGTAATTTATTTTTAAGAAAAATATTTTTGCGAATATTAAATTGGCAAAAAAATACTTTCTGATTGCCCAATACTTGATATAAAAGTTCCCCAAAAAGTAAATATTTCCAAAATCTTGATTCATATTTATATATTTCCAAAATTTTTTGATTCATATTTGCTTTAAAATAATTTATAATACTTTGAAACTGATGTCAATAAAAACATTCTGAGAAAACTTATTCAGACCTTTATAAGAAATCCCTCATATTAATAAATTTGTAATGGTGGTAATTTCTAATTTCTGGTACTATAGGATATTCTATGTTTCATTGCTTTATTCCCTGTTCATAACTGCCTGTATGGTAGTGACTTTAAAAGTTAATTTATATACCAATTGAAAATTTCTTTCTGATTTTTTTTTTAATTTTATTGGCCAGAGGCTTAGGTCAGCCTTTTAGATGAAAGTTTGCCCCACATATGTCTGTTGAATATATAAATGTTTCTAAACTGATCATGTATTCATCTTTTCCGAAACCAATGGGCCAGTTTCATTTTGACTTCAACATATATCTTTTGAGAAAATTAAAATTTTTGATTAAAGACACTTTTTCTACAAGCAGGGCTTCAAAAATGAAATATGGTAGTGTCATTCAAGAATAGAATGAAGCTAGGACACTGTGGGAATAAAAAAATCTTATTCTCCTTATGTAACAAGAAAAACTATTAGATGTCAAGTCAGTAGAAAAAGAGCAGTAGGATTTAAGTGAGCAATGTGGCCTATGGGCCTTTTGTTTTATTTTTTTTTGCACAACCCTATATTTTGTTTACTCAAAGAATTATTTCCGCTTTTATATGTAACCTGTATGTGTAGTGTGAGGTGCCTAGAGCTTGATTTTGTTGTGGTCATCATTCATTATGTTTAATAGTCAATTTCTTATATGCATATATAGACAATAAAAAAAAAAATTGAAGGGTCTTTAGGGAGAGAAAGATTTTGTCTGCAATTGATCTGCTACATCCATGTTTAAATACATTTGACCTGTAATGAATGGTGGCCACAATTTTGAGTGACTTAATGAATGCATGCATCATCCACTTTAACACTGCAGCACTATAACCCTTCCATTTGTTGCGTGTTGTTTACAGGCCCCTTGTTATCTCCCCTTGGTGTGGCCTCCATGCACAGTTATGGGGCTGTGGAGTGGGATGACGAAAAAATGCCTACCCAAGACAGTATCGGTGTTGTAGGCAAGGGTATGTGTTCCAGAGTAGTCTAGTTATACACAGGCACAAGTAGTCAACACATCGTAGCTATAGCTGTCTATTTGTAGTACGGTACATGTATTGAGATGACAGTTGGAAAAGGAATGAATAAATTTGAATAAATTAGTAAAACTGTAGAATCTAGATCATAGGAAAGGATGTAATGGCATAAATGGCAAGGCTTATTTTATAAGACACCTAAGTCTGCATACAGTATTTACAGGGGGTAGACAGAAATATTTAGGCATGAAAACTGAAATAATTTGTCGAGTGTTAAAAGATATTTGCTATATATTGTTAATGTAGTGGTGAAGTTACTAGATTACTAAAATGTACATATGGCTTAAATATTCTATAATAGAATATTAATATGCTCTAGGAATTGTAAAAAAAATTAATTAACATGAATAGAGATAGGTTAAATAAATAACGAGAAAGAACATTCACTTTACATTCATCAATTCATTAGGGAAGAGATCAATAATTTGTAGCTTTCATAATGAGCTAGAAAATCAATCTACCAATAATTAACCTTATATATGTGTGTGTTTATGTAGTCTGAGGTTACTTCTAGTTTACATCACAGAGAATTCATTAGGGGATCCCAAAAGTTACATTATGTTGTGTGGACTGCTTAATATTTTATCATTAACTTATGTAATATTGTAACACACATTTTACCTTTGTTTTACCCCATAGTTAACACTATTAATAACTTTATGATGAATCAAAAACAAATTTGTGTGTAATTGTGTGTACAATTATTTTTCCCTCCATACTCAATGATGCACGTCTTAATCACAGGAATGTTTGACTCGAGTAACGGAGCTGAACATGCAGTGAATGCTGGGAACTCCCAGTCGGGTGACCGACACGATCGTAAACCCCCACGTAGCGATCGCAAAGACTTCACTAGTGGGGTGGTGGGGATCAGTATTAACCGCCAGGGCTCCAACGATGAACCGGGAATGGAGGAAGCTGATGACCTGTCTGTGGAAGATGTAAGTCAAAAGCATTCATTTGATCTTTTGTCTAAAAATGCCTCAAGAGAATTTCATTTTCATTGCTTTTAACTGTTAGGAAAAAAAACTTAATCAATATTTTTTTTTGTAAACATCTAAGGGAATGATTTACAAGCAACATAATTACAACTTCCTAGGATGTAAGAAAAGGCTTGTTGAAACATGATATTAAGATGTACCAGATCACTTCTCTGCAATGACAAGTATGTATTTAAGGAAAAAGAAAACAACTAATGTTCTTTTGCAATTTTAGGATAACAGTAAAGCCATGAGCAAAGCCATGAAAGACAGACTAGCTAAAGCTCAGAGACAAAAGGAAGAAGAATTGGAACAACAGAGAATAGAACGGGAGAAGAAGAAACAGGAGCACGACGAAAAGTTACGAAAGGAAAGAGAGCGACAACAGGAGAAGCTAAAGAGACTGAATACCAGTGAGAGTATCCCTGTTACGACCCCGAAAAAGTCACCCTCACCCCGCAAGAAGGCAGGCAGTGGGCCACCGTAAGTTCTTTAAAAAATTACAATGTTGTAAGGTCCTAATAATGGTAAAATGTGGAGATGGGTCAACAGAATATGCTTGCAGAAATGGTTAAAGACATATATGTGCATAAACTCGCTTTTATTTTGAGATACTGGGTTTATTTTAATCTGTGTTTTGGATATTTTCAGTACCATGAATGGTAATGCTAGTCACCCAGTGTCGGCCTCCTCTAATGGTCTGTATGAATCAGATAATCCTAGTGACTGGCAACCATATAAAGATCCAGAAGGGGCCATTAGAGAAGCTCATCAGAACCTCAACAGCAGTGATTGGTCAGTAATCCTTATAAAACTGTATGCTGTAGCATTTTTACAACTGTAGCAATGGTCAAAATGGAATATCCATCTCAATTACTTCAGAGCTAGAATATTTTGAATTGAAGCGTGATGAATTTTACATTGTGTTAAAGCAATCATTTGTTGTTTTATATAGGGAGGCTAAGTGCAGTGGTGTGAACACTATCAGAAGACTGGTGATGTATCATCCGGAGACGGTCAATGTACAGCTCCACACTGTGGTGCTGGCCATGTTAAATGAGGTCAGTCCAGCAATTCTGTTTCATTACTGACAGATTAAGTTTCAGTACAAATGATCTTGTTTGACCAGTTATTTCCTTTCCAATTGCATATTAATTTGAATTTGAATTTATAGGTGAAAAACCTCAGATCTCAAGTGTCCAGGTTGGCCATTGTTGCTCTTGGGGATATGTTTACTAATCTCAAGAAGAGTATGGATGCAGTAAGTACTTTTTTTTATCCTTAAGAACATAATTTTGGAAAAATTATCTCATTTGAAATAATATCTGTAATGCTTCCTTTGTACAGTGTTTTGAATGAATTTATTTTTTCCAATTTACCAGGATGTGGAGATTACTGCCAAAGCTCTGCTAGCCAAAAATGGAGAGAGCAATGGGTTTATCAGGGAGGATGTAGAGAAGTCACTACATGCCATGGTGGAATTCATTACTCCACAGAGGAGCTTGTTGGCACTGATTGCTGGTGGTGCTACGTAAGTCTAAAACATTAAATCTGATTCACTTCTTCCTTTTATGTTAACAAATAATTGAGGTTCTTAAATAATTTTTTTTTTTCACTACAGCTAATAATTTGCTTAATTGTTATGAATTTTACAGTCATAAAAATGTGCAAGTCAGGAAGACAACATCTCGCTTTGTTGTGGAGTTGGTGGAGAAGATGGGCCCGGGGCGTATTCTGAGTGGGGTTAAAGATGTTACAGACAGGGTGCTGCCCACTGCAGCTCACTTTGTCATGGATGCCTCACAAGAAACGAGGTAGAAAACCTCAACAGCATTAGACTTCAATAATGTTAAAAAATAAGAATTTAGATTTATAGTGTTTTTGTTAGAATTTGAAATGTGCTAGTTGTATGTTCAAAATTTTTAACTTAAGGTTTATAATATTGCTCTTTATTTTGAAAATTTTCATCATTTATTCAGATATAATGGAAGGAGAATTTTGTACACTCTGATGGTCCATCAGGATTTCAATAAAATGTTGTCAAAGCACTTGCCAGCCAACACTCTCAGGAATATTCAAGACATTGTAGAAGGATTGAAAACTAAGGTATAATCGTTATGCAATTTAACGAACTATGAATGTTTTTTTTTTAATTAATTATTTCTGCAGAGAACTTATGTGAAGATAAGATTAATTAAGATAAACTGTGTTGTTTTAGGGCCTTGGGGATATGCCACACGAAGCTTCATCTGCTAGGGGTGGTAGAGGGCCGGCAAGTCGCGCTAGTTCAATAGTCCGGGGAGGGTCTGCCAACAGCGAGCTGCAACACAGCACTCCGTCCAAACGGCTTCTCCGCACAGATGATGCTACCCAGGAGGCAATCAAAAACATGACAAATCTAATCTCAGCCAACGACTGGAGGGATCGTCACAAAGGCATTTCTATGTTGCTGGAGATGTGTGAGGAAAACACAGACGTAGTCGTCATGAATATTGTCAAGGTACAATCATCCTATTATTTAATACTACCTCTATATGATTTCTTTGAAAAAAAAGCATGATAAAATGGTTAATAATGGTTTAATAAATTAGTATATATACACATTTTTAAAAAAACAGTATATTGAGTCAATATGAAAACAACATAAAGCTGAATGCAAAGTGTATCAAAAGTGCTTTGTCAGTTGCAAATTTTTTAATTCACAGATTTTTGACAAATTCCTGCCTCGGCTACAGGATCCCAACAGTAAAGTGAACTTGTTTGCCCTGAGTGTTATGTTACAGATTGTTCCTATACTGAGGGACTCCCTGACACAGGTCATGAGTATGGCCATTGGAAACATTGCTCCCAATCTATCATCTAAAAACAAAGAGATTTACCAAACTGCAATGGAAATCATCAACTCATTAACCGAACACTTAGGTATGGACAGTACATTTATTACTTACTTAAGATTATCAATATGTAAATTTTCGCACTGCTTGTGTGTAGACAAGTAAATTAATGTTTTCTAATACTTGTAGATGGCGGCCAGTTACTTCAACCCTTGGCCAATCAGGCCCAGTCAGCCAGTGCCAGGAGTAAACCTGATCTAGTGACTAAAGTGGCAGGTAAGTCAAACAATAAACCACTGACATAAATCAAGGATCAGTCGCCATCCTTCAATCCTAATGGGATTTCTGTGGACTTTGTTTTGGGTGTTAATGAAGGACTTTTTCAAAAACAGAAAAAAGTTTTTAATGAAATGACAGGGAAAGACAATTTGGAATTGTTATATCCATTTATTTCCAAATAAGTTTTAAATCTTAAAGGAATGAAAATCACTTTGCTCTATTGTGTGTGTATTTGCTCTTGTTGTGTTTTACTGTATAATGCATCTTGAACCAGATGTTTAAGGAGTAATTTTTATGTTTTGCAGAACTGGTGACAAAGGTTTACCAGCGCAAGCAGAAACAGGTGGTGCTACATGTGTTGCCTCTCTTATGGCACCTATTGGGGGCCACAAACAGTAGTGGGGCAGTTCAGGGGGGTAGCTCTAGCATTCGTACAGCGACTGCCACCCTGGTGAATTCTCTTTATAATCAGATGGGGCCGGCCTTGTTAGAGAAAGCAACTTCTGACCCCAACGTAACTCCACGCCACCTACAGTTGCTTCAGGAAATGATAGATAGGTAAAAGAAGATATCTACACTGTGATATATGTTTTTATTTCTGTTATTTATGGGACTAGAATGGCCAGAGATGTTTGTTTTTTGGATTACAGGCCTGTATTTTGTTGTTTTGCATTTTTTTAAACATCTAAAATCTATGTATTTTGTGTGAAAGTATTTTCAGGATAGTGTACTATTGTGTTTTCAGATATTCAATGAATCACTTTTTGATCTCTGTTTTGATTATATTTTTTTATCATAAATTTTTACTGTCAAATGAAAATTGTCACAGATTCACCACATTGAAAATTCCTGTGAACCTAAAAATGAAACTTTGGCCCCCATTATTGAGTTTTTAGCTTTGATGTACTGTGATTTTCTCCGTTGTCTAGGAGAACCTGTTGTTAACCTATTGTAATAGGTAAAGATATATATTAGATGTACAGTTAGTTTTTAATATTTATACATTTTCGTGTGAATGTGATGAAATCAAGTGCTACTGTGATTGGGATGTGAAAGTGATTTTTATTTTATTTTCCTTTTATTGAGTATGTAAATAATTTATAAGTGAACCAGATAATTATTAAGCCCATGTAGCTTGTCTACATATTATTGTGTTATTAAAAATCATGTGTTGTTGTTATTGAAAACTATTTATTTTTGTAAGTGCAAATGAAATGTTGACTTGTTTGCACTGTTTCTTTGTTGATGTACAGCCAATGCATGATTTCTTCCTATACGTATATAAGTGTACATGAAAAAGACCTATCACGGACAGACATTTTTTTTGTATAAGTAGCTGACCATTTTTTGTTTTTAGTGGAGAAAATTAGAATAGCATAATATGCATGTATCGTCATTTAAAAAAAAAGAAACTCGTAAGCTGAAACAACATGGAATGTGTTTTTTATTTTCGCTTTTTTTGTAAAGAATTGTTGCTAGCATTCCAGAGTTGCATTTCTCTCTTTCGTTTTTGTAAGTGTAGTCACCCATCCCCCCTCAGCATAGTGAAAATGACCAAGTGGGTTTCTCACGGCGTTAGATGTCATATTGCTTATTCCCCCTGTCAATATCTATAGGAATATATATCTCATCTAAACCGTCCTGTATATTAATCCATATGTCAATTTTGTGCCCTATTGGCAAATATATTTAGTTTTGTATGACAACTTATATTTTAAGGAAATACCAAGATGTTTTATTTTACTGGAAATTTTCTTTTCATCTTTACTATGACTGTTGAGATGTTTAATGTCAAAAACACCTTGCAAGAGAGACACCTTTTAGTCACAGTATTAGAACATATATAGGCAGTTCTCTGCAGTCTTTCTGTAAAGTGTTGTTGTCTTGGTAAGAACCTATATTAAAATATAGTCACTAAGGTTGTTATAAATATGCCTTGTTTGGAAATCATTAAAGGGAATTTGTTAGTGACTACATGTACTTGTGCATATATAAATGTGTCGACCATTTTATACTCCTTTTAAAAACCAACAAATTCAAGTTTTTATTTCATTTGCTAGTCACATCGGGGATAACACGAAAAGTTTATAACTGAATTTGGGACAGTTGATATTTTTTTTTTTATTTTAAAAGGAAAAAGCTGTGTTTGTCAAATCCGTCCAATATTTATTTAAGAGAATGTTTTTGTTCACTTACATGTACCATATCATTCTGTATATACCACTGTATACAAAATATCAATTTAATTTATTCTCGAATGAATGTTCATGGAGGATCTTCTGCTCCGGCAGATGAGCACTTGTTGAGAGAAATTCATATCACAGGCTGAATCCACACAAAATAAAGATAAAATAAAGTGTGAATTTTGTTCCTACTTCACTCAAGTATCCACAGTTTCAAATTGCTTGATAGAAAGAAACACACGCACACAAAAATGAATCTGCCAGATGAATTTCCTCCATTTATATTCATTCAGTGTTAATTTTTTTGACAAAAAGCAATTGTTATCATAATCAGTATTATGTTTAAGTATAGAAACTTTGGCTGTTGGGAGTTAATGGGGGATGGAAAATTCTCATAGTATTACATTGTACAGGAGGAGTTCCACCCCCTTAATATGGCATTTAACTGGAACTGGGACAGACCCCGATTGACAAGGAATAATGATGGTTTAACATGATTGTCTGTAGAGTAGATATTCTTGTGCATATGACAGTATGTGCTTGCTCAAATCATTCCATCCATCTTCATTTGGGCTGTGTTGGCTATTGAAATACCAAATAAAATATTCAGTGAATTTATTGGTTTTATATTGTACTTTAAAATTAGAAAGTTTATGAGCTGAACCTCTTGACTCAAGTTCAAGGAGGAACTTCAGTTCAGGCTAGTCTACAGGAGAAGTCGTAAAATTATAAGGCAAAATATAATGCAAATCTTGAAACCAAACACAACTTTTTAATAATTCAAAAGTAGACAAGAGCAATAATTTCTTATCATTTCTGCTAATAAAAGTATTGCCTTCAGTTTATGAAAAAGATTAAACAGAGTGTGTAATAGGATCATTACAGATACAGTGAGATACATGTATTTATATAAAAAAAAATCAGAACAATGTGGCTAAAAGTTTTGCATGTTGATGAGAGTTTGTACAGCAAATGGCAAATGGCTCCTAGGGCTAGAGTGCAGTCCAGCTGAAGATTAGCCATAAAACTTAGATGAGCTCACTTTTGATCTCACTTTTCCATTATTTATTCCTTTGGAAAAAGTGAGACTGAGATCAATAGAACGCTCGTCTAAGTTTTATGGCCCCCAGGCCTGGTGTTGCAGGGTTTATTTCAAATGTTTTTCTACATTAATAACACACAATCTATAAAAAATGATTTTTTCTACATTTATTTAAAAAAAAACTAGCATAACAATTCAGTACAAGTCATTTCAATAAATGTATTTTACTCAAAAGATACATAATTCTGTGTATCGAATTTTAATTTTGATGAACGGTGTTGCCGTGGTTACTAAAAATAGAAATGTCTGTAAAATTGTTTCAAAATGCTACTCCTCCTACAGTTTTGGTCTGATTTCAGTATAACTTGGCACACAAGTAGACTACACTCATAAAGAGACTTTATCAACGATCATTATTCTATTTAGTTTCAAATCCCAGCTGCTTAAGTACTTTTCTCTTCCTTTGCTATAAGTTCAAACCAGTAGAGCTTCAGTCTCGACAGAGACTTCTGGTTAAAAAAAAAATAGCAAAACAAGTCAGCACAAGTCATTTCAATAAATGTATTTTACACAAAACAGAAATCATGGAGGATTTATTTTAAGCACTGTTCACATTGTCTGTGCATCAGGAAGACGACTCTGTCGACTCGCTCTTAACTTGTTCCAGAAGACCTCTCCTGATTTGTGGAAGTTCTCTGTATAGTTCAATTCCAGAATCCTTTTCCAGATCCACCATTTTATAGTGCAATAAATGCTGGCACAACTCCTGGAGATAAATATTCATTTTCAGTAAAAAATTCTATATAAACTTTCCTAACAAGCACAAGTCTACGTTGATTAAGCTATAAATTAGCTAGTGAGATGATCGTACCTTATGATGAGATTTAATGGTTTGCAGAATCATTCCATGTTTCAGTCGAGAGTGTTTCTTGTCCTGATTGTAAATGAACCTGTTCACATGGTGTATGGCAATTAAATACAGCAAAGGGGACCAATGAAATTGCAGTCGCCTTGACAACAAGTTCTGGAAATACAACCTGATCAACTCCACGTCCGACTCTTCAGGATTCAAAAAATTATCAAGAGGAATTGGGATCTGAAAATGCAAAGCTTATCTGTCATTATTCCTAACTATAGAATAATCTACAAGTATTTACAATGCAGAATTTTCATTAATACTTTTTATCTTTGAATATTGTGGAAAAACCTAGCTGGTCCTTTGCGAAAAAGCAATCTGATTAAAATCAGATCTTTGTTACACTCCGAAATTTAAAGTAGACATTATAAAGTACATGTAGTTAAGTGAGAATGGTTGCCAGGAAGAAAATTTAAAAATTCATTGTTTTTCTAATCTTGGTGAAGGTTGCTTCAAACTGAATTCATGTCAGCAAATAAATACTGCAATACTGTACAACAGAAAATGAGTAGTTTGGATATTGGATAATGAATTAAATTGAGATTTCATTCTACTTTTTACTGACCTCTTTCAAAGAAATGTGCATATAGCGCAGTATCCCAGAATGCTCCATCCATAATGCCTTTCTGAGCTGGAGGTCATGTTTTTGTTGAATGGGGAGGAGGATATAGCAGGAGAAGAGAGAGTCTCCGAACGACACAGCCTCAAACTGCTGCAGGAGGGCCGAATACCTGTAATGGAGGAAGATCACACTGATATCATCCTATTTCATGTATAATCCCAAATACTGTAGACTAGCTTTTTTTCTACTGGGTCATAATTTTGCAGAATGTTTCTTTCATTTTAATCTGCATGTAGAAAATTACACAGATTTCTTAGATTCTCACTATGCTTTACATGTATATTGACTATGATATGAAGAATTTCTGTGGAAAAAACTTTGTAACCGCGTACACAGCAAAAATTAATTCCACGTTTTAGCAGTATATTGGGTCTCCTGGGCCTTAGGCCGCTTATAAAATACATGTATTTCATACTGATTTCTTCTTTTTCAAATTGGAATCGCAATTTAACTAACAGTAAAAAAAGATAAAGGGCAACAGTATGCAGAAGATCTTTGGAAAACTTGGTCCTGGGCAAAAAACGATTTCAACTATCAAGACTGTAGCTATACAGTGATAAACTGTACTTAAAACAAAAGGAAAAGAAAAGCAGCACTTGGACTTGAAACTATGCAACAGTAATGAAGTGAAAATAATCATAAGTTGTTAAAAAGTATGAGGTACAAGTGTATCTCAGTATAGTCTACTTAAGTGCAAAGTTTTGAAATCAGACCAAAACTGTAGGAGGATTAGCGTTTTTAAATCGTTTTTTAGACAGACACACAGACAGGTGGATAGATTGACAATATAAACACCTTACATAAGCTCTCAGTATAGCTAAAGACAGAAAATTCACCTCAGACCATAATTTAATAGGTCTAAATATACAGGTTTTTGTACATGTATACTATTTATCAAAGTAACCTTTAAAACTCCTCACTAGTTTACACTTTCTAAACTAAACTAAGCTAAACTAAACTAAAACTAAACTTTCTCCAACAATTCCTAAAATAATGTGGGTTTCATAACTGTTCACATTTGATGATGACAAATGAATCATTTATAATTGAAATCAGAAACTCTCAAATCAGTGACGCCCCCTGGGAGCTGGAGTCAATAAAGGTAATGGACATAGGAGAACTATTGACTGTGATAATTTTAAACTGGGTCTTGTGTGAACTTAATGTGTTGCACATCACAAGAAATCAATTCATTTAGAACATGAAAATGTTGGTATAACAATGAATTAATATGGACGAACAAAAGCAGGACTGACCTCATCACATGCACTGTACCAAAATTGACGGATAGGTAGTGAAAAAAAAAATTTGGATGAAAAAAAGGAATCGAAAGACTGAAGAATTTTCATAATATTGGACTGACTTTCCATTTTTAACTGAAACTTCCACCAGAAGTAAAGAATTGGTTACAATGTATTACTCAGCTCAGAACTTGACTCTAAAAATGAATATTTCCCTCCCTGGTCCTCCAGGGGAATTCAATGAAGAAGACATTAGAGAGATCCATTTTAGAGTGTCTCTGACTTTTTCCTTCCTGGGAGTATTCTGCAATAGTGTCGTTCTCGCCATCGTAAAGAAGTACCACCACGACGTAGAATACCACAAAGACACGATCCTCGCCATGAATTTGTTCATCAACAATCTCCTGACCAGCTTCCTGGTGACTCTGTTTATGGCTCTGGATGCTAAATATCTTTATCCAACACTCCTGAATCATGACACATACACTGCGGTCTGTAAGCTACAGCTGTATCTGGAGTATTCCATTCTGGGAACGGAGTACCTGATTCTAATTCTGATGGGTATGAGTCGATACTTTATGATTAACCATCATGCTTTGTATCAGAAGATATTTGGACCTCAGTGGAATTACTATTTTATCCTAGTGTTTAGCTGGGTGGTGTGCCCCTTGGTGTTTGTTTACACACTTTTCCTCCCCTGGGAGAACATATCCTACAGTATCCACACATCTACCTGCCATTACAATGGGAAGGAGAGGGATGGATTTTTCTTCAGTACCGCCATCTTTCTATTCACCATTCCAATCATTCTGTTCACTTACATTGCCATTGGTATCAAATTGTTCAAAGTTCGTTCCAATCTCAAAAGCCATCGTAGAAAATCTCTAGATCTTGACAGAAGAGTTCCGCACAGAGAGAAATGGCTGGTAATGTCAGTAATTGTCCTGTTTTTCAAGATTTTCATCACATATTTACCACACACCCTTCTTATTTTTATTGACTCAGGCAACAAACCTGACCTCTCAATGAAACAAATCAACGGTCACATGTTATTTCTATACCTACGATTCACCAACATCTTTACCAATGCCATCAGCTACTGTGTCCTGAATTCCAATGTCAGATCCACCATAATCAAACTGTGGCCTTTCTGTCATGGAAAAGTTCACTCAAACAACACCACCAGTTCATCAAATAAACCTGAAAACATCAGTCTGTCTTACGTTGGAAGTGAAGCAGAAGACAACGAGAGAGTGACGTCTGAAGAGACTCCAGATCTGAAGATCCAGACCAAACCACAACTTGAAGTCCATGGGAAAATGCCGTCCGTCGCAGACAATATGAGGATGTCTTTCTCTTCAAATTCGATCTATATCATCAGTACAAATTCTGTGGATCAGGAAGAGGACTGTGATGAAATGCTCCAAGAAGCTCCAACAAACACAGATCATGAAATACTCACCACCTCAGTTCCACACAGTGCTGGACAAGACGTTTTACCCAGTGTTCAGATCACTACCTAAATGTCTGGTTGACTTAAGTTAAGTTAACTGGTTTTCTTAAACCAGAATCAGGTATCTGTTTACTTTTATTTTGTTTCATCAAATGGTGGAAATCATTTTATAGTTTTGGGGTACTTAAAGTAGATACTTAATCAGGATGGACATACATGTAGTTATGAGATTGACATTGATGGGTCCACCATATTTACTTGCAGACAGGTCTGTTACTAGTATTAACCTGAAGACTTGAAATTGTTCCCCATGTTTAAGGGGATTAAGGGGGCAGAAGCTTTGGTTGTCCCATTGGTATAATAAGTTTCTTAGCAAATAACCCACTTCTCTCCACCTAGGACTAAACCATGGACAGAAATATATACATGTATTTATTTCGGATACTAGTAATAAGAATCAATACATAAATTGTATTTAAGTACGGTAATTCATAATTTTTGTTCCAAATTGTTCATGATTAGTTAAATGCTAAATACCAAAGTTCAATAATATTATTTCAAGTTTTTTTTAAGATACTTATTGAAAGAAGTAAAATCATCTTACTTACAAATCATAAAAAGACACAATCCCTGGAATTTGCTCGTCAAAGTTCAACTGTCCCAAAAGGCGGGGTGTGGAGAACTCCCTCAGTAAGGCCGCTAGGTATAGGTATACAGTCTTATCCATAAATAAGTCGTTACCTGAAACAGCATCAAAACTAAGACTAGAAAACTGACAAAGTCAGAGACGGCACTGCTATGACTTTTAAACTTAAGGTAGGATTCTTCTCTGGTTTCTGAGTAGAAGAAACATTCAATGTATATTTGCTTATACAGCCTACTCCGGATATATTGAAATTCAGGGGGACCATGCAAATTATTTCAATATATCCGAAATTCAATATAAGCGAAACCGTGAAGCAGCCATTTTTTTTTTAATTAAAAGTTCAATCCCGATCTTAAAATAAAGAACAAACTCCAACAAATTAATTTTGTCACGTTTACCTATAACAGTGTACAGATTACATGGAATATTAGTCCTTGAAAGTTTAAATAAAATTGTGTCTTTCTTTTTTTTATCGATAAGACGATCTTCAACTTCATTATTATTCCCCGACCGCATTTATTTACATTTTGGAGAAAAATCACCGATGTCAAACTGTTGAGTACTGCTGAACGCTGCATGTATTTCATCGTAAGTGTACTCGGGTTGATCTCTTACCTATTTCGAATTTAGGTTTATCATTAGCCATTAACAGTACGTATTTAATTTGAAAGTTAAGTTTTTTTTTCAATATCTGTGGGGGTTAATATGTTGCCTTTAGCCTAAATACTTCCGTATTATATACATGGAAACAAAGAATTTAGCAGTGAATAATTTTATTTCGTAAGAGCATGCACTATAAAACACATAAGGTGAAAACTTAATTATTCACACCTTTGAATATCAATTAACTGGTCAGTAAGGCATAATTTCTGTCACCAACCATAACGACAGCCGCCAGTATAATCTTATGAAAACAACTCATTATCACCTGTGGGGACCGATCAGTGGCTTCAATATAAGCGAAATTTCAATATAGCCGATTTCAATATAACCGTTATTTTAATGCAAAGAATATGAAAGTCAAAAACTGGGGATTTACTTTTATTTCAAAATAAGCGAGTTCAATATAAATGGAGTAAGCTGTATGTCTTATATATTTAGGTGAAAGAGATTTAAAAGACCATATTTTTCATTCCTCATCACAATTGTTCAATGTTCAACTGGTAATGTATGTTGCACAACACACAATGTGGTTAAAAACGATGGCAATAGGTCACCTAAGTAAACTCTGAAAAGGCTGTACAAACATACAGTATCTTGTAAAAAGAACCAATTGAAGTATGCTAAACTGCCAATTCCTAATACATGTAGTGAATGTAAACTTGACCCAGGCTCACCCTTAACATCAGAATAGCTATCACTTGTAGACAGGGGTAATGACTATTTGTAATATGAGAGATAAATATAAATCTAGTGATTTTCAGCTGCAGGCAAAATAAATAATCCCAGGGGATTCTTTTTAGTATCCTCTCATATTTTTATTATGAGTCTACAATATGAAGAGTCTCAGCAATGACAAAACGAGAATATTATTCAATTTAGAAATAAGATATCATTTTTAGAGTTTCATTGGGGTATGACAAAAAGTCGGTCACATGATCAAATTCTATAACGCATGAAGGGCATTATAGTAGATTTGATCACGTACCAACTTCATGTCATAACCCAATGAAACTCTAAAAAATGATATTTTATTTCTTATATCTGTATATTACATTTTTATTCATATTACAAAGAAATAAAGGCATTATTCAGACTTTGATTTTGAAATGCAACGTTAAGTATCTATGACGTCATGTGACGTCACAGTCAGAACTTTCCAAATTGCTCGTGCAGTTTGCTTTCCATTCGCAAGAATATCTGATCATGTGACCAACTGCATGTCATTGAAAATTGAATTTCAATTTTATTAGCATTGTTACATAAGGAAAGACATCAGCAAATTTTAAATATCTGCCAGTAAAAATCAAGTTTCCCTTAAATACACAAAAAAATGTGATATCATGAAGTATGGTATAATATTTTTTACATTTCCATAAATTATAGTGCCATCAAATTTGTTAATTGTAATGAAATTTACCTGTTAAGAATGTACACATAACCCTGGAGACCCTGAGAGTGGGGGACACAGACTCCGTGACCTGGGGCTGAGACTTCTCTAGGAGGTACACCCACCGCAGGACAGATGTCACCATGGATACCTCGGTCTTAGACAGGGCGTCCTGAACATCTGCTCCACTATTTAAGGAAAGTCCTTTTTGAGACACATTCACAGATTAATTAATATAAATTTAAGTCATTGACGCTTTTAATTCACATATTCAACAATAAAAGTACATATCCATTGAACTAAATTTGTTGTAGAGATCTATGGGATTACTAGAGGTTAGAACTTACACCGAGGTTTATTCATGTTAGAGATCATTCATATCAGTAACAATAAGAAGAAAACTTACAAGCATACCAGTAGAGATTAGAAGAGAATTTACACTGAGCTAAATCTGTAACAGTTGTAGAGATCTGATATATCATTAGAGATAAAAAGGGATCTTACACTGAGCTTAATCTGTAGTAGAGATCTATCATATCAGTAGAGAACTTACACCAAGCAAAATCTGTTATATCTAACATATCAGAAGAGAAATATCAATAATTTAATATGTTATAGAGATCTAACATATCAGTAGAGAACTTACACTGAGCTAAATCTGTGGTAGAGATCTAACATATCAGTAGAGAACTTACACTGAGCTAAATCTGTTGTAGAGATCTTGCATATCAGTAGAGAACTTACACTGAGCTAAATCTGTTGTAGAGATCTTGCATATCAGTAGAGAACTTACACTGAGCTAAATCTGTTGTAGAGATCTAACATATCAATAGAGAACTTACACTGAGCTAAATCTGTGGTAGAGATCTAACATATCAGTAGAGAACTTACACTGAGCTAAATCTGTTGTAGAGATCTTGCATATCAGTAGAGAACTTACACTGAGCTAAATTTGTTGTAGAGATCTTGCATATCAGTAGAGAACTTACACTGAGCTAAATCTGTTGTAAAGATCTAACATATCAATAGAGAACTTACACTGAGCTAAATCTGTTGTAGAGATCTAACATATCAACAGAGAACTTACACTGAGCTAAATCTGTTGTAGAGATCTAACATATCAGTAGAGAACTTACACTGAGCTAAATCTGTTGTAGAGATCTAACATATCAATAGAGAACTTACACTGAGCTAAATCTGTTGTAGAGATCTATCAGGGGGAGATACATCCAGTCTAATGGGAGCAGGGTCTCCGCCGGTGTGGAGGACACCAGATTCTGAACTTCTAATGCCTGCATTAAGAATCTGTGTCTGTAACAGAAATATTAAACTGTAACTTAAAGTATACATATTTTATTAAAATGACCAGTCCTGAAAAAAATATAGACAAGATTTACTAACTGTTTCAAATTTTATGTCAGTTATTCACTAACATCTTTCATATGAGATCCCGAAACAAAGACATGTGTTATACCTAGAATGTATAGCCATCTTTTGGTGGCTGGACAAAGCTTGAAGGTACGTGGCTCTGATAGGAACCAGTTGAGAAAGAGTGGCGGCCACCAGTTGCGTTTGATTGACAGTCACCTGTTCCTGGGTGACACTACACAGATGTACAGCATCAGACAACTGCAGGTTCTCCAGGGAACTGGTCATCTCATCTTTGTCTTGTCTATAAAATAATTCAACAAACATAACAAAATACTGTAGATCACTAAATTTTCGCGATACCTTATTTTCGCGAGGTAGTCATTAATTCTTTATCAGTGAGACATAATTTTCACGTATTGTTGTTATATTCCTCTATATGATTGTAAGGAATACTTTTATAAACAAGAATGAAGTTTTCACCAGCTCATTGTCTAGCATAATTATGTGAAAATAAAGTTCTCGAGAATAAAAAGTCATTTACAGGGTTTGTTCCCGTTTTGCACACATTTTAATTACAAGTAATTAAAAAATGTGTGAAAACGGGAATTTGACCAGGTGAGATAATTACTTAATTCCTATAGTCTATACCATGATTAGTTAGTATGTGGAAGGTAAACTTATAGTGAAAAAGTAAGGGAATAAATTAGGGATGTCAAATTGGTCAATTTTCAATACTCGGTTACTCGGACGTTTTTCCGATCGAGTACCCGGGTACTCGGTAAAAGTGCAAATAAATATGAACAAGTAAATTGAAGACTGTAAAACATTGTAAACTCTTGTAGAAATAAAACCAGATGCACTGATAGGAGGCTTATCCGTAAATGTATTTCTTTTGTAATAATGATGAGCACTTCGTGCCCGACGAAATTAAACATTTTTTAAAATTCAATTTATTTATCAGATAAACACAAGATATAAAATCATAAGTTGTTCACAGTGTTTTTGTTTAAAAAAAATAATCTGCTCCGTAATTGTAATGTAACTCTTTGTAGCGTTTGACGACAAGGTATCAGTTGTCAGAGCTACGTACGGTATCAACTTGCACTTGATCAAGTCGTCCTAACAGAGCGGATTTGCGATTTTCGTACACTTTTTCGATCCTAGATTTTATAATATTACGGGACGGTATTTTGTAGTTTGGTGCAACAATGGCCATCAGTTTAATTAAAGCCTTTGCCTACAACCAGTTGTAATCAAACACAACTATATCGATAATCGCACATGTAATATCATCCGCTCTTTTCCCGAGAATTTACGGTTTCTCGGAGAATTGACAAAAATATCTAATTTATTTAAACCTAATGGATTTAAAACGATGTTCAGTGAAAACAAATAATTAAAGCCAAACAAAAAATAAGGGTAGAAGACAGCCGAAGGTGAGAAAAGTCAGGTACCCCAAGTGCTTGGTCACGATAATAACTGTATAAACACTGCCACAGGCGATAACGGTCATTTAGAGTCGTAGTAAACCCTAATTACTGTATGTACAAGTGCAATGAGCATTTTACGTTTTAAAAGATATTGTTTAATGCATAATAAATAAGCTTAGAAATATTCAAAAAATATACATCCGAGTAACCGAGTACCGATTTTAGTATTCGATACTCGGACGTTCGATCGAGTACCCGGTTAACCGGGTACTCGTTGACATCCCTAGAATAAATACAAAGTTATTGAATTATAATGATATTTTTGAATGAGATAACTCTGAATTTTTTCCTCTATTTTATAGTTCAAAATGTTGATACAACTGCATATATATTCACTTTGATGATAAAACATAGATTGATATAATAATCAACAATTTACTAACATGGAAAGACACAAAATTTCTGTACTATTTGTTACATCTTGAATTCATTTAGAAGACTTCACAGCTATCAAGACTGAAAATTAATGTCTTTTTAAAAAAAAATGTACTTAATTAATAAATAATATTAAATAAATATTAATATTGTATTCAATAAAATCAAATATTTTCCCATAAATATATATAGAATTTTAATAAAATGTTTGTAAAATTGTATTAAACCCCTTAAGAATACATTAAGCTAAATCAGGTATTCACAGGTAAATCAAAACCAGAAATCAGACTATAATTGCTATAAAAACACACTTCACACCTATTGTTCTATACCTAATTACAAATGTGTGCAAAACGGGAACACAATCTTAATCTTTAATTATTGAAAAAAATACCTTAAATAATTCAAAAGCATTTTACTTTTTTTTTTTAGCTCACCTGAGCCGTAGGCTCAAGTGAGCTTTTCTGATCACATTTTGTCCGGCCTCCGTTTAGCTGTCCGTCTGTCTGTAAACTTTTCACATTTTAGACTTCTTCTCAAGAACTGCTGGGCCAATTTCAACCAAACTTGCCACAAAGCATCCTTGGGTGAAGGGGATTCAAGTTTATTCAAACGAAGGGCCACGCCCTCATTCAAGGGGAGATAATTGGGAATTATTGAAAATTTGGAGGCATGTTTTAAAAATCTTCTCAAGAACCACTGCGCCAGGAAAGATGAAACTTATGGGGAAACATCCTCAGGTAGTGTAGATTCAAGTTCGTTCAAATCATGACATGCAGGGCCACAATTATGGCACGCCAAATTCACAAAAATGAGATAATCATAGTTTCACAATCGATAAACTAGGTTTATTGGTTGTAAACTATAGTTAACAAACCGTAAACTGTAGTTAACAACGTTAATCTATATTTCACATCATTCTGTAAACCATAGTTAAAGTGATAATCTATGTTTCACAACCGTAAACTATACCTAACACCGAAAACAATCATTTGCGATTGCAAAACATAGATTATCTGATAAATACAGTTTCACGATTTGTAAACTATAGTTTACAAACCGTTAACTATAGTTAACGATCTGATAAATATAGTTTCACAATTTGTGAAACTATGATTAACAACTCTTAACTATAGTTTACGATTGTAAACTATAGTTTACAAACGTGAATCTATGTTTATCAACAAAATCTATTGTTAACGCTTTATTACAGACAGATAAACTTAAATTAACATTCGTAAACTATAGTTAACAACCGTTAAATATAGTTTTACAGATGAAAACAATAGTTAACGAATCGTTAACTATAGTTCACTGTTTGTACACTATAGTTTACAGTCGATAAACCTGGTTTGTGAATTGTGAAACTAGGTTTAGCTCATTTTTGTGAATTTGGCGTGCCATACACAATGGCCGACCAAAGTTTTACATAAAAATATATAGGAAAATTCTTTAAAAATCTTCTCAACAAGTATTGCAAAGCCATAATTGATCATATTATATGGAACCATCCTCAGGTAGTGTAGATACATGTTTGTTCAAATCATGACCCCTGGGGGTAGGGCGGGACCACAATGTCAGATCAAAGTTTTACATGGAAATATATAGGAAAATTCTTTAAAAATTAGGGCTGGGCAAAAATATTGATATTTCGGTATATTGCAAAACAATGACAAAAAATATTGTATTGCAATATGTTTTTGTAATATCGATATATCGGCAATATACTTAGACTATGGAATTTTATCATTAAATATAAAAATAAATGTAAGAATTAAAGGCTTGTTATTAAGCCAAACAGTAAGACAGAAGCTGTTTTATGGTTGTATTTCAGAGCATTACTTTGATAAATTTAACAAGATTTTTTTCTTTTGGCTACTTATCATAGTTATGTACATTCTGCATGTAAATTAAAGTAAATTTATTAAGAAAATACCATTTTATTTTCGTTGAAAATATTGCAATACATATCGCAATACAGTTAAAAATATCGCAATATATCGCAATACGAAATTTCTGCCCAATACCCAGCCCTATAAAAAAATCTTCTTTTCAAGAATAGCAAAGGCATAATTGATCATATTTATATGGAAGCATCCTCACGTAGTGTAGATTCAAGTTTGTTCAAATCATGACCCCCAGGGGTAGGGCAGGGCCAAAATGCCTGACCAAAGTTTTACATAGACATATATAGGAAAATTCTTTAAAGATCATCTGCTCAAGAATAGCAAAGTCATGATTGGTTATGGGACTACTTTTGGATTTTAACTTTTCCATAATAAACCGATTTCCACCTTTTCCTAGCCACAGTGCTCAGGTTAGTGATGTGGCCCATGGGCCTCTTGATTAAATGCATATACCTTTTTTACTTACAAACTATTGAATACTGTAGATTCCTTATTTTTCGCGAGTACTTATTTTCATGAATGGGCTCTTCGACGGCAAATCACAAGAAAAATAATTCGTGAGTGGAGTTTGATCAAGAGATTGTACATAGATTTCGGCACCATAAAAATAAAAGCGAGTAATTTTATTTCGCATGTGATGCTTCACGCGAAATTATGCAATAATTAATTCCACGCATATATTTAGGAATCTACAGTAGTACTTTTCATGAATTCAATTATAATCTCAAAGAATTTATCAAACTTACTTTCTTTATCAGTTTACTGAGTAACTTACTTCCATACATTTGGTGAGAACATTACTGTTGATAAAAGGTCATGAACTAAGAACTCATCTCCATGTTGAAGTTGTGTCATCAACCTGAGCATCAGTTTTTGTACCAGAGGGGCTGTCTTCTCACTGGCAGGCTAAGAATAAGAAACTTTGATTCATCATTTTATTCACATACAGTAGAAGTTCAGTTTAATTAAGTGATTTTAAGTTGACTCACATTACTGGTGACTAATTTTATGAAGAAATACATCACTAAGTCTTCATATTTGTTGAAATGACAAGAGGAGGTGGATCTTGGACAGTTTGCCATTTTCCTTTGATAAGTTAATAAGTGTCCTTCAGAAGAAATAAGGTCAGCAATCTACAAAGAGAAGAAGTTGTGGTGTGCTTAAAGTATACAGATACAGTAAAACTCGTTTAGTATGAATACAGATATTGCGAATTCACGGATATAGCGAAGTCATCTTGGACCCCAAGCTATATAATTTTAATGAATTTTTTATATGTTTATAACAAATTATGGATATAGCGAAGTAATTTCATAGGTCCCAATGACTTCATTATAACCAAGTTTTGCTGTATGTATATAGTATATGGCATGCAGTGTTTGCACTTTATATTTATTTACTGAAGGAACATATCAAAATGAACATCAACTCTAAAATGATTAATCTTTGGGGTGGGGTTTTGACAGCAAAAATGTTTGTATAAAAATCTTTCTTTTGGCTGTTTGTTTTTTGCTTTTTTAGCATCCACTGTGGCTTTAATAAAATTTTAAAAATTCATATACCTTTGCTTGAAGACCTTTGTGAACTTGACTGGTAATACATAACACCCTCAGAACTGCTCCCACCATACCAAAAGGTGAGTATTCCTGTAGACAGGGTTCTATTAAGTGGCCATCATTTATTCTCAAGCCAAGCCCTGGCAAATTGTCAGCATATTCCCTTTTTAACTGATGTTCTGGGTGCAGGAAGCTTGAGCAAGAACTGAAATGAGCAAATATTTTCAATGGTGCTTCATTATTCCAGATTTCCCGATGACTTTTATCCAAATAAAATGTTCTCAATAAACATTTGGATTATTGAATCTCTTGCAAGAAACTTTGCACAGTGATAAAACTCAATTTCATAATCCTTATGATAAAATGCCTAAATAAGTGGAATACAGAATAACAATATGTGACTACACTTTAATAAGCACCTTAAGAACATGTGTTCTTATTAAAGCATCAAACAAAAATACCGGTACATTTTTTTCTTTAATGCATATTTTACATAAAATTGAAAAAAATAATTGTATTAACAATTTCCAATGATTTCCTTTGATAATAGTTACCATAAACTTGAGATGACGGCCTGGAATCCCAGAGATTTGATGAGCGGTTCTAACACATCAGTAAATATCTTCTCTATAGACTGAAGTCCTGCCACAGGATCAAAACTTTTCTTTAAAAGAGAAAAAAATGCATGTTAAATGGATTATTCCTCCTGGCAACAGTGTACAAAACAGAAAATGACATTTTATCAAGATGACATTTGAATATACAGCTAAAATGAACTAACTTACATGTGAAGACCAGGATGAAATATATGATGCCATGAAATTCAGACATGAAACCTCATAATCTAAGTTGAATTTCTGCAATTAGAGAAAAAAAAATCTCTGATACATATGACGCTCAGAGAAAATATCATTCCACTATTAAAAATTCCGTATCACAAGACATTTTAGAGAAATGACTTGACAGAAAATTGATAGCTATATTGTTCACTCATGTCATACCTTATGTTGATATGTATTTTCTAGGTTTTTTAAGCATTTGTGACAAACATCCAGGACAATCTGACTAACATCAGTGATCTGGCTCCATGTGACACTAGGCAATAAATTTTGATCTGAGTCACTTGGAAGTTTGCTGTAGCAAGAAACATAGAGATGTGAGTTAAATTTCATGTATACTCTCATTTGATCTGCATAACAGATTAGACTAGACTAGACATTTCAAAAATGAATTACCTTGCACTTGATCCAAATTTCCTCTGATCACATTGGGCGGCCAATAATACAACTGATTCTAGGACTGTAATAAATGCTGTCATTCTTGTACACTTAAGAGTGGGACTCTCTAGGTAATCCCTTTGAAGACCCTCTAACTGTGACAGTATGCAAGGAAAAATGTCTCTAAAAGTAAAGAAAACATAACAAATCACAATTCATTTATCTCAATGTTATGAAAGATTCACATAATCATGTGCTTGAAGTTATGAGCAACTTTTGGATGTGAATTGATCTAATTATCTAATATTAAATTCTAGGAAGTTAATGTAAAACAAATGAAAAAGTGATCTGTGCCAGCTATCCACTGCTGGTAAAATTGTAATCCAGGGATAGTCTGGCATTTCCTTAACTACTAGCAGTCTTTCTATATCCTCCTATACTGTGTCATGCCCTCCTAGACATAACTGTTAAGCTCTGGATATTAAGGAGCTTACGTGAAGAGATCTGCAGCCAGACCATAACTAAGACACGCCCTCCATGTCCTGTAGCTCTCTATCTGTAACCTTAGAGCCTCACTCTGGGGGAGCAGCAAATCACTGTTCATTAGGAAAATAATTCTGTTTAAGACAAGCTCGATGCTTAATACAGTGTAATAACAATGTTTAAAATAATAATTTTTTTGCATGAATATAAATACTAAATTAGGTATATTTCTCCTTTATACATAACCTTAATTTTGAATATGTGTACCACTTTTTAGCGATTCAATCGATATGTAAACATACATAACTTCAACAAACAAAAAATACTCACTCTGCATTTTTCTCCACCAAATATCTTAAAAACCTAGCCTTTATATGGTATTTATCAACCTGAAATAGAAAATTGTAAGATAATGGCTTGGTCATAGAGACAGCTTGTCAATAGAATTCTCAATATTTTGCTATGATTATTAAAGCAGAATTTGTTACCAGTGTAGCTGCCAAGTTCCTTCCAGACTGAGCTAAGCATCTGACAAGCTTCATTGCCATGGGTACAGGAACACCATAGAGGTCTGACAAGGGGGCCTTCACATCTATAGAACAAACAAATCAGACTGAATGATCACATTGTCACAGTGCAATATATGAAATGATATAAAATTCCAAATCTGATACTGAAATTGTGAGCAATTCCTCGAACGGTGTTAAACTGCCAGTGTTTGATACTATGTTACATACATGAATATATCTATATATAGTTGAAAATTCATCCAAGTGCTTTTCGCACTTTAAAATTTTCAACAGTATCAAGAAATACAATGTACCTAACAATCTCCAACTGGTGGGCAGGAATTCTTCAACAATAAGCTCTAATAATCCGTGGCATCTTTCCACCTATAAAATAAGTTGAAGACAATCAAAAACTTGACAGAACTTTGTGTTATGTTAGAAATCTTCTTGATTATCTAGAACTGTTCTGACCTCGTAAGCCATCTGCGGTGAGTGCCTAACAATTCTTATCAGAATCTCCAGACCCTGAAGGACGGTGGGAGCCTGAGGGTGGGAGTGGAACAGAATGTGGTGTAGACAAGGGAGGAGGTTCATTCTCATCACCAGACACTGTAACAGAAATATCCAACACTTACAGGAAATATCCAACACTTACACTTACAAATTACATTAAACAACGACAAAAGTGAGTGCATTGTTTACTGTCTATAGCTTCAGAATATCAGAAACTGTAAAATGTTATAAACAAATTGAATCAGTATTTTTCGGTACTGGAGAAAAATTAATTATAACTCCTTTATTACAGATAATTAACGATATTTTCTGAATTAAAAATATTTTTTATACCTACCAGGGTACTTAAAATAACATTATACATGTAAAAAAATGACTTTTAAAAAATGTTTACATAGATAACATCTCGTTTCAGCACATCAGCGTCTGTCTCTAATGGTTTTTCATCTTCTGGTGTGGGGTCATTGGAGGTCATTTCAGCTGACATTTTGGTGGTCTTGAGACATGGAGATACATGTCCTTGAAACCATGGCAACACTCTATCTAAAGACTCCTGTAACCAAAAACAAAATCAGTTTACTTTTATAGGAAATGCTGACTAAATATTACAATATTAGATTCACTATCTACAACACAAAATTAAATCAGTAAGACTTTGACCCCCTTCTCTCCAAAATTACAGTAGATGCTGTAGATTCCTAATTATATATATTCTATCTACTGAGGTCTTCAATCCATTTTGCAATATTACTTACTCAAATGAAATTAGGAATCTGCAGTACACATGTAGAAGATCTTAAACAGAAAATAATCTAGAAAATTCCTTGAGAAAAAAACAGCAATCTTTACCTCGTCAGCTTCTGATACCACAATGGAGTGCAGAGTTTTGACGGCCATGCAGACAACTCCCTCTACACTGTCATCCATAGCCCAGCGAACCAGAAAAAGGATTCCTGCATTTAGGACTGTAGGCAAGATGGCTGAATTCACTTGATCCTCCAGGTCACCATTTCTAGTCTAACAAAAAAATCAAGACTAATTTGCCAGCATACATTGACATATATAGGTATATTGATTAAATTGCAAAGACATTAATAGTTAAAATAATTTTAATATGGATTGCAATAACATAACCACTTTTTTTTATCAATTGTATGTAAACAAATTTCCTGTGAAATAAACACATTTACCTTAACTAGGATGTTTCCTAATGTTTTGAGTGATAGTATCCTCTGCTGTATGTTGGTGCTTCTACATAAAAGGAACAACTCCTCCAAAGAGTAACCAGCCCTCTACACAGAAAAAAATACTATAAAGTTTTATAAGTTAATTTCTTATAAACTTATCTCTTTTATAAACAAACATAACATCAAAAAGGGAGTTTACAAATATCTTCTATTGAAACATGAAATGAGAGGTAGAACTGGCTCATCGGCATTATGTAATAAGGATACTGTGAAAGTCTCATTATATTTCATTTGGTAGTTTGGGAGGCATTGCAGATATGAGGTGGGTACCCCAAGTGTTACAGATATATAGACAAAAGTCCAGGTACCATGTGCAGCCTTGTTTTTCAACTACATATATGCATCAAAAATAAAATAATGATGTCCTATTTTTGTGAACTCTAACCTCTGGTTCATCTCCATGGTGATGGAGGCCATACTTGACATCAATGCCTTCATCGACTGTCACCAAGTTTCCCTCAAAATCAAAACGAGCAGTTGTTCCTGTCTGAAAATCAATTTCAAAATCATCATACATATAAATGAACCAAAAACTAGAACTGTCCAATTGGGACAAAATACCCCCGCTGGGTTTTTCAGAAGTTTTTGCATAATAAAGATATGTATCAAACACGAATTATAAAATTTTTCTTCCAGTGACCTTGAACTTCCCAAATGACCTTGGGTCAAGGTCATGACACACCCATAGGTCATGGGCAATCTTTGTGTGAAATGAAAACCTACCAAGTTTATCCTTGATGGACCGGACACGAATTATTAAATTTTTCTACCAGTGACCTTGAACTTCTGAATGACCTTGGGTCAAGGTCATGACACACCCTTGGGTCATGGGCAATCTTTCTGTGAAATGAAAACCTACCAAGTTTATCCATAAGAAAGATATAGACCGGACACGAATAATGAAATTTTTCTTCCAGTGACCTTGAACTTCCCCAAATGACCTTGGGTCAAGGTCATGACACACCCTTGGGTCATGGGCAATCTTTGTATGAACTGAGAACCTACCAAGTTTATCCATAAAAGATATGTGTCAAACATGAATTTTGAAATTTTTCTCCCAGTGACCTTGAACTTCCCCAAATGACCTTGGGTCAAGGTCATGACACACCCTTGGGTCATGGGCAATCTTTGTGTGAAATGAGAACCTACCAAGTTTATCCATAAGAAAGATATGGACCGGACACGAATTATGAAATTTTTCTTCCAGTGACCTTGAACTTCCCCAAATGACCTTTGGTCAAGGTCATGACACACCCTTAGGTTATGAGCAATCTTAGTGTGGAGTAGTAGATTCTATTGTCCCTCTGTAAGAAAGATATGGACCGGACACAATTGCACAGACAGACGGACAGACGGACAGACGGACAGACAGACAGACGGACAAGGTGATTCCTATATACCCCCCCAAACTTCATTTGCGGGGGTATAAAAAGTGATTTTTACTTTTTCGCTATGCAGTTAAATAATGACAATAAAAAATACTCTATATTTTTGGGGAAATATACATATTACCGGTAGTCTTTGTCTTGTTCATGATTTAAAATTTTACGAAACATTGAAAGTGTTGTTTAAAGTCAACAATATTATCACTATAAAACTTGCCTATATATCTGAGTACCTTATTATGATCAGTGGAGGGTGGAGGAAGATCCTTCAACCATGATAATTTATCATACTCCACTTTATTCATGTGTATCCACTTCCTGTCAGGTTTGATGGGTAAGTCTAATTCTTCTCCCTCTTTAAAAACAATATGTGAATCATTACCATAAATGATCGTGCAAGAGACCCATGGGCCATCTCACACTGTAGAGTAACCTTGAAACAGTGAGGCAAAGTTTTATTGAAATTGGCTCTGTGGTTCTGAGGATGTTAATGTTTAATGACAAGAATAAGGACAAAACAGATAATGGCTCATTTAATCCTTAAACCTGGGGAGCTAACAACTAATGGAGAAAATAAGCTTAACTAGAATTTACATTTTTAAAGTATTGAGTATCCAAGCTCTTTCAATGAACAAAAAAGCCAATCATTTACCTTTAGGTGTCTGTTTCTTCTCAGATTGTTTTGATTCTGATGTTTCCATTTTCTCATCTTGATCAGAAGTGTGTGTTTGTCCCTCAGAGGTCTGTCTGTTTTTCTTTGATGTCAGAAAACTCACCAGCTTTGGATCTGAATTAACAAGACTTAAATTAATATACAAAAACCATTCCAACACCACAAACGATGAACACCAAAGTAACCAAACATTGTGGTAAATGTTTATAAGAATATAAATCTTTATCAAATGAAAAGGATAAAAAGATGAAAAGAGATTTCTTGATATTAACAGTCAGATAGGGTCATAAATTTTTTTTCTTTTCAAAAAAAAATAAACTAAATACATATACATATACCAGGGGTATGTTATCTTTATCAAAGTTTTTCTCCACAATCATGACTTGAAAATGAACGAAAATTCATCAGTGTTAATTTAAGATAGGAACAATTAAAATTTAAGACAAGAGTACCCAGCATTTGTAGGAGCTTATTCCTCTCTTCTAGAATTTCCTCTGATGACATGGTGGCCATTTTGTTCACATTTTCCTGATGAATTTTCTGAGCCTCTTCTTCACCAAAAGTGGCACTGAGTCCAGTTCCTTTGATGAAGTGGGGACCACTATTGCTTGAAGATTGAACATGTGTTTGTGTAGTCCTTGCTATTGGAAAATATGAAGAAGAAAATCATACACATTGGGTATGAATGTATTTATTCTAAAGCTAGGAAAATATCATGGTCAAAGGGTAATTTAAGATTCATAAGATCTGTACATTTAGTATACAGATTCTACCAGTTATAAACTGAGTACATTGTATAGTGTACCAACCTCCTATTCATGTGGATATAATGATTCTTCTTTTTCATCAAATACAGACAGTATATCAAAATTTATTTTCTAAAATATCAACAATATATCTTTTTGGGGTCCATGCTGTAATACCTGCTGTATGGGTTTGTGTTGGTTTCTCTTTCACCACTAGCCCTAGTTCACTGGGAGAAATCTTGGACATTTGTTGAGCAAAAAGACTTCTGGGTTTTTTGGTACCATCTGTCTTTTTCTGTGAAGAAGAAGCCAGAAATTTTATACACATATTATATTTATTTACATACACATAGCCACTAGAATTTGGGAGTTCCATGTCTTTTTAATTCATTAAGGAACATGTATTATAAAGGATATAAATGCCTCCTCCTTTCCAACACACCTATTTTTATGACATTTCACAACTGTGGATCATTTTTATACCCAATGCATTTCATAAAATGTACAAAATTAATACTCTGGCAAACTACACTTGACTAATATAAACATTCTATTGATAATCCACTGTTGCCCTTTAATTTCTTTATCAGATTCAGAGTTCAGTTCCAAACGAAAATGCACAAGTTTGACCTTGTCCTGATTGATAACTTTCTTCATCATCTGCATTTAACAATCTTTGTCTTTCTCCTTTTCAGTACTAAGGTCAAACTGTCCTTGAATCCCTTCCATCACTTATATATATAACTGCTCTACCATCTTATATTACATATATATTATCTCATTTATTTCTCTTTTTCTGTCTCTGAGGAAGACATATCACATTCAACAGAATATTTTATTATATCCCTCTGGAATATGTTTCCTACAGCAATTTGCCGCAAACTAAGTTGAAGTAAGCTTTGAAAACTAAAATGCTATTCTCCTGTCTCTGGTAATATTATTTGAAGATTTGTGATCAAACTTTGAGGTATATTCAGAATTTAATGAGTAAGTGATAACTTACCTGTTCCAAATTTCCTCTGTGCATGACCTTAGGGAATCCTGAGGAACACTCCAACACAGAGGTGAATGGCTGCATGTTCCTAGTATCCCTCTCCTAGGGACCAAAACAAAGGCAATAATGTATGATGTATAATATTTAATGGGAACTTTATTCTTAAATAATGTCCAACTTTGACAAAGCACTGTATGAACAGTTGTTTCTACACAAATAACTTACCACAATTTTAGTAAGAACTGCTGCCATATGTTTGTCATGCTCTGATAAAAAAAAACCCAGATAAGCTCATCTTAATTCAAATTGGAAATGTAAAAGTGCATGCACATGTAAATTCAATCATATTGTACAATTGTTTTAGGTGATGGAGCTCAATTTTTGTTGGCAATCAAAACATTATTGGTTTGTGGTAATAACAACTTTCAAATTTACAATAATTTATATTTCCATATGCAGGGTCACCTAAAATTTACACGCCGCGTTTACATGTGTAAAAGTGACCAACTGTTTTTTTTTCTCTTTATTGGCAAATTAATTGATTAAAATTTAAAAAGGGGCATCTCAGTGCTTGTCAAATCATACGATATTGCATATAATGAGGGGGGAGGTAATTAACTTGTAGTTATATACAAAAAAAATGACAAAATGCATATTTTTTCATCAATTTCCAAGTGCTTTACAACTTAAATATTATATTTTACTAAATATATATGCTAAATCTTATATGCATAAAACATAAAAAAAGATTTAAGAAACATTTATCAATATCCAAGACTATTTCAGAATATGGTGATGCTTTATATCCCAATTTCAGTGGTAAAAATCGTCTACCACCCTTATTTCAAGAGTTGGAATTGGGAATATTTTACTATTTAACACTGGAATTAAAATAATTAATCAATTACCATTGAACTATTCTTTGTACTAAACAAAAATTTTATGGCCAAATTGTGATATATATCGAATTAAATGGTTGTAAAATGTAGTCGGAATCAAAGGTTGCCGTGCGTAGTTCTTTACAAACAACATTGGTTTCCATATATGATGATAATTAGTATATAAATTATTGTAGGAATCCAAGGACCAAAAGCTGGACTAAAATGCTGGTAACCTGAGGAAACTTACTGTCAATAATTGCCTCTGGATCATCTCCTGCAGCAGCAGTTGCAGTTTGATCCCTTGATGCTGAAAACCTGCTTTTCTTGTGAGGAATCTGAGGACCTCCATGATCATATTCCGGCTTAGTGGAGGGAAGTTCTTAAAAATATATCAGACATGCTACTGCTTTTTATGATATCATTTACTTGTCCCCCTTTTCCATTTTCTAAGGTAGAATTTTGCAAAATTTTTTATTCTCTCATTCTCTCTTGTAAATATAGAGATGGATAGCAAAGGAGAAGGGAAGTTCTTAAAAATATATACCTAAGTGGTATTTATATCTGACATGTTAATGTTTTTTATATGATATCATTTACTTGTCCTCCTTTTCCATTTTCTAAGTTAGACTTTTGTACAATTTTTTATTCTTTCTCTCTTGCAAATATAGAAAAATTGATAGTAAAGTAGATATTTCAATGCACTGAATGCAGTAGTAATTTAACGTATCGAATATCAAAGTCATTGGATCTTATTCTGCGTAGGAATCTTCCGTAAACAGCAGATCAAAACAAACTGAATTCAAAACGTTTTATATGAAATAAATACCATTGATTTCGACTACATCCTTTTCACAAAAAGCAGTTGTTTGGGAAGTCGAAGTTTTTCTTTTATCTGGTTTCTTTACAAGACTGGCGGCACTCTTCTCTTGCTTGGCAAGGAATTCCTGCTGAAATCTCAATAAGTCGTCCTCTGATTCTCCTGGTTTTGGGCGTGGTATCATTCTGTTGATAATTTTCTCCTGCAGAATTGCTCAATTGATGGGCGCTGCCATTTTAAAAACACCCGGATATAGAAACAAACATTAAAATATGTCGAGCAAAATTTATTCCGTATACTTTTGTCAACTGTGAAACTCAAAAATGTTTTAATTCTTATGGTAGAAACAATGGAAAGGTAGAAACATAAATAATTTTATATAAGATACCATCAAATTGCATTTTTTTATTTTGCCAATATTCCACAATTTTTATCGTTTCAAAGTACGATCTTACCTTTATAGCCCAAACACTTCCGGTGTTTCTATAGAGACGTTTACATTGAAAAGGTAAGATTATTTCCCAGATGTACTCAAGGTTTTCTCATTTATTTTGAAATATTGTTTAAGTTTTTTAAAGTCACACTTCAATATTTAGTTAATGCACATTTTTTCTTTCTATTTAAGTAAACTGATGCCATCTTTGAATTGATAGAAGTAGTTGGCATTGCATTCAATAATTATATTGAGAGATGTCCTAGGGTCGGGAACATACTTAAGAGCTGATATACTAGGGAATTGATGGGTCTGATAAAAGAAATTATATATAAATTTATCAATTTAAACGTTATGTGCGAATTTTTGAGAAATATACTGAAAATAAATTAAAAATATATAGAATATTAGTTAGAATAATCTAACTGTGTCTCGGTACAAGCCCTTACCACCGGGTCCGTAGGACAATATCATTTTAACGATAGAACATTCTATCTAATAGAATATATTTAATTAAAAAAATGACCCGATTTTTTAAATGACCAGATATTTCAATATGTTTAAAGGTATCTAAACATTGTGTTAAATATACTTTTTTGTAATTTTGAAATTTTTTGCAGCTGTGTCTGAACACTGTTATTAACTTAGATCAGTCCATAAATTGATATTTTAAATTTTATGATAGCAGCATGTGTAATAATGTTTTGTGACATCATTGTAAATTGTTCTATTTTAGCATTTTTTAGAAATACAGCCAGAATTTTCCTCATTATTACTCCAATGTTTACTGTCACAGGTCAACATATATTGGGCTTTTTTCAGAATCTTCATCGTTATCAACAGAACCCCATTACAATGGCTGACCAAACTGAACAAGGGCCAGCAGTGGATGATGACAACAAGAGTACCAAAAGTGGACCTAAAAGTCAAGCCGGATCAAAGCCAGTATCCAGGACTGGATCTGCACAGTCTGGAAAAAGTGGTAAAAGTGGGGGAAGCAAGAAGGCAGGAGATGCCCCTGCGCCTCCCTCTCCCACTGGGTCAGCTAAGGATAACCCAGCTGCAGACTGGAGGACCATGAGAAGAATCATTGCAGAGGATCAGGAATATTCCCTTGCAACAGTTCCCAGACTTATTGAGTTATGCATTTCACACATTGTGTCCAATTTTGAAAGTAAGCATAATGCAGTGCATAATTTATCAATGATTGTATATATATAAAGCAACTACAGGCAAGATTCATTTTTAAACTTTGATGGACCTGTATTGCATTAATATTTAATCCATAATCTGTATATTACAGATAATTCAACAATCCTGAACAATCTTCTACCAAAACACAAGTCAATAGTCCTAGAGAAGATATCAACAGACCTACCACTAAAGATCACAGCTAACCTTGTTGAAGATGAAGGTTACTGGAAACGTTGCTGCAAAGCTCGCTGGCAAATCTGTGATGTAGCATCATATGGTAACAATTGGAAGCGAATGTACTTTGAAAGAAACCTCCAACAAATCATTGAACACTTTGTCCCAGAATCAACAGATATGACAGAACTAAATGAGACTCTACCATTATCTGCTAATTATGTCAAGAGGTTAGATGTCAGACAGCTCCTTCCACCAGTAAGGGAGGCCCCAAAAGGTCCCGATTTTGATGATGCTTCAGATGCTGGAAGTGAGGCTGGGGATGAACCAGAATGTGATCATTTCAATTTTGGGCCAATTTTAAAACAGCTGCCTAATATAGAAGAACTACATTTAACATATGGAGTGAAAGACTGTGGTATGAATTTTGAATGGAACTTGTTTAATTTTACTGCCAGAGACTGTTTGCTTTTAGCTCAGTGTGTGGCAGCTACAAAGGGACTCAAGGTGTTTAGGCTTCATAGAAGTAAAGTAGATGATGACAAAGTCCGAGTGCTGATCAGTCATATTCTGGACCACCCGGGTCTGACAGAGTTAGACCTCTCACATAATGTGATCAGTGATCGTGGGGCCAGAGCTATAGGGAAGTTCCTCAATAACCACAGTCAACTGGTGAAGCTGAATCTTTGTGATAACGATGTCCGACACAGCGGAGCTCAGGCCATTGCCCACGCCCTGACCAAAAACACCACACTGACAGATTTGAACATCCGACTGAATCGGTTAGGAGACGAAGGAGGGCAGGCCATCTGTAAAGCTCTGCTGAAGAACACAACTCTCTGCAATATTAACATGGCCAGCAGTGATCTAGGAGAACCCACAGCGGCCATCTTCTCTCAGGTCGTCATGCAAAACACAACCCTCAAATCAGTGGACCTGGCATCCAACAGACTTGGTGCAGTATGTATTTTATATTAATGTTTGTAATGTAAAAAGTTACATGTATCTATTTCCATAAAACATTATGATAAAAAAAGTATTGGATGTAAAATATTCGTATGTTTCAAACAAATCAAAATTGACAGATATTTACCAAATCAGAGGACAAAAAATTAAATCTTTTAATTGACTCTGTCATGTATTTTTTAATTTTCTCTTTAACATATGACAAACTTTAAGAAATTTAACTTGAGATACTTAACAGTTTCCTTCAAATTTTTTTTGTTTTCTAACCATCAGGAAGGTGGGAAGCAAATTCAAGAGGGAATGGAGGACAACACTACTATCACTCATATGGATCTTAGACTAACTGACTCCGGACAGGAAGCCGAGTACTGCATTAACCAGATCCTACACCGGAACCAGGAAAGAGAGAGGGAGAGCAAGATTTCTGAACCCCCACCCCCCTCAAAGAAAATCCTGCCTCAGGCTGCCCACAGGTTCAAGTCCACAAAGGCTTGAGCAAGAAACTGAAATCTGGTGTGAGAATATAAACATTTGATATATAAAGATACTTGTTTATCATCAGAATTATTACCAGGTAGAAATGCTGAGAAAGACAGAAATAATGTTATATTTAATATAAAATTAATACACTTCTGTTATCTTTTCTATGTGTCATGTGCTACACTAAAGATGTTTGATAAATAATGAAATATACATGGTTTTTTATTTCTTATGTTGATATCAATGGGTACTGGAAGAATCATGCGCATTTAAAATATTTATTCTATTGAAGATAGAGATAAATAGAAAGAGGTCTCTTGGAAACTCAAATTTGGTATACAAATATATTTAAATCAAATCTTTTAAAAATGTATTGAACATACATGTATCATTAAACCTCCAATGAAAGTGTTAATAAAGGCAGACCATTAAATTCCATGAAAGCAGTTAGTGTTCTAACCATTTGTGACTTTATGATTATATGTTTAACAGTTGATAGTATCTCTTGTATTTGACACCAATGTGTTCACTTTTAATGTGTAAGTTCTGGCTGAAAACCATCTTTTATTTAATTTTTTACACTCCTGCACACTAAAGCAGTTTATTGCAATATATACAACATTTACAATCAGTTAAAGAATGCTTTTCCAGTTAACTTTTCAAGGGAAGAAAATGTGTTTCAATCATTTGCTAAGGAAGGATCCAGTAGGGCAGTAAGGGCAACATATTCCTTCTTTTCCTCAGAGATACTGTTGAACAATGGAAAAATCTTCTTAGGAGGAATAAACTCCCTTTAAAATGTAAAGTAAGTCAGACATGTAGTAAAAAAGGGATACGATCTGTGCTTGAGCTCTCCAGGTATCCCATTTTCACCAAGCATCAAACATATTGTTTTCACATTCAAGTTACTTCATTTTATTCTCCCAAGAAACATTAAACAGATTTTTTTTTACACTCCCTCCCCTATTGTATACATCATGAAAAAAAAGAAATCTTGCTTATAACATTTATTTATTTATATCTTTATACTAAAACAAAACACGACATGTTTATTAAATACTGTATTTATTAAATATAATCATCTAAAGGGTGTTAAGAAAGTTCGTTCCACATTTTTCTTTTATTTTCGAAAAGAAATTCGATGAGAAGATATTTACAATTTGTGATATTTCATGTTTACAGAGTCCATTCTTGCTACTGATTAGGTTTTAACTGTATTTTGTTGAATCAATAAGGGGAGGGCAGGTATTTAAAAAGATGATGTCTTTTCAGAAAAAAATTAGAGATGACGCATATTTGTGACATATAATAATCTCAGAGCTCAAAACGTCCTTTCAAATATAACGCAAAAACTATTAAATCTGTGAAAAACTTCAAAATGAAAAACCTATTCTTTTGAAAAATGATCTATCGTTCCTCTACCTACGCTCATCAGCTTGTCTGATGCAAGTTAAGCTATGAAGAAACAAAAGTAAATTATCCTTTATTTTCACTCAAAATGACCAGCATTTCTATTATTCGGGTGCTTTAAAGATATTATATATATTTACATTTGGAAGAAAAATCATATAATTCCCTGCTAGAAATGAATTGCTATAAACCTAAAGCACACTCTTGTGATTTTGTCAGACTTGAAAATTAATCTCTTTTATTAACCACTACTTTGAAATTTTTGAAAATATTTTATCACGGAACGAAGTTTCTTAACACCCCTTATAATATAACAACAACAGAAAATAACATAATTTATATACATTAAACGGAGATCACCATTAGCTCTATAATAAACTGCTAGAGAACATGAGGTGGTCATACTGTAAGTTGGGTAATTTCTGCGTTTGGCATTTTTCTATAGTTGAAAAAATAATCATTTTTTTATTTTTTAAAAGATAGTTAAAATATTTATTTGGCACAGGTCTATCACGAACACATAGAAGTATGTGAAAAATACGTTTGGATTCATGTGCAAATATGTACTTGTTGTGTATAATGATACAAAAGCGCTGAAATAAACAGTAAAAATGAACAATAATATCAGTTACTTAAGAGGTAGCAAAAATTGAGAGAGAGAGAGAGAGAGTGAGAGACACAGAAAAAGAGAGAGAGAGAGATCAAGGGATACAGCAATGACAGTTAAGCAATGTTGCAAGTTAATTCAGTTCAAGTAGCATGTAAATTAATTTTTGATAATGTTTGATATTTCTCTAAAATAAAAAAAATTGAGAGAGAGAGAGGTACAGCAATGACAAGTTAAGCAATGTTGCAAGTTAATTCAGTTCAAGTAGCATGTAAATTAACTAAAAAAAAAAAAGTCATTTTAATAGGTCAATTCGTAAAAAAAGAATTACATTGAAATGTGGTGGAAGACGTTCAATGAAATCCTCGAAAGACAAATTATATTCAGGCTTTGACTTGGATATTGTCTCTTATCATTTTTCCAATTCTATATCCGATTCCTGTTTCTTCTCGTGTGGATCCCAGCAGAGGGCTAACATTTGTGAGAAGACTGCTAAAGTAAATAAAATTCCCGCTAGTCCGTTCACGGTTTCGTAATTTCCCGTCATTTCCAGAAGAGCTCCTGTTGAAAAAAAATTATAACTGTATAAATTACCAAACTGGAAATAAATTAAAAGATCGAACAGTCATGCAGTGACTCCTTTTTCGGAGTAATCGATTTAAACACGTCATCTCTTCATACTACGCCATTACCATATTGCTCAGCTAGATAAGGCAACAAAAAGTGGCTGGTTACATTTTCTGCATTTTCCCCCTTAAAGTAACAGTTTTACGATATTCTGACTATTTTGATGCATCTATTCTTAGATCCGCGCCGTATACACACTGCATAAGTGTAAACGACATATAGAAGTCAGATTTGAAAAAGATTGTTTCCGCATCTTTTGAAACAAATATGATGATATCATATTTCTTCTTGCATCTCCAATTTGACATTGTTTTTATTGTATAAAATTCAACGGAGGAATCGCTTTTTATCATCGGGGTATCATTGTGAAAGGGGAACTAGTCATTAAAATTCAGACTAACTAACCTGCCATAGGAGAACCTATGAAGGCCGCTGGGCCTTTCAGCATGGTAACAAAACCAAACCCCGCCGTCATTTGCTCCAAACCGAGGTAGTCCATGATCATTAAAGGTTGCATCGGTGGAAAAAATCCTATAAAACAAACATAAGAAATTATTTCATTTGAATTCAAGTAGCAATTTCCCCGCAAAAAGAAAAAAAAACTAGCGTCAAAGTACCTGACTTCCCCAACACAAAAATCCTATTTCAATGGCGTGGGCTTTCTCTAATTTTCGGTACTTTTTTTCTCAAATGCTGGAATTTATCAGTGTCCAACCGTACGATAAAATCGGCAGCTTCCAAAGTAAATTTACATAGTAGAACTTTGAGATCCCCCCCCCCCCTTGCGCCTAACCCTTTATTTTAAAGATTAAAGATATACATTGTACTTATCATTTCGCCATTTACAAATTTATATACAATGTATAGATTGAGAGCCTGTGATCCACTCATTTTAATGATATTGATCTAATATATGCAAGTCTTAAATACCTAGGAAGAATCCATATGCAATGGCAAAGCCTATCAAGGCACCCAGAGTTGTACAGAGGAAGAACAGAAAGCAAGCACCAGCACTGATCATCAGTCCGATGTTACAGATGTTTAGGTGACCAAGACATCGAGTGTTAGCAATAAGTCCAGCGGACAAACGACCAATTGTATTTGCCACACCTAATAAATAAGTCACAATTTTTTCAAATAAGTTGCAACAATTTACTATCATATCTGTTTTGAGAATGTAGACCTACATTTATTTTAAATTTTGTCCACCTACCAAAAGTGGACAAAACGAGGCTAATATCAGCGGACGTCACACCAACGTGATTGCCGTAATCGCCGATGAACACCAATGGAATAGCTTGTCCCATCTGTGTCAGTAGGCAACCAATGGTTATAAATACGAAGGACCTACTTGAACAGAAAGCTGGCAGTGTGCAGGTCCCAGAACATTGCTGTACTTTTTCTTCAGGTTCTGTGACCTCTACTAGAGACTCTATATAGGGTCCTGTATTGATCGACCGATTACTTCCAAAAAGAATTGGAAGACTCAAAGTACCAGAACTGCCAAACATCAGATTATCACTTCTGTTTAAAAACGGCATGGACGCGTATCTATTATCGTCTTTCTCTATTCCATTTGCTACTGACTTTGGAAAGGGTGTTGTCGGTTCGTTTTCCTTTCGATTTATTATTTTCCGTAAAGGTCTCATCAGAGATGCACAAACGCAGAGCTGTAGAGTAAAACAGGCATAAATCAGAAAAGATCCTCGCCATCCAAAGGCTTCTATTGACTTTTCGATTACTGGAGACATTACTAGTAGACCGAGGCCCGAACCGGAGGTCAATATTCCATTGGCAAGGGAACGTTTTCGATCAAAATACTCGTTAACAATCACTATGGATGGCAAGAAGACCATCCCAACACCCAAGCCTGAAAATGAATGAAAGGAAGAACAGGATTAACGGGTTTAACAGATAATGGCGTCCACGTGAAGTCGAGTAGGTTCTTCTAAAAATAAGTACAGGTTTGATTAGTCGGTGGTCACTCCCTTGGCCACTTGGATGTTCCCCGGGTTCTAGTCTTCCTCTCATTACTGATTCTGTTACACCAATGAAAGACATTCATATAAGTTACATTGTAGAAGTTGTTTATCAGTTATTAAAAAGGAAAACAAAGTTTCATATATATTTTGTTTTATTAATGTTTACAAAAATAACTCACCACAAAGAAGTCCGTAAGTAAGGAATAAAATCAAAATGTTTGGAGCGAAGAAGGTCAAAAGGAGTCCAAGAGTGTAAATACAAGCTCCACAGAACATCACAACTCGTATTCCATATCTCTCAATCAAGAAGCTTGTAAAGAAACCTAACAATTAAATTTTTACCTTATAAAATAAAATTGATAAACATGTATCTAGTTCAAAGTGAGTCCGTAAGTAAGGAATAAAATCAAAATGTTTGGAGCGAAGAAGGTGAAAAGGAGTCCTAGAGTGTAAATACAAGCTCCACAGAACATCACAACTCGTGTTCCATATCTCTCAATCAAGAAGCTTGTAAAGAAACCTAACAATTAAATTTTTACTTTATAAAATAAAATTGATAAACATGTATCTAGTTCAAAGTGAGTACAAAATGTATGCAAGAAAGGATTTGAAAGTCGAGAGATGATAAAATAAGACGATCGACTTGAAAATGAACTTGTATATACTTTGGAGATATTTCTAAAGTACATAACCAGAAAACTAGCTGCAGATCCGTAGCTCTTCGAAAAAAAAATATTGATAGACCGGAGAGCTACAGTGCCACCCATTGAAAAAACTGTATATTTATTGCGCACAAAAAAATGCGCTCGCTTTTCGATTTATTTTTCCATGTTTTTAAAACTGCAATCCCCGGTCTATCAATATTTTTTTCGGAGAGCTACAGACCTGCAGCTACCAGAAAACATGACTTATTACACAAATCATATTCCAAAACCTTTTTACTAACTTATTATCAAAAATATGCCAATCAAGGTGGAGTTCAGCATTGACGTCACTGCGGCGGTCGATTTGAATTCCTCCATTAAAATAGGTAGAAACAAGCCAAAAGAACCGTTAAGTCCTTCTATACAAAACATGCTGTAGAAACTGCAAGCCAGAATCATCCAGGCGTAACCCCCATCTTGTGCTTGTGGTGTGACCTCGAGGTCGTCCTTGAAAGAGTGGTCTTTCCTTTGGATAAACCCATTTGCTCCAGAGTTTGGAGCTTTTTGCTGCAGTAGCAAATCTCGCTTTTCCATATAAGCTTCACACTTCATGTCCACTGAAAAGAAACAAGTTTACGTCCTAAAATATAAAGTAAATGAAAATACTCACAAAATTGTCACCGAGTTCACCAAGTAATGTGTATTTACCCATGGTATTTCTTAAAAGATCTTTTCATATACTGTAAATGTATTATATTTAGCGTGTATGATATTTGGCGGAAATTGAATTTTGAATGCTCAGTAAGTTAGCGTAGATTTGATTTAGCGCATTTCTTCACATTCTTATTTATGTGTATATGTGCAAGACATTTAGCGGTGTACTGGATTTAGCGGTTGTTGAGTTCCAACGAAGCCTCTAAAAAGAATACACAGCCAAATGTAATACGATTACAGTATATAATAATAATATATTGGGGAAATTATAAGATTTCATATATACATTTTCAGAAAATGCGAATAAAGGCATTGATTGAAATAGTTTTTGAGTTGGGTAGATATATATGATTATATGTATAGCTAATTAATAATTAATCAATAAATATATTTTAGGAGAAAACCCAATTAGGCATACAAGCATTTGGAGGAAATTGAATAATTTTCTTATTTCGAATAGCCTTAATTATATTGAAACGACAGAGAGATTTCAATTTTCAGAAACCACTTTTAGACTTTATTTAAATAATGATGTTTAAGAGTTATTGTTCTTGACGAAGGGACGATTAGCCTTAAATCATGTTTAAGCTGACAAAACAACAAAAAAAAATGTTCGTATCCTTAAATTATTGTTAGAGGGTTGACAAATAATAATTAAAACACTTGAAATATAAATTCAAATGATGGGATGGCTAGAGATGATAAATGAAATCGATGTAAAAGTAACAAAAACTAAAAAAAAAAAAAAAAAGAAATTCAAGGCTGACGATACTTGATAGAGATGTCAAAGTTGAAAAACATGTGTAGTAATCTTGACGAATATGAAAATACAGTACCTGTATATTCTGTATACACTGTATAGATATATCAATAATATTATACACCAAAAAAAAAGTCAAGAAAGCATGTACATACTAGTATATATAATTGCATTCGGAAATAGTCTGATTACCCCCCCCCCCTCTCTCTCTTTTCCCTTATCGGCGGTAGGATAAATAGGGCTGCTGAAGTTTTACCATTAATATACATTTTCCCAATTAATTTCTCATTCGGAAAAGAGCGTCAATAAGCCAAGGTTATAGCCTCGGCGACTACTTAATAGATCCAAGAATACACATGGTATCTTCATTCGATATTGCATTGAGTCATGTTAAATAAACAATATAATGCTTTAATAAGCTTGGGGAAATAAGATTTAAAGTTATCGAAATATACATACCAGCTTCGTCCTTCGAAAGAATCACTAAAATAAAATTAATATGAATCAGTATTTTTTTTAACTTTAAAAAAAAATCATTTATTTGTTAAGCTTGAAGGTTTTTACACTTGATCTACTTTGAAGTTACAGGCTGTTGTTTCAGTTCAAGTGCCGTAAAGGTTAAACTATCGTATCATGGTCCTTAAGATTAAACTCTAAAAGAAATGCATAGTCATCAAGTAACAGATTGCAAGAGGTGCAACAATCTTTCGGACAATGATCGATATAGACACGGAGAGAGAGAGAGGGAGAGAGAGAGAGAGAGAGAGAGAGAGAAGGGGACTGAATGTGACACACTTACTAGCGGTTAAAGAGTACTAGAACTAGTATTCAAGTCAAATAGTTTAGATCGTTTCTCATATGATCTACAAGGTATTTCATTTTTCATCTGAAAAAAGAGAGACGACATTGTGTAAGTATTATCAGAAAATACTATCAAAGCCCAGCAGGAACAATGGACAATGTGTAAAATGTCTACAATTCTCTATGAATGCTTAATTTTTAATCTGCTGGCCAAGAGAATCATACTAATTATATTCCTGATGAATTGTAAAGTATTACCTGATCTGTTAAGTAACATGTATAAATACATAACTTTCTTAGAAATAAAGCAAAAATAAATAAATAAATAAATAAATAAAATGCATTGCACTGGTCAGTAAAACATGCAGTATACCACGGTATGACTCATAAGTCATCCATATTCACAGTTTTATAAAAATTAATATGTTATCATTTACAGAGTGCAATTTGCCTTAGCATAAAAAGGCTTAATCAAACAAAGTAGAAAATTCCTTACCTGTTCTCTTTCACAGTCGTTTTATATATCTGAGTTCGGCACGTACACTTCCATGGACCTTGAAAATCGATAGGAGTATGTGCACCACTATTTTGAGAATCGGTATTGTAATCAATAAGTGAACTTAATTTTTCCTCACAGATATCAAGCACCTACTAATATTTCCCTGTACATATTTTGGGCATTAATTTTGTTATGTAGAGTTTACATTTAGAAAGTTAATGGGTTTCGAAAGTAGTAATAATCCCGAATCAGCTGATTATGTGTCATGCGCCAAAAGATTTAAATTAAGGAATGCAACAAAGTGCAAATTCCTTGTGTCTCTGATGAGCGCACTGGGCGCACTTGAAAAGTGACCTGGAACTTTAACATTCTTTTGATGTATCGGGTTCATATGAAATAGAAAAAAGAAACTTCCTTGATATTATATTTTAATCGTTTGAAAAAACTTTTACCATATTACTAGTATCTACATAATCATAATTCAGCGGGTAAACAAAATCCTTCGAAATCGACCCTGATTTTGTGTTGTAACGATGTAATTTGGAGCCCCCTCCCCTGGAAAATTGAAACTCTGTCTACGATTCAGATGGAGCAGCATGTTACTATTAAACACAATTTGAGCAATAGGCACATTTCAAAACTATAAAGTTTACATGCACTAGATAGACAACAGATCTACTAGAATTTGATACATTCAGCTTAAATTAAACAAAGTAGCCAATTAAACAAACAAAACCATTCCAACAAGAAATTCCTACAATTTTTAGTTACTTTACAATGTACATTTTTCAAATATTAACTCTGCAGATTCAGGGTGATCCAGATACCACCACCAATTGGGTCCATTCAAATATTTGATCAAATTGGTTCTACTTTTATATTAAACCAGGATTTTAATCAACTAAAATCAGAATTACCAAATCTTTCATAAAAAGGTGTGCAGTGAAATATTTCTTAAAGAATGATTGTACAGTCTTGAGCACAACGAATATAACACTGTTAAGACTAAAAATGTAACAATGGTAAAATCCATATGCCTTTTAAAACACAAAAAGTGAGAATTGTCACAAATGCTAATACTTAATAGTTTGTTTCATTTTACAACTATTTAGGGGCCTTAATAATCACCAAAATAAACACTTTAAACAAAAAAAAACCAAACAAGTAACCTTGCTAGAGAGAGAGAAAGAGAGAGAGAGAGAGAGAGAGAGAGAGAGAGAGAGAGAGAGAGAGAGAGAGCAAACTTACAAATCCTTGGTAAAGAATCTCCAAGTGACAATTTGTTGAGCCTTTGCAAACAACTTTGTTACAAGGCCAAAGAGATATAAAGGTAAATGCTTTTTGTAGGGAACTTATGAAACTGATCTGGCCTAATTTAGTGAAAAACAAGGTTCTCTCTGAAGTCTCCAGAAGCATAATGACCATTAAAATATATACTTACTCAGTAAAAGACCAAGGATGATAAGTAACCCTGCATTGTAAAAAGGGGTGCTTATGAGAGTTATCAGTGAAAAAGATTCTGTCCTTTATTTGAAGTCTATAAATATACATGTATTATGTGTAACACTTCTTGGTCATATTTCAGCAAAAGAGTTTGTTTTTACTATTGCAATCTAAGACTAAGTCTGTTTGAATTTACATGTCTTCTTAATTCTTCTAATAATCTGACTGATTGTATGCTCATTTAGACACCTTGCCAAGAACATGACCATCTTTTACCAAACTTGAAAATATTCTATATATCCAGTTTCTAAAATTATAAAATAACAACAACATGAAGGTACAATCATTTGAAAAATGCCCCTTGTCTAGTTCAAAGTTTGGGAACTATGAGATGAACAACCTGAACAATATCTAATTAATCTTTTAAGTGAGCACTTTATTGTAAATAAGAGGCCCACTGGCCATATCGCTCACCTTAGCAAATTGGAAAAAAACAGAAATCATTTCAATGTTGAAAAATTTCTGTGTATAAAGTTTCCAAGTACTCATTGGGTTCCTACCATAAACGGGGGTTAAGATTTTAAATCGGCACTATCTGAGGATGCTTCCATTTCAACATGACTAATCATGGCTTTGCTCTTCTTGAGGAAAACATATACTTTAATAAAAATTAAAGTATATGCTTTCCTATGTAAAACTCTGGTGAAGATGATAATATAAAAAGTTGACAATGAGACAAAATGACAGACATTTTTAGATCAGGTGAGCTAAACCAGAAGTCTCTGTCAAGACTGAAGTTCTACTGGTTTGTACTTATAGCAAATTAGGAAGAGAAAAATACTAAAGCAGTTGGGAACTGAAACTTTACAGCAACAAAAAATTGAATAATGATCCTTGATTAAGTCTCTTTATGTTCTTAGTGTAGTTTTCTTGCATGCCACATTATATTATAATAATCAGACTAAAACTGTATTTGAGTGCTATTTTTAGAGTATCAAACAGAAATTTCTATTTTTAGTAATCAAGGCAATAATGTTCATCGCAGTCAAAAACCGATACATAGAATTGTGTATCTTAGTGTAGTCTACTTGTGTGCCAACTTACATTGAATCAGTCTAAAACTGTAGGAGACGTAGCATTTTGAAAGAATTTCACAGAAATTTCTATTTTTAGTAACCACGGCAACACCGTTCATCAAAATTGAAAACCTATAAAAAGAATTATGTATCTTAGTGTAGTCTACTTGTGTGCAAAGTTATATTGAAATCAGACAAAAAGTGTAGGAGGAGTAGCATTTTGAATCTCACAGAAATTTCTATTTTTATTAACCACAGCGACACCCTTCAACGAAATAAAAAACCGATATACAGAATTATGTATCTTAGTGTAGTCTACTTGAGTGCCAAGTTATATTGAAATCAGACCAAAACTGTAGGAGGAGAAGCATTTTGAAAGAATATCACAGAAATTTCTATTTTTAGTAACCACGGCAACACCGTTCATCGAAATTGAAAACCAATATACAGAATTATGTATCTCAGTGTAGTCTACTTCTGTGCCAACTTATATTGAAATCAGACCAAAACTGTAGAAGGAGTAGCGTTTTGAAAGAATATCAAAGAAATTTCTATTTCTAGTAACCACGGCAACACCGTTCATCGTAATTGAAAACCGATATACAGAATTATGTATCTTCATGTAGTCTACTTATGTGCCAAGTTATATTGAAATCAGACCAAAACTGTAGGAAGAGTAGCATTTTGAAAAATTGTTTACAGACAGACAGACGGCCGGACGCCGGACGCATTACTATCGCATAAGCTCTTCTGGTCTCTGACCAGTAGAGCTAAAAATCAAGGAAAAAAAATGTCTTTGAATCAAAGAATTTTCAATTTTATTTAAATAAAAAGTGTGAAAATAACAATTATAAAAGAACCCAAAGTCTCTGATGAGACTGTAGCTCTACTGGTTATACTTACATAAAATTGTAAGTAGCACTTCAACTTAAAAATAGACAAAAGCAATGAATAGAATAGTAATCCTTTAATGTGATCTTGAGTTTTTTGTGGCAAAATTTATTGTTTTCAAACTAAAAGTAAAAATAGCTTTTGCAAAAAATTTACAGAAATTTCTAAATCAAAAACAAAACAACAACAACAACAACAACACCCCCCCCCCCCCCCCACCAAAAAACAAACAAAACAAGAATTACACATGTATGTATCTAGTGTAGTGTACTATTGTGCCAAGTTATATAATGAAAACACAAGTATCACTTTGAAAGCATTTCATGGAAATTTTTACTTTAAGTAACCATGGCAATTCAGTAAACAGATGTGTGCATCTTAGTATAGTCTACTTGTCTGCCAAGTTTTGAATAAAATATTTACAGATGGAAGGACAGACAGACTATGGACACCTTTTAGAGCATATTAATCTCTTCTGGTGTCTTGCCAGTAGAGCTTAAAAGAAAGAAATCATCAAACTGAAGTACCATTACAATAAACAGTTTTGATAACTGTATCCTATATATGATGTACAGAGTACAAGTGGACAGTTAATTAACCCGATGACAAACTGGCTTATGTCTATGAATAACATAGGGTTTAACCATAGAGGAAGGGCATTTTCAATCATCCTTTATGTAGCCATGTGTACATGTACCTTGCAACACTCAAGTAACTCTCGATATCAAACATTGTTTATAATCAAATGCTAAATATCAACTTAAGATTCAAGCATATTTCATGAATTGAACTTCCCTTATTAAAACAACTCACCAAATTTACTGCCCCTTTCCTCACTTCAAAACAAATACAAAACCACAAGTTGCAACCATGTCTTAATTATATTAGAATAGCTGAAAAAAAAGTGAAAACCATTTCACTTGGTGTTTACTATTACTATGTTCTTTGCTATTACTTCCATTTTACTTGGAATTGTGGTGTCCTTATTTGATACCACTTCTCAATCACTTGTTATTGTGTTGTCCTTTTTTGCTACCGCTTCCCTATTATTTTGTATTGTGGTGTCCTTATTTGCGGTTTCCTTATATGCCATCAATTTTCATATGCAGTCACTTGATATTGTGGTGTTATTTGCGGTGTCCTTATTTGTGGTTTCCTTATTTATGCCATCACTTTTCAGTCACTTCATAGCATTGTGGTGTTCTTATTTGTGGTGTCCTTATTTGTGTTTTCCTTATATGCCATCATTTTTCAGTCACTTGGTATTGTGGTGTTTTTGTGGTGTCCTTATTTGGTGCCTGTTGTTAGACTGAGGTGACAATCTCCCATCTGTGTGATCAGAAGCTGCCAGGGATGATTCCTCTCATTAAATCCATCCAACCAGTCAGTCTCTCCTAAAATAGGGGGCTCACCAAAGGGACTAAAAGACAGAACAACAAAATTGTTTCTATAGGAGAAACTATTAAAGTATTCATGTTTTTGTATCTACAATGAAATATTACTTTTTTAAAAAATATATTTACTACAGATATTTTGGGATCACTTGCTGAGCAAATTTTATGGATGATTTTTCCTAGCATATTACATGTATCTCTGTCACAATATGTATCTTTTGAACTACAAGAAAATTTTCCAAATGTTGCTTGGCATTATTTCTGTGTAAAATACCAAGGTTATTAACCTCACATTGACCTATGACTTTTCAAAACTGTCTTACATGTACAGTGAAAACCCATAATTGTCTACATATTTTCAACATTAGGATACTATGCATTCATATAAATTATACTGTACACAAGTTTGTTAGATGCCCATAACAAGATCCTTTTAAATATGATAAGTATTCTACGATGTGCCATTGATCTTAATATTTGACTTCAGTTGAGACTGTTCCCTTCCTTTTCTGAGTTTCTTCTTGCATTACATAAACAAAAAGGGTGTGTCTTTGAAAAAAGTAGTTTGTTGAATAGAAAGACATTCCAGATGTACTCAACTAGTAAAAAAAACTTTGTAGGTAAAACCGTAATCATAATCTTGACCTTTAACCCACTATCATAAACTCAACTTTTGCTCTATGTATTGGTATTATAACTGTAGATAAAGCATTAATTGTAATTTTAGCACTCAGTCTTGTTTTTCAAGTATCAAGAAGCTTTGTTATTGCAATAGTAAGAGCATTTATTGTAAATTTAGCACTTTATTTTTTCACAAAGTATCAGACTCAAAGACATGGCCTTGAACTTAACCTACTATTGTTATTTTATGCCAATAAATATTTGTATCTAAGGCTAAATTATAACAAAAATTGGATTTCTTTAAGTACCTATTTAATTTTTAAAATGATTTAATGGGGTACAAATATCAATTTTTTATAAGACCTTTTCCAAGATTTCTAAGAACCTTAAATCACATTGAGATTGATGGAATGAATATTGTTGTATGAAAAAATTTTAATTTCAACCTTTATTTTGAGACTTTTTGAATCAAACAATAAAGAGTTATCCTTCCTGATTGAGGAGCAGACTTCCTTAAGTGTTATACCTTCAAAGGAATTAAACTTAGGCCAAAATAAAAAATAATCTTGTTTCCTGTCACCCGACCTACCCTAGATTTTACCCTCCGACCCTAAAAGTGTTTATCACATTTTCATTTTGTGGGTGACTATTTTCCTGAAATACTAAAGTCGACCAACAATATTTAGAGAACTAATACATCACAAGTGTACAGGATACCTGTACTTTATAAAGAAACTTGCTCTGTAAACTGTTAGCATATTGGTTTCTTGTTATTACATGCTATATGTTTTGCTTTCATTGAGTTTTGGAAATAAATTTTTTTCTCATAATAAAAGGGGGACACTACCTACCATACCCTAATTTTTTTGGTCTAATAACCCTATAATCATATATTATTTTATTTTTGATTAGGCCTTAAGATGGGATAACTTTCTACAATTTGATGCCATATACTTTTCCTAATTCTCAAGGTAAGATTTGTACTTTTCCCAAACAGTGGAATAAGTAGTAACAAATTTGTTAAAGTTCAATAAAAGTTCTGTGGGTCATTTTAAACTTGTTTGAGTCAACAAATATTAAAGACCTTGCCATCCAGTGTATGTCACCAGCTCTAAATTACTCAGCTTATTTACAACAAACATGGATTGATAAAAGGTTAACTTTCTAACCTTGTATTTGTTATCAGACATGAGGGATAAACTTTATATACAGAACACATGTCCAGAAGCTAAACCTAGAGATGTATAGCTTTTTATAGAATGTTTAATAATTAAAGTACATCCAAGATGAAAAGGGGGACACAGGTCATGCTGACAACATTACAATTTATATAGGCTAATAATTTCCCTATAATCATATATTCAGTCCCTTAAAATATATTTTGATTAGACCATGAAGATGTGGATAACTTTTTATACTGATATTTAATTTCACAATAAAAAATGTGTCCCTGAAAAACTGAGAAAAGACTCCAGGAAAAGGTAATATCCGTCTCCTGACTAGGAGTAAAATAAATGGGTTGGTAGGTAGGTGGAATTTTTTTTTTCAAGAAAATTTCAACATATTGGTACTTGTTGACAAGATGAAAATTTGGAGAAAAAGAATTTGCAAAAATTGTCATTTCTTGCAGGTTAAAATAATTACTTAAGAAAAGGTTTTGAATCAAGCCATTTTCATCCAGGCGGTCAAGAGAGCACAAATATTTTTTCAAAGATGGCCTAAATATATTTTACTGTCATTCATAGTCTATCTTGCTACCTTAAAATTTTCCAAAAAGTTGTTGTGAACTTTTTTTAGCCTAAAAAGGGTATTGCTTTTGGAAAATATGTTTGTAATGCAAAATGCATTTATTTTATGTGAATATATTCGAATACTCCTATTGAATATTCGAATATTAATTATTGACAATTTTGACATCCCTACTTATTTGGTAGATTTAGTAACAGATGTACTAGTAAGTATACATGCAGATATTTATCAGAACAAAGAATGATAACTCATTTCTGAATTTTGGTGGCTTAGCATTGGGAAATAGGCTTGCTTGCGGGGATTCAGACCCCATCAATGATATGCTTTTTTTCTAATACCAAAATGAAAATTAGACCCATTTAAAAACTCAAGTCACAATAACAAGTTACACTTTCCCTTTAATATTCGGCCCTGACTCCTTACATTATTACATATAACTTTAAATGGGTTATGAATATTCATAATTTCATTTTGAACAAATTGGTACATTTCAAAAGAATGGAAGAAATTGCTATAGGAGATGTTTGAAATAGGTGTGTATCAGTTTATCAAACTGATGCACTTTTTTGAAGGGAATCTGTGTTTTTACAGTGGTAAAAACCATAAAACATGCTTATAGTGAACAGACCTTTTAATTACCGGTATTGATGATAACAGAAAAGTAATTTTCATTCCCCATGGCTTTAAAATACATTGCAAACTTAATAAAGGATATAACAAAAAAAAAAACACGTTTATAACGAAGAAAAATCGTCCATCATACACTTCATTATACACTTGTTGCACTGTATACACAGTCAAACCTAATGGTCTAAAAATTGATGAGACAAAAAAACTTTGAGATATCCCCAGATATCAAGGATAAATATTGTGATAATAAGTGGTTCAGATTTCCAAATAACTTTGTCTTAATCCATAATATTTGAGAAAATGGTGGTTGAGATTAAACAGTATATGCACAATGTATACAAACAAACACACATAAACAATGATAAACAACTTGGCTCTCATCTTTAGATCAGTGATTTCCAGCTTTACTGATCACAAAAAACAGTCAAATAAAAAGTGAAACTTCATATCAAATACATTTACTGTGAAATCACTTATTTTCGTGGGGGGTTTCATTTTTGTGGTTTTCAAGGTATGAAGAGACCGGTCACCCATGAATTTATGTCCATCTCGAAATGCATTTTCCCTCATATATTTCTACCGAACAATTTTTCAACCACGAAATCAAATCTCCTTGAACTTATTATTTTTCTTCAAACCACAAAAATTTGAACCCTAGAAAATATGTGATTTTACAGTAAATGTCCACAGGTGCTTACCTTTCATGAAACACTGGAGAAGTTTGGTATATTTCTTTTAGTTCTAAGTCCACAATACAGAGAGATGAAGGATAGAGATCACCCTCCTCTGAAATATAATCTTCTGTCACGTGAAAAACGGCAAATCTACGCCCAGCACCAATCAGGGTCCGACTCTCGGACAAACTGGAGGGGAGGGGGACCTTCTGAACACACGAACAAACCAGAGTCTCATTTCCATTTCTCCTCTCAGCTGTCACAGAGAAGAAAGACAGCACCCCTCTACCACTCTGTATGATGTTCACTGTACTGTTGTTAACATCTACTTGGGATATATCAGCTGGTATGCACACTAGTCCATTGTTTGTTACAATGGGGGACGATAAGCAAAAGGGCACATTCAACAACATACGATGTTCATGAGAGAGCGTTCTGTCTTGGTCGAAAAATTTACTCCACACACATATCTGTCCCTTTGTGTCACATGATAATATCACTAAATGGTCAGGCAATGGTGAATTTAATGCTCGTACCTGCTTAATCCATCCAGAATGAAATTTGACCAGAGTCTGTAAAAGTTCCCCTGAATCATGGTCCCAGATTTTGATAGTAGAGTCAGCTGACCCTGTGAGCACTATTTTAAGACTCCTTATCGGTTCGATGCACATGACTGCATTGACATGACCGACAAATCTACTGTGTTGCTGACCACTCTCCAAGTTCCAGCAGGCAGCAGTGTTGTCATATGACGCCGTGTAGAGGAATTCCTTGTCAAACTTGATCTGACATATACTGTGGGCCTCGATCACTTTGACTAGATAGGCTATCCCAGTTGTTGTATCCCAGAAATATACACTTCTGTCTTCACTCCCTACAAAGAAAGATGACACAGTCATCTTGTACTCCTTTTCTTTCATTGTGAAACTTTTTTGGCATCAAATATATCATTTTATGCAGTTCAAATCATTTCTGTTAGTAGAATAAAATATTTCCCTTATTATGAAACTTTTTGGCATCAAATCTCTCATTTTATGCACTTCAAATTATTTAAATTTGTAGAATATAATCTGCATAGAAAAGTAATGATCTTCAATATTTTTAATTTTTTGATATGAAAAGTGATAGCTGCCAGTATTTTTCATTACAAGGGAAATACAGGTATTTCATTGCTTAGAGATCATTTGCATATTAGTGAGATATGGTTTACCAAAGATGTACTTACCAGCCGCCAGATATGGCTTATAGAAGTATGTACTTTTGAGCTTGTAATATTCATCATTATCCTCATCATCATAGGGCCCGAAAACAAACTGTGCCTTGTCCAGATCTTCGTTGAACTTCTCCTTGTATTGATACTGGTGCCAGTAAAGTTTCCGAGCCTCCTTCCCTGTGATGGAGGATGGAGCTAGCACCTGACCTCCGAGCTTCCAGAACTGATGAAGCCAGACTTCCTTGCTAGAGTTTATAGTTTTATTCCAGGATTTGCAAACCTTCAAAATTGATGATGAGTTTTAAATGTTTTTGGACCTAAATAAAAATTCTTCTTCGATGCTTGCTTCCTCTTTTCTATGTAATCATAACACATTTCAATCTGTAACTTACTTTTCTACATTTCTTCAGGCTTTTCCCATCCAGATATTTTAAAATCTTAATGACAACATCATTAGGTAGGTGAGAAAGAAAATCAATTTGACAACTGCCTGGAATGAAAACTTGTGTGAGATATGTTAGCTGTTCACAGCTACACAACTCCAATACAGCTTTTAATGTTCTAGTTTTCTGCTCATCTTTCAGCTCTTTAAATGTCTGCACAAATGAATCCAACCACTGATCGAACTCTTCTTCTTGTAAAGGCATTTTTCTTTCCTTTAGTGGAAGATCATCTAAAAGACAGGAAAAAAATTATCATCATTATTCTTTCAAGTATTCTCATTACCTGAACCTGAAAAGGTTTATGACTCCTACACCATAAGATGCAATATATATACTGTATATGTGTTATAATTAGCATGTATGATTATTTGGCGGAAATTGGCGGAAAAGTTAGCAGCAACTTGATTTAGCACAATTCTTAATGTTTATCTATCTTTATAAGTTAAAGACATTTAGCATTCTACTTGAATTAGTGGGAGTTTTTATCTGCCAAAAAGAATACACAGCCAAATGTACTATGTTTACAGTACATGTAATGGGTTATTTATGTGGCTAACAAATTTAAGAATTAAGCAAATTTATCCTAAAAGAATCCATTTAGGAAAAGTGAAATTGTTTTTAATGATTTTATACTTTTAGGGACAAGACCATTAATTCTATTTGTCAATATCTGTACCCCAATTATAAGCAACATTCATTTTTAGCTTTGACAAGACCATAACCAGGTCGTGTACAATCTCTTGATTTAGCTATATAGCTTTAAATAGCTATATAGCAAGCTATTCTATAGCAATATATGATTTGACAAAGAGAAAATGTGTAATTTTCCACATGTACAAAAAAATGCACCTTTTTGATATACAACTTTGTTTAAAACTCTTCTTAAAATAATGCATGTAAAAATCACTTATCAAATTACTGTCTCCTTCAGAGACTCCAGCACAAGTTCTACAAGTTATGGGGCTATATAAAGCAATATATACAGTTACTTCTGCAATGATATTATAATAAAGCTATTTTATGTTATAACAAGATAATTGATTGGTAACAAATCAGCACAATGAGAAGCAATTATACTTTTCATATATGCCTCAAGGCACCCAAGGTAGTGGACAGTTAGTCTAACAATAGAAATTCTCTTTTTGCTTAAAAGTATTCAAAAGCTCAAAGTTAGAACTATCTTTGATTTTCGTTGTTGTTTTAATAGTCCATAGTACATATATGAAGAGTCAAATACATGCGACTTTTTGTTTATTTTCAGCAAAAAACATTTTTGTGAAAAACTGAATATAAATAGCTCAATAAAGCTATTTTGAATAGCTTAATAAAGCTATATAGCTATTTAAAGCTATATAGCTAAATCAAGAGATCGTACTGGACCTGATAACTTAAAGGACCATGAGCGAGCACCACTTGCCATTGCAAGCTACTAAAGCAATATATGACCTGACAAAGAGAAAATTGGGATTTCCACATCAATTCAAATGATTTTTTTCACATTCATTTGTTTAAAAATAAAAATGTTATAACAGCGTATGTAATTAAAAAAAAATCAGTTTGTCTGACTTATGCATGGGAAAAAAAAGCAAAATCACAGAAACATATAAATCTGACGCATGAAATGAAATATTGTTTGTATCATGACTTTTCATAACATCTTCTTCTTATGACATTCTAAAGGATAAGTATTCTGAAATTGCCTTTTATAAACAAATTTTTTACATATCCTGCATGTCTCTTTGACACCGGAAACAAGTGACGCAGACTAAAATTAAAAACCATAATCAAGATTTTATCTGGCAATTTAGTTTTATAAAAATTTACATCACTAATTCAAGGATAAAAATAAAGAACAAGTGAATAAATTATTCTTTAACCGAAAAAATAGCCTTATACTATCAGAATCTGTAATTTCTTTCCTTTCCTTTCCGGAAAGTGGTTTGAATATTATTATCTTCCATTGCCATATGACGTCACACAACAATATGGCTGTCGAGGATTTTTCAAAGGGTTGATTGCATATCCCAGTGCGCGAATTTACGCTGTGGCTGACAGTTGTTAACTTTATCCTATTTTAAGTTATGTCAACAGATCTGCTATGAATATTGATTTGAATTGTTAATCAACTGGTGTTAATTATACTGAGGTAAAAAAATTTCATTTAAAAAAAAAAACTAAACAAGTTCAGACTAGTAGACAGTATAATAATTACTTATGTTAAAGATTCAAAGTGTGCTTGCTATGATGAGTGCCATGTATTACATTTAGAAGTTTGATATTCTTTTGTTGTTGTTTTATTGTGTTACTGGCAAATTGGCAATGTTCATTATTAATATTCTTTAACATTACTTTAAATACAAGTAGAGAGTACTGATCTATGTATGTTTTAATTTGATAATTAACATTTTTTCTTATATTATTTAAATAACAATATACTAAAAAATTAAAGGATCCTTAAACAATCATTTCGATGGTAGAAAAGTATGTATATTTCTTTATAATGAAAATCAAAATTTTGTAGAAAAATGGAGGTTCCAGATGAAACAACCCTATCAACATCATACGTTTTCCGCGGAATAGAATATATAATCACCATAATTATACAGGGAGGAAACTCGTTAACAGTTGAAGTTGAAGATCGACTTACAGCAGATCAATGGAGAGCGCAGTTTGATTCTGCATGTAATTTTATTTGATTTCCTTTTACAATATTGACTATTTTCATTTGCAATACAAGCAGTTTATGTGATCAAATTTAATCATATCCCCCGATCTCTTTCTATTGTCTTATTCTCTTATTCTGAGGGAAAAAAGTCTCTCTTTGATGAAGTCAGAACTTTTACTGCTCATTTAATGACTACATAATATTAGTTTCTAGTAATTTGGTCCATGTAAGACTATAGAATGTGTGATTTACTAGTTGAAAATTTATCCAAAATTATAATCTGCAAAAAAACATAACTATTACATGTACATCAAGTTGTTTTCTGGTTTTTAGATATTGAGGATCTCACCCACAAGACTGGAAACTTTAAACAATTCCATATATTCACCAGTATGCTGGAATCTGCTATCACTCAGGTTGGATTTTGAATTATCATTTAAGCAAATTTTTTCACAACAAATACTGTAAACCAACTTTTATTCGCGACGACTTCATTTGGCAATTGACTTGGGGAAAACTAATTTGTGAAGATTAATTTTTGCAATCGGGCTTTTTATGGATCTGATGTTAATATAGACACAGAGACTTTAAGGACCTGTTCACGGTAAGAAAAATTTGCAATGACACGAAAAATTTCTTGCAAGCAAAAAGTTGGTTTTCAGTATAGATTTTTAAGGCTTTTGCATAATGTTAATAGCTGTATGACCATATTATGATTATTACTATCAATTTGAGGAAAAAAATTCTTGTTGTCAAAACATTTTACATATTTAAAATATGCAAACAAATTCAATCACATCTTGATTTCAGTGATTTCATTTGTTTTCTTCCAGAGCAGTGACAGTGTCTCATTGGACTTGCTCACATTTGCTGATTTAGAGTCTCTCCGCCAGAGAAAAGTGGGATCCACCGCAAAGACAAGCATTCCTGCCAACAGAACTGTATCATTAAATTCAAAGAGATACCTCATTCTGACATACACAGTGGAGTTTGACAGGTAAGATGGGACTCTCAGAAGATGTACATGTGCCTTGAAATTTTTCACTAGCTTGATAAACTTAAGTTTAGAAGTTTTTTTTCCTTTACTAGTATAGTGTGCATGTATACGAATATCTTATTTTCAGGATTCACTATCCACTACCTCTTCCATACATGGGAAAACCAGATCCCAGGGCATTACAGGAAACAATCCGACAACTGAGGGAAGAACTAAAGAGCCTTAGACATCAGGTGTGCATTCTTGTTTGTTTATTTGATAAACAGATCACCAACACTTTGTGAGAATGAGGCAGTAGATTTATTTTGTTGGCCAGTACTTAGCAGAGATTGTCATCATCTGAACTGGTGACAACTATCTGTGGTGGTTCTGGTGTCGATCATCTCTACACAGAACTGGTTAACAAAATGTTGATGGTGATCTGTTTTATGTCTTTAAATTCTTATGCTACACAAAAGTTTCATTAGCTATGGTGATGGGTTTTCTTCTTGAATACTATTGTAATTTTTAAGTCACTGAAAAAAAATGTATAAACTTAAACCATGTATTGTACAACTTGTGATACCGGTATTTTATAGAAAATGATGTAATGTATTTTTGACATATCTTCTCTTGAAGGGAGGTTCTGATTTTAGAAGTAAAGAAGTAGAAAAACTACAAAAAGAGTAAGTAAACAATGTGATTTTATTAATAGGAAACAAAAATTTCAAGTTTAAGAGAATTATTGTCAGGTCAATTTCCTAGAGTAGAATTATGATGAATATTTACAGATTTCAAGTTATAATTCTTTTTTATTTTTTAGGAACAAAGCATTACTGAAAGAGAAGGAGGAAATCGAGGAGGAATTTCTCAGGTATAGACGAGAAATGAAGAACACACCCACAGGGAATGCTGTCAAGGAAATAAGGATGTTGAAATCGGTGACAAAGAACCTGGAGGAGGAATTAATGAAGGAGAAAACTCGGCATCAGAGGTCAACCAGCAAGAGGAGTCAGGAATACAGGGACCTCCTGGAGGAGGTAAGGGAGGGGATCATAGATTGTCAGGGATGGAAACAGGTGGGACATACATAAGTAGAGAAGGAGGAGGTAAGGGAGGGGATCATAGATTGTCAGGGGTGTAAACAAATGGGACATAAATAAGTAGATAGGAGGAGGTTAGGGAGGGGATCATAGATTGTTAGGGAAGGAAATAGGTGGGACGTACATAAGTAGAAAAGGAGGAGTTAGGGAGGGGATCATAGATTGTCAGGGGTGTAAACAAATGGGACATAAATAAGTGGAGGAGGAGGAGGTAAAGGAGGGGATCATAGATTGTTAGGGGAGGAAATAGGTGGGACATAAATAAGTAGAGGAGGAGGAGGTAAGGGAGGGGATCATAGATTGTTAGGGGAGGAAATAGATGGGACATAAATAAGTAGTAAGGGAGGGGATTGTAAATTGCCAGGGGTGTAAACAGGTGGATATTAACAAGTGGAAAATACAGGGATCTCCTGGAGGAGGTAAGGGAGGGGATCATAGATTGTCAGGGGTGTAAACAGGTTGGGCATTAACAAGTAGAGAATACAGAGATCTCATGGAGGGGAGGGAATCATAGATTGTCAGGGGTGTAAAACAAGTGAAACATAAACAAATAGGAATTTGAAAAATTTTGACCAGCTAGAAGAAGATATTGTTTTTTTTTTTTTTTTAATGTTTTTTTCTTTTTTAATTTATTCAGAATATTTTTTACCAATGTGACTTTTTAGAATATTTTTTGAATAACAGGTTGAAGAATTAAGAGCATCAGAGAGAAATCTTCGAGTCCGAGTCAAAAGTCTCACCAATGAGTTAGCAGTATACAAAAGGCAAGAAATGTTTAATAAAAGTCCTGATGTTTAATAAAAGTCCTGTCAGCTGTTGTATAAACATATAAATGTGCATAACTGTGATGATGAAATGATGCACAATATTTTTCACTTCACTTATAAACTCTGCAGATATCAAAGTGAGATAAATAACTGGTTGAGTTTGTCTTTTATCATAGATAATATATAAATGATCTTCAAGTCATATTTATAGTATCCATTTATTTTTGAGCTGACTTTCTTCAATTCCAGGGACAGAGTCAGGACCTCTAGACCACAAACAAGAGAACGATTCAACAATTCCAGAGAGAGGTCAGGGTCATTCTCCAGGGAACGTTCACTATCAAGAGACAGATCGTGGTCTAGTGACCGATTCTCAACTCGAGATAGATCTCTGTCCAGAGAGAGACACTTGTCTAGAGAAAGACCGTCCTCAGCCAATAACAACAGTCGGTTCAGTAACAGATCCTCTTCTTCCTATTCAAATCGCAACAACTACAAACCCCGAAGTAGGACACCTTCCCCAGCAGGCAAGCATCATCCATTTTTTTTTAAAGATTTAATAGTTAAAATGATCTCGTTAACAAGAGTCTGTCAAGTAGTAAATTTAATTTTTGCTCAAATAATTTTGATATGAAAGGGTTATTTATTATCTGAATGTACACTAATATGCCTGTTTCTCGCATGCATTTGACTTGAATGTTTTGTATGTAGGAGCAAGAAATCCCCGATTTGATCCAACAGCTTACATTAAAGATAAAGAAAGAAAGAAAAAAGAAGCATCCATGAAAAAGTATGTTATATTCTAAGCAAAATAAATTTTAATTTTGTATGCTTCTCAAATTTTAACAAGCTAATTCAGAGAATTCTTGTCCCCCGCTTAGGGAAAAAGTCGGCTCCCCCTGATTGAATTTGTAGAATTATTAAATGTATACATGTATACTGAAGGAAATAAAATACATGTATGTCAATATGCATATAAAGATTTGATTGCTTATTCTTTATTATGTGTATAGAAGATTTTTTTATATGGAATATTTATCACACTGTAATGATGATTTTATAACCTCATAAATTTTTCATTTCACATGCTGAATACTATCATTTAGTAAAAAAAAATATTTAAAAAAAAAAAAAAGAAAGAAAGGTTCGACCGAGATTCGATCCCGGGCCCTCTCACATTTGAAGCGAGAGACATAACCACTAGACCACGGAGTCGCTTTACACGGAATGAAGTATATGCAGAACTGAAGTCACATACATGTATATATTCATGTTTTCATGTTCGGTATTCTCAAAATTTTACACAATCCATGGTGTTTGATTTATTTAGCCTTTATTAAACAGTTATAATAGATATAATAAGAACATAAAGTCCGCCGAGAACCTGTTTTATACGCAATAACTCTCCTCATGCCCCTGCGCTAAAAATAGCGACATGTAATACTATAAATACTAATAAAACAAACGGGGTGGGGCACTTTGAGAGGGGCGAGAGACGTCCTAGGGAGTTTTGGTATAAAATTACATTGCATAAGCTCAAAATCTTCTTGAAATATCGCCCGGAAATGATAGTGTTACACACAGACAGAATGTATAAATTTACGACCTTGAACTTTGACCTTTTGACCTCAAAATCAATAGGGGTCTTCTTTAGGCCACAGGGAGTTGTTATGTAAAATTTCATTGCGATAGCTCAAATGGTTCTAGAGATATCGTGTGGAAACGAAAGTGTTTTAACAGACAGAATTTGCTTATTTATGACCTTGACCTTTGACCTTTTGACCTCAAAATCAATAGGGGTCTTCTTTAGTCCATAGGGAGTTGCTATGCTAAATTTCATTGCAAAAGCTCAAAGGGTTCTCGAGATATCGTGTGGAAACGAAAGCGTTACAGACAGACAGAAAGACGGACGGACGGACGGACGGACAAACCCAAATTAATATCCCCCACTTTTCAAGCGGGGGACAAAAAGATGCGGTGCAAAGCACTTGATTACAGAGATGAAAGTCTTGATAATGAATTGTTTTATTATATAAAGATGGTTTTAATCATGTTTACAGACAGAGAAATGTCAGATCTAAGATGAACACCTCCAACAGATCAAAGCCCTCTCCACAACATATATCACGGCGTAAGAACATTTTATTTGTATCGTGAAATAAGAAATTATCTCAGTTTGAAATTTTTTTAATTAAGTGTAAAAATGAATTTGATTTAGTATTGACTTTTGTAAAAATTTTGCTATAGCTTTCCTAATAACTTGCCTGATAGGTAAAAAAAATTGTGTACTGTTTTAAAATAAATCATGCAGATACATGTACTATAAATTGATGGTTATGTTTTTCAATGCTCATTAATTCAATCTACAGATAAGTGAATTATAAACTACAAAAGTTTGTAAATATTAAAAACATTATATCAATGTAACGGAATTTGATTAAAAAAAACAGAATTGCAATGAGAACTGATTACCTTGAATTATTATTTTCTAATGAGGATTATGTTGGGGGTTTTTTTTGTCTGTAAATGCAATTGATGACAATATTTGCGAAAGCCCATATTTTTTTTTTCATTTTCAGCTCTGCGAAACAGATCAAGAACCTCATCATGTAAGTACAACTTTAAAAGCTACATTTTATTTGAATTACCAGCATTAGTAAACGATTGTAATATTTTTAGATGGTTGGCTTCATTCTACTAGCTTGGTGAACCCTTTAGCTTTATTTTTAATTTTTTAATTTATTTTGTTTTAGTTGGCAGTGCTGGAGAACTGAGTGATGGAGGTTTCTCAGACTCCTCCTACTCCAGACTCCGAGTCCTCAACAGAAACTCACAGAGAAATCACCACAGGAACTCCTCAGTAGAATCCTCTAAAGGCTCATATCTCTCTAGTCCAGACATTGTAAGTCAAAACAACTGTTATTTGTTTAACTCAGGATTCAGTTGTTTTGTTTTTTTTTTCATTTTTCTCAGGTTTTAAAATTGAAAAAAGTCACTGAATTAAAATTCAAACATTTCTCATTTGTTTCTTTATTTGTTTTGTCAAAACTGTTTTTATGAAATTATGTGCTTTTACTAAGGCTTTCAATGCCAAAAATGTAAAGAAGCTGATAAGGAGTAATTTTGTTTAATAAATGTTTCAATACTAAATTTTATTTTGTATACTGTAGCCTCAGAAAACTCGCAGTAGAACTGGCTCAGGAAGACAGAACAAAGTATATCCTTTGCTTTATGAAAAAAAAAAACAACAAAAAAAACAGTTAAGTTGTACAAGCAAAATATTTACCTGGTACTTACATATACAGTCAAACTTACTTTCTTTAATTCATTTCAAGTAAAAGTTGTTGGGGCTTCTCACTTTGATTTTTTATCCATGGTATTCAAGATATCCATGGTGATGCACTTTAAGAATTATGGTCAATTTTCACAAGTGCTACTTTAAAGTACCAGTCTATTTGTTTTTAAATCATACATATTACATGTTTCATGTTATTCTGTTTGATTAAAAATTTCTGTAGAAAATCTATATCACAACTGAAAATCAGTTTATAAAATACATGTATATAAAATATGGTAAATTATTGAAAACTCTGTGAAAAGGAAAAAAGAATATATGTTCCTATATTGGAAGAATTTGAGATATTTATTTTGTTCCTTAACACTTATTACTCCTGTGTCCAGTACTCCAGATAATGAGGTCAGAACACGACGAAAACGACCACAGCACAAAGAAAACATTCCCTTAAGTGGTAAGAACATTTCCTTTACCTGTAAATCCTATACCTTTAAGGTGCTGCTTTCAGTTTCCATCAGAGTTCATTATGGTAACATAGTATTAGTATTATCAAGAGATCGTTTATACCCTCCAACCTGCTTGAAAAAAAAAAAGAGAATGAAAAAGAAAAAAAATGATGTGTGCTACAAATAGAAATTTCAATCTGACAAGATCATAGTGGGAGTGGGTTTATGAAAGTTGTGTCCCTTGATATTTAGTTAGGCGTAGGTGATGACATTCGTTTAATTATCCTATTTCTAAAATTCTGCATTGATTGGTAACAAATTTTACAGTAATCTTTTTGTGTATTTTAGGAGATGACAGTGATTCATTTGATCGTTCAGCAGAAATTTCAGAAATAGATGCCAGGTTAGCGAGACTTCAACAGATGATGAAGAACAGTATAGAATGATGTCACAAAACCTTGTGTAGTTACTAGGTCAGCAAAAAACTAGGTCAACAAAAAACTAGGTCACTGCTCAGCCTCTGACATTCCCCTCCATTCAGAGAGTATTCATAGATCCATAAAGAATTGCAGAAATACTGGATGTTTTTCTTTTCCATGTCATATTTCACATACAGGAGATCTGAACTGAAGTTATTTAGTGCAGAATGAAAAGTCATTCAGTCAAACTGAGAAATTTAGAGCATTTGACTCTGAAAAAACTTTGATGGGAGATAGAAATGGTAGTGAAATCTGAGGAAATACATATACATGTACATATACATATACATGTATATTGCATTTTTAAATCAAGTATCCTTCCAGTGGGAAAGTATGCATAGATTTTTTATATGGATGATAGAAAAATGCTGTAGATGTATGGAAAATTGAATGATTGAATGTGATATTATAAACAGTTAATTTTTGTTTTTAGTCTGTGTGTATTTATTAGTTGTGTATATGTGTACTGAAAGCGGTGAGTGAAATTGCATATTGTAAACATACATAATCCATATAGTATGAAATTTGATAAAATTACACCAGATTCTGATATTTTGTCAGTATAATAGTTGTATCGTATTGAGCATTTCGTTAAAACCATGCAAGGTGGTCAATATATTAATATATTTTATGCAGGAAATATATTCCTGGAGGTGAATTAGCTTTACATGTATATCATGTATATATAAGGATACAATTCTTACATAGAACTCTTTGAAAAGAAGTTGCATGAGCAAATCCGCAGCATTACATGTAAATGGATAGTATATTATTTTGAAATTTTATAGCTGAGATTCTGGAAATGACCACAATTCTTTTTTTTTTTTTTCCAAATAATGTATACCAGTAATGAGATATTTTTATTTCCACTATTTGCACATTTGACACAAAGGGAAATAACTCATTTGTAATGGCCAGCATTGAAGTGATGAACACATTTAAGTTTATCTTCATTTAATAAAAGGCTTTAAATATCAGAAACATAAAGAAGTGAAAATACAATAAATGTCAATAGCATTTAAAAATTGCATAAATTTTTGAGACCCATTATTGAACATCAATAATGTTTTCTCAATATCATTTTGATTTCCAATATTAGATTAAGCAGTAGTTCACTAATGCTGAAAATAACTGTTGTTCACTTACACAGAACTGTTTAGTAAACATTCTCTATCCAAGTGAGGTTACACAAGTAATATATATTTATAATATATATTGATTTTATTAAAACGAAAACTTAATGGTGTCTCGTTTAAGATGTCCATGGTTCAAATGGCACACCCATGCTGTTAGTTTAGGGCTCCCCAGAATCGCCAGTATTTTGGTGTCTTTTTATTTTTATCTCTTTTTGTTTACAGCCTTTTTCGATATAGTCTCAACAGTCTTTGTTTTAGACTTCGGAGCAAATCTTCCAGCCGGACTTGGGGATTTTCCGGGCCGTTTCTTTGACACTTTTGGTGGAATGTGGTCTACGTGAAGTTTATAATTAGGAAATAGTTCTTCAAACTTTTCCAGTAGAGGTTTATATTGGTAGTTCTGGTTAGGGGTGGATCCCGAATCTACAGAGGTGTTATCTGACTGGAGTTCTTTCTGGACTAGGATGTAAGTTTCGTGTGACGTCAGATACTTATTGGCATAATCATGACGATGGTTGTCGAGTTCTTTTACTAACCCTGTTGATAAAGAAAATCGTCATCAGTTTAGAATATATCTAAGTCCTTTTAAGCATTTCCATACCAACAAAAATGTGTAGAATTATGCAGTTATCTTATATCTAAATTCCAAAGAAATCGTTCTAAAGAAGGGAGTTTATTTGACAAAACTCTCTACCTTAATCTCCCAGTTACCGATCACAATCAAAATATTTTAAAGCAATGGGTGATCTTACTTTAGCAGTTGAACAAATTAATTTTGAAGATAGTTATGGACAGTTTCTTGAATTTTCTTGAGTGATGTATTTTACTCTCCTAATAATGCTGATGAAACATTTTAAGAGTGTCTATAAATCAGATATTTCAGGTTTATCATTGTAACCGGAATGTTAATTAAGTCGTGTCAATATAAGGTTCACTCATAACAACAGGTTATCACATTCGAAAGCTGTTTATTTGACAGATTTACACGTAACTTGGTGTGGCGATCAATGGGAATATCGATGGATGCCCGAAGCTCTCCTCGATATCGTTAGAAACGTGACTCGTAAAAGTTCTATAGGACAAACCTTCTGAGAGATTGATGATGGGCCAACACAAAGAGGCAAAAAAGTAAAATTAACAAACTTGTTACATGATAAGAATAGCAAACACTGTTCCGTTAATTTCCTGTAGCAAGATAAGAGCAGTTCCATTATCGAGGGTAATCGAATTCAATTTGTTGTACACGAGATTTTTTTTTATTCAATTATAAAAACCCAATAATTCCATTGAAAGTAATTTCTGTATCTCTGTGGTATAACAAATAAATAAACGATTATGTAAATTGAAATGAATGGATGATCGCCATCGGATATAATATGTTGTAACAAGTCTTTATAACTTTGAAGTTTATTACCTTTTTTGACTACCATTTTTGTGTAATTCAAAACGAAAATTAGTAAATATTTCAATTGAATGCTTGCAGCCAGACCTTTAATCTTATCTACAAGTAGAATCGTGTCAAAATTCACCATTGACCACGATCCATATGGGATTTTCGAGGAGGAAAACCCCTTTCCTTGGTGCCAAATGGTCTTATTTTCTCTCATCAAAATTACACTGCAGTATAGATTCATAATTACCAATATCAGCAACGTAATATACATTGACTGAAAAATATATTTAAATCAATCAACCTAAATATTATCTTCGAAGAGATCTGACAATTTCCTAAAAAGGTTTAAAAATCAGCCTATTCCATTTGTATCAAATGATCATATCAACCGAAATTTTGTCAACGCCTGACATTTGGAACGCCATCGATTTTAAACCCTAGTTATAAAATCCCATCCGTCCAATGGACATGGTTGGAAAGACCTTAATGTAATTTATTGAATTCTTATAAAATGTCGATTAAAAATCAAAGTCTTATATCACTAAGTGGTTGGTCATTTTATCGACTACTTTTCGCCATTATTTTCTAAAATTGGTCACATGAAAGACTGAAGCTTTTACATTAATGATTAGTTTTTCCGACAAATGGCCAGCTACTGCATTTCCCTCTATTTGTTTTAGCGAGGTTTAAAAAAAATTGATCCACTTTTTACACTTTTAATGTTTATGAGTCATATTTAGTCTGAATCTCATATCTAATATTTTAAGCAAGCTCTTTTTTAGAAACAATTGATCTTAATCCAGCCAGCCTAAAATTGGATTAAGATTATAAAACGGCTATTCAAATTCAGCCCTCCACACGTGTATAAGTAGCGATATGCACTTTTTGCTTCTGGGTTCCATACAATTGAGGTAAATTCATACACAAGGATGGAAACTCCTGTAACTCGGGCAATTTTAGGAACATTCAACATTTCATAAGATGGTGTAAATTTGCCGAAGGCTACGTCTCAAGAATATATGAATATAAAGAAAGCAAGTTTAAAATGCCTAGTAAATTTCATGATTTGGAAAAAAATATATTTATATACAGATGTAATCTTTTTGTCAATTCTTATACTTGATCATAATATCAAAAAGTAATTTAAGTGAAAATTGTTTGCCGAAATTTATTCATTGCTATTTCTCCTTTGTAGGAACGCGTCATAAACTTATTGAGAAAAGTAAATTGGATTCTTGTTGCTGTTAGATAACGGAATAAATAGGAGAAATCTGTCCTTTAAGCAAATGAATTTTTAAATTGAACAAGATAATGTACATTAAATGTCTTGAATTACAGTGATTTATGATCGATTTCTATAGAACAGAACAGGAGTGTCACAATTCAATGCTAAAATAATAACGCTCTTAAGAAAAGAAATATATTTCTGGCAAAGGAAAAATATTATTGAAATTAATTCATGCAGCCAAGTTCTTCAATAATAAAGCTTAAAAAAATATAAGAAGAAAAATTTTCTATACCTGTTTCGTCCGAAAGATCAACTGTTACATTAGAATTTCCATATCCAGCTCGCCTTTTGATATTGGTCAGTAAATTAATCACAGCACAGCTAGGATTGCATAGAAGTGTTTCATTATTACCGTATTTGACCAAAATAAACATACTGACTTTTTTTCCTTCCCTTTTTGCGTTATATCACCGAAAATAAAACAATGTCCATGTTAAATAAAAAAATCTGTCAAAATCACTTCAAACCGTTTCTCTCGGTGTCTTAGACAGGTAAAAAACCCATTCACCTGGCAAGACCCGTTATAAACACAAACAATCGTAACTACCGGGGTTTAAAACTATTGACTTGTATTATCAACGCGATACATCGGTGCGAATCTTCCTACCATATATATAAATACTCCACAGGGGCAAAGAGACCCACCTACCCACAACTTTATTCATGTATATCTGTACATGTAAGTGTGACTTTAAACCGATTCGAAGATTAAGTAAAGTCGCAGGTAAAAATCTAAACACGCTACGAATTCTTTAAAAATCCTGGTCACCAAGATAAAGCTCCTATCAGAAATTCTTTGAAATGAAATTCAAATAATTGAAATTCAAAGTGAACTCAAACCGCTCATTCAACGGCCCTATTGAAGATAAACCTGGTATATACTCTACCTATGTCTCAGGTAGTTAAAATTACGTGTGATTTATAGCTAAAGAATTTTTCATAGAGACCAGCAATATTCTCTTTTTTTAAGTGGGCCTTCGAACCGAACGATTAGAAGAAAATCAAACAAATCTCAGCCTTCCAAAAGCTTAAACAAGTAAACAGGGGGTGACATTTACTGAATTTAATACAAGTATCGATGTCTGCCTTAAGATGCCAGGTATGTTATGTGAAAATTCATGCGTGCTTAAGGACATGAATGATTAAGAGACATCGGTATTATAAATTAAAACATGCAGGGAATTGCACCACTGCAATTAATATTCCAGTGTTTCTTAGAGCACCCCCAATCACTATATATGCAACAACTTTCCCAATATTCATTACATAGGTACCATGGAAACAAATACAGCGAATTTGATAGTAAAATGCAATACATGTATCAGTCAAACAAAATGGTGTTTTATATTTTTCATTGTTCACAAACGTTTTGTGAAGGTATTCAAAATTTCAGACACGGGTTTTAGATACTAAGCGCATCCGGCTTCCCAACCTTAGTATTTAAGAAGAAGTCTCAAAAACCTTAGGCTAATAATTCATATGAAAAACAGATACTGTGAGCATCATTGAATGTTTGACCCCCCCTCCCCCCAGCATATTGTGGGAAATTTGAATAACTTATCACGTGTAATTTGTAATTTCAAAGTAATCATCAAAGCCTTTTTTTTTTAATTTAGGTCAAACATGAAGGTCAAAGTCAAAGGGTTGAAAAATCATAGCATGCTCGGAAACATCTTGTCACAATTAATACACACGTCAATATGAAAGCCCTACTATAGTATGATAAGTATCTGCTCTCAATTCAAAAAATTACATGGAAAAGTAACTTTTTTTGAAAAGTGGGTCAACTCCATGGTCAAGGTTGCAGGATTAAAAATCATAGGATATTTGGAAGGTCTTGTAACAGATAATATCCATGTGTAATGTGAAAACCCCATCTCCAATTAAGTTATAACCAATTTAAATTAATGTTAACGTTTCTGAAGAGTAGTCAAACTTCAAGGTCACGTGGTGAAAAATTGTAGCATATTTGGAAAGTCTTATCATATGTAATGTACATGTGAAATATAAAAGGCTTGTCTCTTCTCATTCAAACAGTATGACCAAGGTTAAAGTTTTTGTGACAGGCGGACAGACAAATGAGATTAAATGTCCCCTCATATTTCGCAAAAGCAAGGAACAAAAAATTAAGTAAATTTTCTAGGTAAAACTGGTGAAAAATTATAGCATGTTTGAAAAAATGCCTTGCTCTGTCAAATTTGAATGTTTTCTTTTATTCAAAAGTTATAACCAAAGTTCATTTAAATTTTTTGATAAAGGTAAGTCGACCTTTCAGGTCAAGGACACAGGCTAAAAAATCATGTAATTTGAAAGTGTCTTGTCATGTGTAATGTAGATGTAAAAGATGAAAGCACTGTCTCTTCTCATTCAAAAGTTATGATCGTGGTTACGTTAATGTTTAAATTTTTTAAAAGGAGGTCAAACTACAAAATCAAGGTCACGGGGACGGGTAAAAATTCATAGTATATGTGGCAAGGTCTTGCCACAGGTAGTGTACCCGTGAAATACGATAGCCTGATCTTTTTTATTCAAACGATATGATTGAGATAAAATAATGTTAATTTTTGTTTGAAAAGTAGGCCAAACGTCAAGGTCACAGGGTAAAATAAATCTTGATATATTTTGCAAGGTATTTTTACTGGTAAAGTACCTATGAAACATGATAGTCCTATCTTTCTTTCAAAGTTTTGACCAAGATTTAAGTTTTTCTGACAGAGAGGCTGACAGAAGGATAGACTGACACAAGAATGAGAGTTACTGCCCCCTCGTTTTCACGAAAGTAGGGGAAAAAATTGGCAAAAAGATGTTCAGGAGCAACGGCTTTAAGAGGGACAACTCCAACATTTAGAAACACTGGTTATTTCACAAAACTTCCATTGACAATGACTTTTCAAAAATCGCCCCGGCTGCATTTAAATTAACAATGACTTAGCGTCATTTTTATGCCCCCATAATCGAAGATTCGGGGACGTATAGTTTTTTGCCCTGTCTGTCCGTCTATGTGACTGTTTGTCTGTTGGTCCACAAATGATACGTTTTGATTGATCGGAGCTATGGCTTTCATACTTCACATGTGTATTCCTTGTGACAGGACCTTTCTCTGGGGACCAATATATTTGACCTTTTAACATTGACCTTGATCAACCTTGGCAAAATTTGACCAAAGGACGAGATATGGTAACGACTGAATATAGCCCTTTAATTGATGTAAAATTCAGAACACAAAATTGAGATATTTTTTAGTAAGGAACCTGAAATAATGTCTTTGTTTTAAACCAGCACTAATTTTGATTCAAAGTTTACACAGAGGTCACAAGAGGACACGGAAATGGGACATTTTCTCAGTTATAGTGGAATTTCATCAAGTTTTAGATACTTTTCACTCCGGGAAACATAGAGCACAAGCTTGCCTACCTTAGATTTTTATACGAAAGATGCATCTGATTGTAGTGTATGATACACAGGCACTTGGGATATGGACCCCCCCCCCCCTTTCCATGTTTTTAAAACTGGGGTTGAGTCACCTTTCCCTTTTTTTGTATTCTAATATGCACTATATGTGATCAATAATGTAACTCTTTTGTCTCTTTACGCTGTTTTTAAATATATCGTTTTCGACCGATACATAAAAAGAGATGGAAAAGGGGGGGGGGGGGTTCCATCCATACCCCAAGTGTCCGTGGTATGATCATTGTTTAAAGTAATATACGCCGTATGGATGCCGATTTGTATGTGAAACAAAATGATTAAATGATTTGAAACACATAAAGTGTAACGACAAAATTTAACTATAAAACTCGTTGTAATAACAGAACAATTTGCAATCAAGAATTCAGTCTTTTCATGAATATTGATAAAGGAAGTGCGTAAACATTAGGTCTAAATATAGACACGTATGTCCACGGGAAATTATAGACAACGAGGCACGTTGCATTTTGACAACGATTATTAATAAAAGGTTAATATGCGTCATAACAGAGTATAGATGGTTGATACTGATTACATTTAAAGATAAGTTATATTAATAGTAACACGCCATTCATGTCAAAAGTGAGTTGTATCTCAAAGGGCTTACCTCGTTTTCTTGACGCCGTGTTTGTTTATCAATCTAAAAGTAGCGACGGCGTCCGTGGTGGATTTACTTAAAAATAGACATTATTCTGGATAATAAACAATTATAATGATAACTTTATAACGAATTTTATTTAAATGGTGTAATTTACAGCATACTTTTATTGGTAAACAAAATATATAAAATGATTTTAAAATACGTTATAGCGTATATTACTTTAAATACCAATGATTTTTACCTTGTGACTTTGACCTTGGATTTTGACAAACTTTCAAAAAACTTTATCCTTTGTCATACTTTCTGAACGGTCGGTTGGGGCTTTCATATCTTACGTGTATAGTCATTGTAACATTTTTTTTAAATTTGGATAATGACATTTTCAGTTGGACTTAAAATTTGACTTGCATTTGAGCTTGTAACTTTTGCCATAAGCTGCTCTATTGGGGCATCAAGTGTTTCACAAACATGTGTTGTTTGAATGCTGTAGTTGTGACGCCTTCTGATGATCTTTCAATTTTCAATGAAGGATTTCACACTTTCAAAATTTGACCATCTAAATGCTGTTAGAATGGACTGGTATAAAAGTTATATATTTACTCTGAACAAGTATTTAACAATGCAGTTTTTAAATTGACCTTTCATCCCCCCCCCCAAAAAAAAATTACACAAGGTCACTGCCCACCCTCTACCCACAGATACTGTAAAAACAAAGTCAAACTGAACCAAGGAGAGAAAAAAAAATAGAACTGGACAAAGGATTTCAAACAGGGATGTTTTTACAATCACTTTTGATCTAGAAATTTGATTCATGGTCACTGCACCCTCTATCAGTGGGTACTTTTGAGGTACAATTGTGAGTATAGGTTTGATTAGGCAAAGGGGTTGGGTCGGGTTAAGCTCCAGACAAGGATTTTACATGGAAATAATTGTTCACCTCAACTTCTAGAGTATTAGTTCATGGTCAATGTACCCTGTTTCCGGGTGAGCTCTTCATATTAAGTTCAAGTCTGAATGGACCAAGGAGAGAGAAAACAGCCTTTTGATAAGGATTTTACAAAGGTAGATTTTTCAAGGCTTGAGCCCCATTTGACTAGGGGAAGAAAAAAAAATTGCTCTGGACTAGTAATTCTGAAGTTTTTCTCTATTTTCATCTTTAAAAAAATGGTTCAAGGTCACTGCACATCCTCTACTAAAAAAAATTATAGGTGTAAGTACAAGCCCAACTCAGCCGAAGTAATATTAGAGTACGAGTTTCCTACTGTATCAGAGATAAAGGGCGGAAATACTGTAAATTTATGTATCACATTTGGCGTGTACGATATTTGATGGAAATTCAATTTTCAACAAGTTAGTGTAGATTTCATTTATCGTTGTCTGAATGTGCTAGTTATAAATGTTAACTCTGCACATTCTCCACCCATGGGATAAGTTTGAGCATGACCTGGCCAAAATAATATTTATGGGAAAAATAGAATCAAGGGGAAAGACATCCCTTCATACAAATCCTACATATTCAAAGCAATATCAAACATGACAAACACTAGATTATTATCTTCTGCCCTTTAATGTGATCATTATGATAAAATTGTCAATATTATATACTATGCATATACATTTTCAACTGTTGTACACTTCATATTAACTAACAGTGAACAATTGTAAGAGCAGAAATATGCATTTAAGAACATTATTTTCTTGATTTAATGATATATTCCAATTTCATGATATCAATCATGATATGTGCAAGAAGCTTGAAGATACATTTGTCATTTATTGCAACATCTTAATTCTTAAAATATTATCTATTTGCAAATCAAATAAGTTCCATGAAAATACAGATAATGTGTAAAAATTATATTCCACAAAACAGCAATAAAATATTAAAAATATTGTATGCTATCTTACATTCTCTTTACATATCAGTCCCTATCATGGTTAAACCATGCCTAGGAATACTGATATCCCTAACTCATTGCACAATAATACATTAAATATTCGTTCTGGTTACCACTAAGAATGGGCACCTCCACAGAGAAAGTCTTCACAAAAACCACAAAAATGTAAGGGTATCACTGACATACCCCAGACTTGACACACATTTTCCACTCATCTTCCTAAAACAAAACATACATGCATATATCTGCTGGGGGAAAACCCAAAATATTTCATTCAAGTGGGTTCTGGCACAGCCATATACTCAATATATCAAGACTCTCCTAGACAGTGATTACCAAAAAAGTTCTGGTGCTAAAAGTGTAAACACCTGAGATTTTATTTTATGTAAAACCCATGCACAAAATTAAAAACAGTGTCATTTTACAAGTAAAATGCTATGATGTTTCTTCCATATTCCTCAATTCACAACCTCTTTTATGACACAGAATGTCTCTCTTAAGGAATGGTCAGCAATGGAAGAAAAATGATGCCTAAAACTGAAAAACTTCAACCACTGAATTTCCCAATATTATAATTTGAAGATCCCCCTTCAAAAAAAGCACACACCCTTTTAATCTAGGAGCAGATCATACAAGTAGATTTGAAGAGCACAGGAATTTTGACAAAATATAGAAATATCCAAAGCAAGTACTGTAGTTTTCCCATTATGATCAAATACTTTGTAATATTTCAGAAAAACATCAAAATTAGAAATGACCTTTTCTTTAATTGTTTTAAGACCCTTTTTTAACAGTTTTTTTTTCTCTGTATTTCACCAAACTACCAAATGAGAAACATCTACAAGTTTGTTATCCTAACTATAACCACTGTCATTCACGTTTGACTCTTACCAGTACATGAAACAAACATCAAAGTTAACTTCTCTCATATCTGTGCAGGTGATTATATATAGGTTGCCAATCAATTTATTCTTATAACTGAACTAATTTCTCACTAGGTTACTAACACAATCAACCAGCAACTTTAGTCCAAACTTTAAGCAATGCATGGCTAAGCTTTGTCTCATGTGACCTACACCCACAACAAAACTAACAGACAAACCAACAAAACAATAACAAGGACCAGATCACCCATGTTTATAACAAGCAAGAAAAATCACTTAATCTCAAACTACCAATCATTACTTTTAATATCAGGTATACATGTATCAGATATTTAATCAAAATATTTTTTTTTCTAATTTCATTTTACCTTTGGTTTAAAAAAAATGAAAATGAAATTTTACCATGGTATCTAATTTTTCAGGTGTAAAATCTATTTTCTAAAATGCATCAAGCCTTCAATACTTACTAAATGCAAAATACATTTCATTTCAGATTTATACATATATAAAGTATTGCCAAGGCATCTCCAATATCTACATCTACATTGTACATATCAGAACAATCATCTTTAATATACAAAATTTAAATAACTTAAAAATTATCTGATCTCACTGATAATCATTTTTTTTAATGTTTTATTTTTAAGCAGGCTCAGTATACTTAAAAAATATGCAGGTTTCCTTCATGTTTGTTTAATGTTAGTTTACTTTGCCTGTTCAATAATATCAAACCAAATACTTAGCACGTTCTCTTCTTTTCTCTGGCAAAGTTACAGCACTCATGAAATGACAATGATATAAAAAGAAAACCTAAAGCCTCAGTGGGTAAAAGGAAAATTGAAACTGGACATTGGTGGAAGTGATAAAAAATTCTAATGTGTGCATACAAAGAGCACAGTTTGCAGAAAAAAAGATTGAGAAATCATTATAACAATTAGGATAATACCACACTACTGTGGGCATCATTTTATTCCATATTTTATCCAAGATGTCAATTCTCTATCGTTTAGTTTTAGTTATTCATAAATAAACATGGAATGCCTTATCACTATGGGTCACATATGACGTTTCAATAAGAAAAAAATATTTCTGTTACTAAGTAAGATTACATAATGTTTTACATCATTGTCAGAGCTTAAGAAAATTTTTAAGTAATGACCCAAACTAAAACGATTCTCTGTGTTGGGTGTATAACATTAAGATGCAGCCTAGTCACAATTGATAACACAAATTTCTGCTGATGGGAGCTAAACATGACACAAGGGGAAAAAAGATCCACATCTGATAGACTAGAATTATTCATATTTGTTCTGAATCTGTGATTGAATGAATCAGTCATTACATTAAGAGATAGAACAAATAAAGTTAAAACACTATCTACTCAATAATTTGATAAAATATGCCTATAAGTCTAATAAATCCTATATAGGTTTATACAGAAGGGTCGTAACATATTTCTTTCTAAATCTGTGTGTGGCACTAAGAACCATTACACCATCCTGTAAAATTAAAGACATCTCCTAAATGAATCATCAAAACACTTTAAAATTACTCAACAGAAAAGTTTGAAAGTGAACATGTAGATGAAATATTTAACTGAGAATTTCACAATACTGACCTTTATTGATAAGGCGTACAAATGATTTAGCATCACATGATTTGGCTCTGGTAGTAAAGTTGGCTCGCACTGTAATAGTGAACACAAGGATTGATTGACAACTTTCAGTCCAAGGTGAAAAAACTTTAACTGCATCATTTACTAATCAAGCTAGCATTAATGTGTAAGCTATGTACTTGCATAAACTTCTCAAATTTTTTTCATTAAACCCTGAGATTGTTGATAATGTACAAGAAAACATTAGTCGTTACCCATAATTGTTTATTCGTAAGTTTAAAAATATTCGTTATGTCCGTAATTTAAATGTGCTGTTGTTTTAGATCATCAGATACCTACATGTGCTGGAGTATCTTTGTTAAGTATCAGATACTTACATGTGCTGGAGTATCTTTGTTAAGTATCACTTGTAGAAGGTGTGGAGGTAGAATGGGGGGCCCACTGTGTTTCTCCCCCGGCTTTCTGGGAGGGACATCTTGACAGTACTCGCCGGACGGTGAACCAGGCGTGTCTACTGGAAAGAAACAACGTTATCAGGCTAGACGATGCATTACGTTTGAATTTATACATTTTGTTTCCTTATGTGAACTCTGACATCTAGTTGTGGAAAGCAGGCTGATCAAATATATTTGTATAATAACATTAAAAGGAACTAGAGCTTCTGATGTGAAAAAAAGATTTCAGTTTTAAGTTTGAGAAGAAAAGACTGATACACATTCCTACACCATCAATGTTGATGCATTAAATTTTGTTGGGGTTTAATTGTTTACACATTTTCCCCAAATATAACCCCCGACAGGCTCGCAATAATCAAAATGACATTCAGTAAACTCAAATTAGATTCCACTTACATCCTTTCTTGTTGCTGTTTGTGTTTAAACTGTCCAGGGCAAGTGCCTCAAACACCTCAAAGTCCGACTTCTTCACAGAAATCACATTATTCTGAGTGCCTTTGTCATTGGTTACAGTTGGCTGTGGTAAATGAAATATATTAACGTAATTATAATGCAGTTAACAATAAAAAAAAAAAGATATAAAATAGTGGCAAATGATCATTGGTCATGTAATCATAATTATCATTTTAAAATTCTATCAAAACAATGGTCAAGATATCCAACTTGATTGCTTTTACATTAACTGGTTTGAAATTTAATTTTAATTGCACCAACTCTAGTAAGAAAAAAAAATCTAGCAAGAAATGTTTCCTAATGAAAGCTGGCAGAGAAAGTTATCACAAAAAATTGAGTACCCCACAGATAGTTTGAAATGTTTCTAAACTATCACATACCTATCGATTTTTCAAAATGAAATCAATGTTATCTAGCTTTTGCATTATACCTATGAAGAATTAGATATATAAAGATTTTTGATTCAAGAATTTACTTTTCATTTATCCCTTGAAATAAACAAAATAAATGCAAGTTTAATTGTAGTCAGTAATTTCTTAGAGACATCACTTTTCATATGTATAAAACTTAACCTGAACTAGTTTGAAACTCCCTTTTGGTGCCATATTCCCTTTAAATTAAATAAGACAAACTCTATGCATTTGAGACTTTAACAACGTTTACCCAGAAGTGTAACGAGTTCATTCAAATTTTAGCATTGCACGCGTGCGCTTGTGAATGCATGTACGTAATGACCATATCATCTTGTCTACACAATCTATATATTTATACCCCCCGCTTGAAAAGCGGGAGGGTATATAGTAATCGTTAATTCCGTCCGTCTGTACGTCTGTCCGTCCGTCCGTCTGTCCGTCCTTCCGTCTGTCCGTCCGTCCGTCTGTTACGCTTTGGGGTACCCATCTCTTATCCGCAACTCCTCCTAAACCAAGTAAAATTTGATGCAACTTTCACAGAATCTTTATTACATATTGCCATTGTGCACCTCCTATTTTACTTTTTGATCCGACACATATTTTGAGTTTTCCAGCCACAGGAAAACATGGACTTTTTCACCAGTTTTAACCATATGGGAGGCGGGGGGTATCATTTAGTGAGCTCATCGCTCACAGTACCTCTAGTTTAATATACTAAATATTAAAGCATTTAATCCAAAAGAATAAGAAAAATACGCTTATTCAAGTGTATTTTTGATTTTGCTCGTTTCACGTGCACGCACGTGCATACGTGAAATGGTGACCACACCTTCTTGTAGAAGTCCATTACATCTATCTATATAAATATTACCCCGTTTGGTTGAAATCAAAGGGAGTTATAGCTGTTTAAAATTTCAACCAATCAAAAAGCAGCGCACGTACACCCACGTGTATGCATGTGCATGGTGACCATACCTTCTTGTAGTAACCCATTATATCTATCTATGTTCCAAATCCCATCCTGTTTGGTTGAAAACCAACGGAGTTATAGCTATTTAAAGTTTAAGCCAATCAGATTGCAGCGCACGTGCATGCACGTGTTTTCATGATAATTGCCATATATCATGTTGTAGGATATCCTAATGCATGGCTCTGTTTAAAATTTCAAAAGATTTCGTCAAAAAACAAGAAAAATATTAAGACTTTAGTTTCAGCCAATCAGAGCGAAGCGCACGTGCATGCGCGTGAGATCTTGCTATTTTGACCACGTCATATTGTATATGCTACTAATATATCCTTATATTGTAAGTTTCAAGGCATTTCATCAAAAATTTAAAAAGTTACGCCTATATCAATTAAATCGGTCATTTCACGTGTTGCACGTGCACGCTCTTGCAAGCACGTGCGCGCAAAATGACCTTTGTTCCGCAAATATACATAACATGCCTACTGACCCTAAAAAGGTTTCACCTGTGTCGGATGTGTAGTTTACAAGATCATTCGCGGAAAAGATTTTCCCAGGAAGAAGAAAAATAATAATAATAATAATAAGAAACAGAGTAAAAACAATATGTTCCCCAACTTCGTTTGGGGAACATAATAACAAGCTTGAATCTTCCACTGATGCCAACCTTTTATCAATTTATGTCATGTTTTATGAACTAATGAAGTGTATGGGCTATATGTGGTCTAGAACTGGCTAAAAAAGCTGCCATTATCAAATATCTCCCTATATGAATCATTACAAAGCAAGCTTTTATTCCTTGAAAAATTCTCAATTTTAGAATAGACGATAGTCAATTTATTATATTTCATTTATTTTCAATAACAGGTGATCCTTTATCTGTATAATATATTTGAAAAAAAAATTTAAGTCATTGAGCAGAAAGCAAGAAAATCAGCATATCTGAAAAACAGTTTTAAAAGTACATAATGATGGATACATTGTTAAAATGAAAGCAGATAAAAATCACTGATTGAGTTTACACTTTTCACATTACCGTATGCTTTCAATATATGATTTCATGCATGCATAAGAATCCCCCACCACTGAAAACACATCAACAGTAATACAAAAAAGATGACAATAAAACAGGTTACTCAACAAATACATAAACTGTAAACTGCAATAATGAATACCAGCATGCAATGTACACATCAATAATCCAACACCCTAAATATATACCGCTAGTAAGTAATCTGCAAACGTCATAGTTCTCACTTTAGATTTAATTAATTTGATTTTCATTTTCTTACTGGGTATCTTGAAAGTTGAATTGTTTACAGTGAAATTACTGGAAGTTCTTCTGTCAGTGGCACAATTTTTTTTATTGTGGCATTCATCTGACATACATGTACATATCTCCGCAACATTCTTTACCCAAAATTTTGAGGTGAAAATGGATTTATATGCAATTGAAAACCTATATGAAATTGAAAAATTATAGCCTTCTAATATTAGAATACAAAAAAGATACATATTGAGAGATTTAAACACTCCAGGGATACAATCCCAAAATCTGAAGCAATAATTACATGTGTAGCATGAGGGGAGGTAAATATTCCTCAGAATAAAGCGTTTTGATGGGAAATAAGTACAAGGCATTGATATGATTGCACAGAATTCTGACTCAGAAGTTGTTACATGTATTTGTAATGGTAGTGGTTATACTTGGAAAAAAGAGTTTCACTCTCATGGATTATAGGATTAAGCAGTGACCACACTTAGCAACTGCAAAGCAAATCTGTTTATTCATATATAAGAATTACATTAATAATTTATAATTAAAAAAAAATACTGTGAAAATATTTTTCATCAATATCCTGGCATCAACCAAGAAAATTCAAACTGAAAGACACGGGATTCGTATGAAGTTTTCAAGTTGTTTCTTTTAACATATTGGGAATGATGTTATCTACAAACTGTGTCTTTACATCAGACCTGATAGGAAAGGGTTATTTCATGACACTCTTTGAAAGAACAACGCAGTCTGCATTCTTTCCATGTACCTGTATTTTAACTACTTTTGGCGACTGCATTTGCAAATGCAAGATATGTTCATCTGTTGCTATTTTTCCTCCATTCCTCAAGTGTATCTTGTACCTTACACAGTTTCCAACAGACAAAAACCTGCATACACCCCTCCCTTCCCCCAATCCCATTCAATTCTTTCTTCACACCAATTCTTCGGTTTTCTTTTTGTAAGTTTTCTCTCCCCATCCCCCATCACTCTACTCTACAGAGAACATATCACTCACGGCCATGACATACCTCTTCTGTATTGTGGACCCACTGCCCGTCAACAAAAAACTTATACTGATGATCGCCCTCCGGTAAATCAACAATGGTAGTAAAATCGCCATGACTGAAAATGTTTCAACTGTATTAGTCTACTAAGAATTTACAAGCATGCATAAGCCTAGTTGGGGTAATGCTTGATAAATGTTCTTGTAACTCTGTGGCAATTCATGCATGATACTCTTCTAAATTGAATGTTTTCTAAGAATTTGAATTCAAACAGTCACCCAATTCACATCTAAATATCTCACTACACAATGGTTATGCGAGTACTAACTAACTTGTACTTCTTAAGAATCACAATATCTAAAGGACATTTGAATATTTTATCATGAATTAAAACAAATTTGAACTTGCAAAAATTTAGTACTCAGAGAAATATTTTAAAAAGAACACTGGGTGGACTTCAGAGCACACATCTGGGAGGCCGAATAAAAAATTTAAATTTAATAATTTTTTGATATATATATATATATATATATATATATATATATATATATATATATATATATATATATATATATAAAGAAATATAAATATTCAATCACAAATTAAAAAAAAAATGATATGGAAATGCGGGTGCAATTTTATGAAAAAAAAAGAACTCCAAGAAAACTGCTCAAATAACCATAGTGTAAACACAGATCACCAATGAAATCACACAAAGTACCGCCAGTACATTTATCAAGCATGACAGAGCCTCTTGCAAGCAACAGTGTGTCTTAATCAATTGTCCAACCATTACCTCATTGGGGTCAACACACATGTTGCCATCAACACAAAATCTATATTGGTAATCCCCTTCAGGTAGATCAATTATGGTGAGAAATTCACCATCATGACTGCTGGGAAAATTAAAATATGCATTGAAAATTATGCCAAGAACTAGGTTCCTGGTCAGAAGTCAAATCTTTCTAACATACATGGTTTTATCTATTCCAAAAAAAAAATCTTATGGTAAGCAGTTAAAAAAAAGTATTCAGGTTTTCTTGTAAAAATATTCTTTGGCATCTTTCATATACATGTGAAACAAATGAAGGGGTCATGTGCCACAAAGCTCACCACACCTCTTTCTGTCGAACAAGTATGTCAAAAAAATGAAACCCATATTTATAATTATGTACGGTATACACAATCAAAGCAAAGGGTTTTCTTCTAGCTATCTCTCTCCTACATATGTTCATTTAAAAGCTAAAAGTGTATTGTTTATGGAAGCTTTTAAGTTACATGTATATTTTTAGATAAAGTGTTTAATCATTAAAATGATAATCCCCTAGAGGCATTATTTAACAAAAGAATGCAATTTTTACATTTGCAAAGTAACAAAACATACAGGGTAGATACCTCTTAGAGTGCATATAATGACTAATTTTGAGAGTTTTTATGACAACAAAAAAAGGCTTATATATTCTAAGTGTGTGAAAAATTTCATAAAAGCAATTAATTTTTCCATTATTGGTATACGGATTTATTTTGTTGGTTGAAAATTATCCACAATCTCAAAAAGGTTAGCTATGGTTAAGGATCACTTCATTATAAATAGGGATCTGACCTATAGGACCGGGCTTGGTTTTATTCTCTGCAAAAAGCTTTTCGATTTCCGTTCTGATTAATGACATCAGGCTGAATAAATATAGCAATTTGTTTCCCTAAATCTTTATTTCAGTGAGTAGAGATAGGAGGAACTCTTTCATTGATTTTCTGAGTTTGTTATCTCCAAATGTAATAATTGATATTTTTCTTTACTTCTCATTGTGCATAATGGTAATGTCTACTCTCTCTGAAAGTCTCTTCTTTATGACTAGTAGGCTATTTATCCATGGATATAATAAAACATGCCATGAATGTGTGCAAATTATATAGGCCAAAATGAAATTCAAGGGAAAACAGTTACTGATATATGTAGCCAAAGTCAATGTAATTAAATTCTAAGGAATATATACAACTGAAATTCATCGCAGCTCAATGCTGCCAAGAATACCTGTATCGATCGCGAGTAACACAAAGTGAGTTATTCTTGTCCTCGGAGAAAGTGTTTTTAAATTGTTCCGCCTGACTGACAACTGTATGGATAGTTACGATTTGATCTCTCTTTAGTGTTTCTTATATCAAGAATGGGCATGCATAAAGGATAGATAATTGAAAGAAAATGCATAAGTCTATAAAAAAAATTAAAATAGTCTTTGAAAAGACGAAAAATTAAAACTTTAAAAGTGTGGTACCAGGTGGATTCGAACCCCCGACTTTAAAAAGAAAGTATCGATAGTGTAATAGTCGGCACATATATCAACTGAGCTAGTCTGACTATGAAATTAGTGGGCATAAATTTTAAGCAGATTATCAAAATCAGGTTTCCTTATTTTTTGTAGTTTTTTTGTGAATTTTGACCCTAGGGCAGGGGTGCCCCTTAAAAAATCCTATCTTAAATTATTCTTTACATCGGAACCTATCAAAATATCACAGTTTTATTTAGGGGCAGGCCTGCCCTGAAGGACTTCTAGGCCAAAATACATGCAAAAATCAACGCTTTGACGGACAAAATTGTGTTTTGGCCAACTTTGGAGGTTTATTGTAAAGTTATAAATAATAGATATTAGGTATAAAATACAAATTTGAAAAATTTAGACATATATATGGTAGAAGACAACAAATAAAGATTAATTTTTAAATGTCACTTTTTCTGGGAAATTGTTCTCTCCTATAGGTCAATTCTTTTGTCATAGCGAATACATCCTTTGGTGATTTCTTTCAATGCAAATTCATTTTCTCTAAAATTGTTTTGGACCGATTCTGCCATTTTCTGCTACATTGGACCATGATTGTGGGTATATAATATTATATGAGGCTGTGATGAAGGCCTGTCCCTTTATACAGTTAGATTATTCTAACTACACTTTTTTGGGGTATGGTTATAGAAATTTTCAACTTGCTCAAATGATGCATATTTTCTCTTTAATATATTATTTTTCTCTTCTTGATATGGTATGTGGCTATATGACTCTCCAGTGTCTGAGAAGCTTTGTTTGAATTAACCCCCATGATCTGTAGAACTTCAAAAAAGTTTTTAGTAAAAACTAATAGATCATTGACTTGGACAATTTGTGAACAGAAAAGCTCACTTGAGCCTTTGACTCCAGGTAAGCTTATAAAAGTATTGGTACTCAAAAATGAATGTGAACATTTTAAATAGTATTCAAGCATCCAAAAGTGAATAATTTTATTAGAAAATAGCAATTGAACAAGCTAAATGTACACAACATCTGTAGTACCAGCAGTTGAGTGTTAAATGATTTTTAAATAACTATAAATTTACTTACCTCTTAACAAGTGGTATTTTGGACTGCCAATTATTAAAGGAACCTGTAACATAGACATCTTTGCCTCCCCCTTCCCATTTAAAGACTGTTGGGAGAAGTTTTGGTTTCATGATAGATGTGTCTCCCTGGCTTTGTGTTGTTGCTGCCCTTTGTCTCTAAATATAAATAATAAAGCAATAAAGGTATTATTATCAAAACCTATAGACAAATGCAAGTGAAATTTTATTAAGATATGAATCTATCAGATATTTCAGAGACTACATCACTCAATACTATGTCTACTTCAGTTGAGACAATTTTTTTGGTTCAAAGTTTCATCAATCTCTCAATTGATCTAGAAACATACATGTATATACTTTACATAGTCATATATCAACAAATTATTTGTTGAAACATTCCTAAATATAGTCATGCCATAAATCAGTCTTATCAGCAGACACTTTACGATGAACACAATTTAGCTATGAAATACAGAAAAACGACAGCGATGCTTTCCCTAAGAACAAAATCCCCTCACACAACAAAGAAAGAGAGATATCCATAAAAATGGGATGGTCTGACTAAGATTTTAGTCCAATAACCAGTAAACATCTTACTAATAATTACAGCAACTTGTAACACTAATGTAAACAGATTTATGCATGTGACCTTGAAGTTGTTATTGTTTATACTTTTGGCCCCTAAATGTCAAAACCAATATGGCCAATGTAAGGAGAGTTTGTAAACAAAGCAAAGATAATCACCCTGTATCCAGATTTTAGAAGGCTGTCGAAAGGATCTTGACTGCTATTGGAGTCCGACAAAAACCTTCCAGCGGTGAGCGAGGGACCCGTTTCATCGCCTGAAATATGTCTACTACGAGAAGAGGACGAAGACGAGTTTCCCATTGTGATAGTTCTGAAAATGTCTCAATCAACTATGAAATCAATGTGGAGGGATTAATAGGTAGAGGACGATGACGGAACAACTGTTCCCCCACTGTCAATGATCGGACGAAGCTTCACCTTGCTGAAATGCTGACATGTGCTCAACAAAAAAATCTGTTGATTATTTCGATGTGACTCAGCGAGTCTATTTCTAAAAAGACGACTGTAATGGAGAAAGGTTCATTAATCCATTGTAAAATCCATATCCTCTAAATTTTCTATGTCATATAGAATCTAAATATATTAACTCGCTAATGCGACTTGTCTTCTCAAAAAGGTAAACAAATATGGACGATAACACCCCTAAGAGCATGCGTGGTCATTTCAAAAATCGAATCTACCATGGACAAAATTCCGGAGATAAGTCATTTGACTTATATTAATAATTACATGTATAATCATTGATGTTTTTGAAGCTAGTACGATGATTAACTATTTGAGAAGTACATAAATTCACCTCACCCTCTGAGTTTTGTGAATATTATGTTTTGTGAATATTATGTACAATCAGATTTATATTTCGAGGAGGGGGGGGGGGGTCTGATTCAATGATATGTACAAACAAATTTAGAATGTAAGAAAAGGAGTACTAGTATATAAGAACCTGGGTTTACAATATAAACCACAGCAAATTGCATTGATTCATCAGTTTAGAATTAATTTTCTTGATCTATTTGGGTCTTTTATCTGGCCTGAAAGGGGTGCATGGTGTTAATTAAAACACTTTTCTCAAGTTAACCAGTAAGTATCAATTTGGAAGTTTTCGATAAAATTTTATTCCAATGAAAAAAAAGTAAATGTTCACTTGATAAATGTTCTCGGGTAAACATGGCGGAATAAATATCAACTTGCACGTAGCATTGGAAGGGGGGAGGGGGCTTTTTCCCCACGAATATTTTTTTTTACTTTTGAAAAGGTGAAAATGTGTATTGAGAAAAGGTGAAAATGTGTTTTGAAAGGCCTCTCCCCATACTTTTGTTGCAGTATATTCAAATAAGGGTAAATTATAGTGATGTATAAAAAAGAGGATTTTAAAGAAGTTGGCTTACCCCCCCCCCCCTTCGAAAAAATGAGTTTAGACAAGTTTTTTTTCCTCCTGTTTGGTTTATTCAGGAAAGTTGACCCCCCCGCCTCAAATGCGATGCTACGTCACTTCTCACTTATCTTATCCAATCATCATTTTCACAGCATCAGAGGTTCTGATTCCACTTTAGTGGTCGTTACCCAAATATATGCTACAGAAAGGTTACATCAGAATAATTTAAGTTTTTAAGTTTTTTTTTATCAATATTTAAAAAAAAATATTTTTGAGAATTATTCAGACAATTTGGCACAAAATAATTCTATATACATATATTTTTTTCTAAATGAATAATTTAGATATAAAATAAATCATTGATTTAGTGTCAGGAAAAAAATACATTTAGGAACATTTTTTGATTTCTATGAACAAAAATATATGCTAATCGAAGTATATTGAGAAGGTATTTAAGTCCTGCGCCATGCCAGTATAGTTATCTATATTGTATTAATTGCCAATATCAAAGCATTGCTGCAATATCGAAAGCTGCAATATATTTTTATTTTTACAGTCAAACCCTGTTACCTCAAAATTATTGGGGCCGAAAAAAACTCAGTTCGAAATTTTTCGAGCTCGAGGAATCGAGATTTAATTCCAGGGTCAAAAAATGAAAGAAAAAAGGGTTTTTACTTTCGAATAACCTACCAAAGTATTTATTATAATGGGTACTAGAGATGTCGAACTATTACTTTATAATTACTTGTCTTTTACTTCCATTTAGATCGAGACACCCTCCTTAATTAAATTTCTTTTCAGACTTAATTAATTTGACCTGAATTAATGAATATTGGGTGAAAAATGGTTGTATGAAAAACGTGTTCATAACATGAACAGAACCAATACTTTTTACTTTCAAGCATACAGTCATGGAGAATAATATTGAAATATTATTCTCCATAACTGTATGCTTTAAAATAAGAAGTAACGGTTCTGTTCATACCCTTTTCTGTTCTTTTTTTTTTTTGTAAGAAAGTGGAGAACTTCAAAATCTGTTGCTCTCTGTATCAAAGCACAATTACATTGTTTTATTATAAATGTAAACAGAAAAGGAATGGGGCCTACTTTTTTGAGTAAGAGACGATTGGAACTTCTAAAAAAAAGTTTCCGGATTTTTTTTTTGTGATCGGTTTATCTATTAGACAAACAAAATTACGTCATTTCCATATTTATAATGGCGACCTCCAGCTCTTGTGAAAGTAACTTAGCACCAACAGAATTTGACTTGGCGAGCTCAGTAGAGAGTTCCTCTGGTCTGACGGTTGCAGTGGAACGGTGCCCTTTATGTGATGGAAGTAGGAGATCGTTTTATTGCAGAGATTGTGTGAATGGCGGACTGTTTGTTCACTCCATTGGAAGCCACCCTGAAAGGTAAACATTTTGCGTCGTCTGCCATTGTAATCAAATTCATTTCGGCATGTGAATGCCAATAATGGTATGACTTTGATACGAGGTCATATAGAAAACAAAATTAAAATTATCCCTGGAATTCTGCATTCCGTTCCAGAGTTAATAGGATTAGCTGGTATGACCAATTAGTGAGAATAAACCTGTTTTGGGACCTTCCTCACTATATCACTGTTTCCACTGTAACCAGTGTAACTTTTATCCAGTGTAAAGTGTCAGTGAAAAATAATGCTGCCCAAGGAAAAGCTTTTGTTAACTAATTATATACTGGTGAAATTCTGGACTGGTTTCTTGCCATGGATTATGCATAAATCAAATAAAAAAATTAAAATAGTGAATTTATCATGACATACTGAAATGTTTATTAGCATAGATTACACATGGTTACTCAGTAGAATGCTTACTCCCAGGTGGCAAGGTCCTAGATTCAAGCTCATGCTACAATGAAGTGCCCTAACATAAGTTGATAGAAAAAGGTGGCAGCTCTTGGACTGTTCCTTTGCAAGTGCTCTGCATTGAAATGAAAGTTGTGATTCTTTTGGATGAGACTGAAAAACTGAGGTTCTTACCATTCTTAGTCACAGTAGGTGTTAATTGACACAATAAGATCCTTCACTGTTCAGTGGCTCAAGCTGAGTGCCAAGTGGATGTCTAAATTTGAAGCTCTTCAACACTGTTTGGTGAAATCTCTTTATGTTAAAAATATCGAATAAGATGTAGTACAACATTAATCAATCAATATTATGAATCCAATGACTAATTTTTTTTAAAAATTCCATTTTACCAGATACAGGGAAAAAAGTCACAAGCTAGAATTATTACAGAAGGAAAGAAGGGGAAGATTAGAAAGGTATGTAATGTTATATGACTCTAAACAAAATACAAGAACTCCTGTGTACTAAATTTTCAATATGCTAAATGACAATGCATCATTTATTTTTAGGGTTCAAGATGCACTCAGACTTCACTTAAAAAGAGACCAAAAAGTAAGTATGAATTGCTTCTTTGAGTATCTACTTATGTGTTAAAATACACCTATCATGGCATACATATCTACTGTATACAGGGAAATTTTCGCCCCCGTTTTATTTTCGCCCTCTTCCTGATTGGGCGAATTTAAAATGGTGCGAATTCAAATGACACAGCATAGTTTCTTAAACAAAACTAAGAATGGGCGAATTTAAAACGGGGCAAAATAGTTTGCAAGTGCAAAAGGGCGAAAATAACACGGGGCAAAAATAACCCTGTACACAGTATTTATGTTGCCCCAAATGAATATGATTGGTATATTGTTATGACAAGGACCAAAATTTTTAGACAAGTTCAGGGTGACATATATGCTTTAGAAAAAAACAAAAATTCTAGTTTAATAATGCTTTTGTCTTTTGCTCTTCTTTTTTTTTGATTAAAAATTTCTGTCCTAGACAACACATGAATTCACTCAGTTCACTTGACATAAGGAACAGCAATGTGAAGCTACAAATACTGGTTTACTTTATAAGCATTTGATTTGCTCATATATTTCAGTTAAATACATTTATGTGGATCAAGAAATAAAACCCCTATTTTTTTCCTTAAAAATTTTTAGTGAGAACAGTTTAACCTGGAAAATGTATGAATAATGTTATATTTTGAGCTTCAAACATTTGCTACCTTTGATAGCATTGGCAGCATTGTTTATTCTAGATTTAACCCAAACTAATATGTTTCATTTGGGCCACCTGCATAATACCAAGATTTCTATCATTAATGTTTTAAAATCTATATTGCATACAAACACTGTATGTTAAATTTTTAGTCTTTTATTAACTGCTTCATTGTTATACATTTTATTTTGTATAGAAAAGTGAAATTGAACAATGCAAAGAAAGGATCAAGCTTTTAAAAAAGGCCCTTGCTGCAGCAAAAGAAACAAGATTAAAGGGTATGTATAATGTTTTTTGTGTGTTAAGTAGTGAAAATCAAACCTTCATGAATATTAGTGATTTCCTAGTAGACTTGACTGGAACATGCAATTTAGCAAACAAGCAAATCATATCTTTTTGCTACAAATCTACTATATATATGAATAGTTCATAATTTTATAAAATTACCTAAAATTGCAGGCAAAGAGCTTTGTGATAAACACAAGAGAGAAAACTACCAGCGAGTCGTAAGAGGTCGCAGACATGAAGAAAAGAAAAGGCGCATCTGTTCCTACATAGACGCTGTAAGGGCAGCTAATGAGGAGAAACTACAGCTCTGTAGGGAGAAGAAGAGAGAGCTAGCAGCCGAGAGAAAGGTCCAGGTGGATAGATTGGAGAAGTTTATTTTCCAGGTGGAGGAGGTGGCCCTGGTCAGGTACTTTGTTACTAATTATTTAGCTGTCTGTGAAAAGTTTTCGTGCCTTTTAGATTTTCGAAGTCTATACCTGAGATGATGAACAATATTATGTGTGGTAAAAATAAAGTATTATTTGACATTCCTTTGAACATATACCGGTACTATGACTATTACTTTATGTCTTATTTGAATGAAGGGGAGGGGTAGTGGGGATAGAATCAAATTTTCATTTTTCCGTATGTGCCTTGGTTTATTATAACATTCTTACATCAGCTACTAGTATTCATTACACTGAAATTGAAAACTTGAACATGTACAAGTTCATTTCTTGAGTCTAAGGTCATGGGATTGGCACAGGTCTTTCTTGAATAAATAAATAAATACTCTGACATCCCACAGACCAACACAGACAAAAATGTTTCCTCCTGTAGGATTTTCTTGTTGAATGTCCCAAAATGATATTACATGTACTAGGTAACTCAGTGAGATGGAACATCCAAAAGAGTACAATGTCAAGGTCACAAAAAGTCTAGCTCAAAGCACATATTTCTTGAATAAGTACCCAGATCAATATTTTACATTCCCACAAAGTACAAAAATGTTTTCATAAGATATTTTTGTGACATTTGATTATCATATACATGTACTTGTATATTTTTCTGTGTATTTCCAAACATACCATATAGCGGGTTATTTTAGCAGGGTGCTAATTTTGGCCTATTTTGGCATTTTGATGATAGGCCGCTAAAATTTTAATCACTGAAATAGTCATTACTCTTATTAGTGTCCATCTGCAAAGAGCTTAAACATTGCGTCCGCTAAAATAAATTACGCCAAAATTATTGGCATACCTTAGAGAAGGCAAAATGCCAAATTTTACACCCGCAAAGAAAACACTCTATACGGTAATTAATGCACTTTACTTTCTCTACCATGCACACATGTTAACAGTGAAACAGACTCAATGGTTGTGAGCACAGTGAGTGCACTCCGAGATGCCAGTCGTACAGCGTATGTTAGAGGACAGTGGGTATACACAGACGGTAGTGGGGAGGCCCAACACAGAATTGTGGAACCCACATTACCTTGTAGTGGAGATTACTCAGCATATAACTTGTGGGGTAAGTCAGTTTATAATGTACATATAAAAGCATTGTAAAGACAAGGATTGATGAAGGTGAAATAAGTTTCTTTTAACACGGAATACTTCATTGGACTTCTACAGCACATTTTAAAATTTTTATTGCAGTTTATAAAAAGGGATACATTAGCCTAACATGAAATTAATGTATTTGCTCTGTCTGTCTAACAATTTTTACAACAGCTCTTTGGTATTTATATACAAAAGTTTCAGAAACTGTGGTTATTTTCTTTACAATATGAATAAATGTAAAAAAGAAATTTTTCATGAGTGGACACTATTACATACATGTAGATATGTGAAAGCAAAGTTTTTGAAAATAGGAAGTGTATCCTTCTTTGATTTTTTTTGCAGTGGCTGCAAACCAGGAAAATGGTGGTCATCCTGACAACAGTTTGAGAAATCCCGGTCACAGAATCAGTGCTGGCTTGTGTTACGCCAGTCAGATGACTGCTGTACTTAGTCATATACTGGATATCCGTCTTCCTAGAAAACAGCCCTACAGGTGAGTGTTATGTGTACCACCAACCAACAAGTCTCTGCTTACCTTTCTCTGACTCTCTGGTAATGTTTTTCCCAGTCATATCTCAGTTGTAAAGTTGCTGTGGTATCAAATCCAAATTACCGTATAATCCCTATTAACCGCCCCGGGCGCTTAGAAAATTGCAAAAAGGGGCGGTTATTTTGGTGTTCTCTTTATGATATTTAATGTCATGTTTTAACTTAAAAAAATCATTTGAAAATAAAAATAAATACAAGAAACAACTAAGATAATGTCTAACTTTATTTAAAGTGAAGATAATCCACCCAAATTATGCTAAACTGTTCATTTTCCATTGAGAAATTGGATGATAGACAACATTTTTTTGATACGATTCTGGTTGATTTTAATCACTTATAGGGGGCCATTATTTCTTGACAATTGAAAAAGACCTAAGGGGGCGCTTATAGGGGTAGGGGCGGTTAATAGGGATTATACGGTAATGTTGAGTGTGAGAGAATAAATCAAGAAAAAAAATTATGTATATAGGTGTACTGTTGATATTAACACAACTGAATTTTGACATATGGACATATAAACAGACATGCCTTTTCAAAATTTTCTACAATGAAATGAAATTCTGATTTCAGTGACTTTTGTACCAATGAAATAATAGAGAGACAGTTTAAACACAGTGTGGCCTGCTTGAACCAGAATATCTTGTATTTGTGCTTTGCCCAGAATGTTCCTAATCCAGAGCATATAGATCCTAGGAACACACTTCAGAATATTGTGGTGCTTCTGTCCTGTCCATCACTGGGAAAGTAAGTACACTCCAGAACATTGTTGCTATAGGGAGATACATTGTATATACTTTTAAGAATTTGCATTTTCATGAGAAGAAAAAGTACATTTTAGGACACCTTTTATTTTTCTTTAAATTTCTAGATTCAAAATAAAAAAGGACTTTTATTTCAATTTACTCCTGAAATGCTTTTGATTTGAAACAGGAATTCCAATTTTGAAATCGATAAAGATCTAATGGCTTCCATCGAGGACTCGATTATCCTCCAAGAGGAGGATTCAGATACCGGTGGGGGAGAGGACGAATTGATCAGTGACTGGGAGCAGGTCACAGAGGATGTGTCGGATATGTCGGATGTTCCAACTCGAGCCGGATACAACAGCACAATATCCAACATCCAGACCATGTCTTATCCAGGTCAACCTCCAGAGCAACTGACAGCCAGTGGATTCGTCACCACGGCTGCCACTTCTTTCATGTCGTTATTCAGGGGAGGTGATCAGAAGAGCTGAAAGAAGAGAAGCTCTTCAATTTGCATTTTAAGTTGAAAAAAAAAGTCATCAAGATTTGAATTCACACAGTTTTGCCTTCTTACATTTTTTTTTTGGTACTAAAGTACAGATGGATTGCATGTTTATGAGAAACACCATATTTATAAAAATCATGCTGATCATATTCTTGCCAATATATATATTTAAGGTATACCTTATGAAATTGTGTTTATTCTAGGCACATTTTAAATGTCTTTTGGTCAAAGACCACAGCTTACTATAAGCAATGATCAGTGGTGTTTTGTTCTTTTATGTGTCTGCAAATCTTATTTCAAAAATGATACAAGATTGGCCTGATTTTAATAGAACTTAAAACACAAGACTACTCCTAAGATAAGTAATATCATACATACATAGATTTTGGTTTTAACAAACAGTGTTTCTGAGGTTACTGAAATTAAAATTTCTATGAAGTTCTTTCAAAAAGATATAAAAACCAAGGCTTGTAATTCTATTTGTCATTGTGAAAGCTACTCAAAGAAATATGTTGAAATGTTTTATTACAGTTCTCGGGTTAGCTTGGACTTTCAGTGAGGCGTGGCATTCTCGGCGCTACGTAATGGCGAATACTAGTAGATTCTCATCGGTTAAGAAATTAATAGCATCAGGAACTTGAAATTGTTGACAACTGTGAGACGAATTACTGTAAACCAAGTATTATACGCGTGCGATAAATATCCGCAAGTTCCGCGATTAACCTCTGCTCGTGGATATTTATCGTCGCGAACCAGTTCAGTTGTTATTTTCCAATGTTACAATTAGAGTTATTTGCCCTGTTTTGAATACCGATCCCGACGGTTCAATAAGTAATCACGGGTCGAAGAACTTTTGTGTTCTAAAAGCAGTTGAAATTTAATTGCAAACATTCAGAAAAAATATATAAACGAATGGCAAATCTAAAACTATTTGTCTAAAAATGATTAAAATGTCAATAATTATTTCAGTTTGTGTTATCATTGTTCATTATTGTCACAGACGAGTTAGAGATAGCCTGGTTAATTACGACTAATTATAGCCCAGTCCTGCGCCGTCCCAACCATTTATAATAATTGCCCTATGACTATGTAGATCTTGTAAAGCGTCAATTATCCAATTAGCATGACGAACTTTTACACTTGAGAGTTTGAAATCAACTTTAATCTCCTCGATTTTTTAACCCGATTTTCATTCAAGCGTCATGAATAATGCGTAAGAAGTATACTCATAGTAACATTTTTCCTACTTCAGGTGCGGATATAAGATTTTAAATGGACGCAATGCACAGAATGTCTTGAATGATAATGCGTAAGCAGTAATCACGGTAGCATTTTACGTAGTTTATGGGCGGTTATAAAATTTTAATTTGATACAAAAAATACTTGTGGAAATAAAAAAAAATATGATCCCTTGTTCGCGGAAATAAATCGTCGCGAATTAGTTCTCTAGCGGTCAGTCGCGAATAAAAAATTACGCGTATAATAATTGGTTTACAGTATGCCCCACCTCTGTGCCGTGAGAGAACTTTTAATTGGCTATTACTACACCAGTTGACATTCGGACGAATTTCTATCCTATGTATATTTCAACAGTGAAGGAAAGCTGTGTAAATTTCAGAAGCTAATTAGGTAACATCGAGAATGCCATGCTTTACTGAAAGTCCAAAGTAAACTGGTAATGGTCCTAAAGTGCCACTTTTAAAATTCTACTTCAAGTTTTGATTTGATTCATCTCTAAGTACATGTACTACCTTTTCTCTTTCTGTATTATAAGTACAAGTCAGTAAAGCTACAATCTCATCAGAGACTTCTGTTTTTTCTTATGTGATTGATTTAATTGAAGAAATATTTTAGATAGTACTGTATGTCTTATTGTAATGTTTCAGGGTATGTACAATGTAAATATACTTTGTATTAAGAATCCAGATAGTATATGTTTTTGTGTCAAACTGTTGTGAAGCTGGGTTGTTAATTTTGACTTCTAAGTCATATTCCTTTTATGGTATTTATTTTCATAGACTCGTAAACAAAGTGCAATATATACATGTAACATTAATGACAAACTGCAAATTTATGTCTATTTTTTCTTCATTTCTCTCAGGGTCAACATAATTGTTACTTGAATGTAGATTCTGATTTGGCATTTAATTTTAATCAATTTATGTAGGGAAAAAATTCTAAAATGCATTTGTCCATAAAAATAACCTATTTAATTGATTTGTCTAATTTTTATAGCAGTGTAAAATTGAACTCGAATGACCTGGATAAAAAGGCTGGATCTGTTTTAACCCCTTACCATAAATCAGATAACAGGGTTTTCCTCTCTTTTTCTTCTTTTCTTGGAAACTGCAACAGAGAAGAATTGAAACCTTAAAATCAACTTAAATGTTACCAGTTGTGACTAGATGCATTCATTATGAAAGCATAACATGATTTACAATATGATAGAATAAACTGATTGTCTGAAAGTAACCTTTTTAATGCTTGGTATTCCAATTATTTGAAACATGGATTATTCTGGGGTTATGACCATTATAATCAAGTCATTGGCTTTTGCAGTGTATAACATAGAAAAGTGTATCTTTAACTTGACTATGCTGTGCAGAAAGCTCATGTTTCAGATGGATCCTTATAAAAGATATGACAAATAGTGCATCTAAGTCCTAAAGTAAGGTCATCTCAGAAAGTTTAGTTCAATGTTTCAAAGTATTGCAAAAAGAAACAGAGGTTTTACCTCCACCTATTAGGCAAACTTGTTTAAAAGCTTGTGAACTTATTATGCATTGACCAATATCCTTTTCAACCCAATGTGCCTTTTGATAAAAATGATATATGTTATTGAGCATCTGAAGACTCCATAGACTGACTTTTAATTTTTTTTTGGGGGGGGGAGGGGGGTTCACACCAAAATTTTTTTTTTCTCTGTGTGACCTTGTCTACAAATGCACTGACAGAATGCTAAAAAAAGATTGAATGCTAGTAACCTAATTTTTTCAGCAAATTTTATGGAGGTAAATACTTTATGTGTACTTTAAAAAGCGGGCATCATATTTTAGCGACTTTAGCAACGACAACAATGCGCTAATTCATGAACATGGCTAAGAAATTAATTTATACATGTATATACAATACACTGAACGGACATGTGTAGCGCTAATTTATGATTACGCCAACAACTTTGTCCCCAGTGATTAGGCTTAATTTTGAATACACCAAATTATGTACACGTAAAGTAGATACTGTAGATTCCTAAATATACGCGATGAATAAATTATCGTATAATAACGCAAGAAATACCGCTCGCGAAATAAAATTACTTGCTTTTATTTTTATGCTGCTTTTATATATGTAATATCTCTAGATAAATTACCAATTTGTGAATTATTGTTCCTGCGATTTGACGTTATTGGACCATTTCACGATATTAAGTACTGTCATAAAATAAGGAATCTACAGTACTTTCAAGTTTTAATACAAGAAGTAAAAATGTCTGATATGCAATATTTTGGATGTCCAGAGGTACGGGTCAAATGATATTATGTGTATTACTCATTTTCTTGTCTGAAAATATAACAGTTTATTAAAACATGAGTATGTTGTGCAATACAGTATATTATAAGAATACTAATGTTTAAATGAATTTTTGTTTTGTTAACATAAATGTTTAAGTTTTTTCTGATTTGTATTCTTTTATGAATAAGTATTTCTTTTATTTTGTCTTATATTTTAGCTCCAATTTAAATTATTTTATTTGTTATAGAGGGATATTTGCATTTTCATTTTATATTCAAACTAAATAATGCTTATAAAATGGAGATGATAAGAACAAACATTGTCAACATAAACTTAATGAAATGTATGGATAAAATCCTTAGATATAAAAATTGTTAGAATTATCTCCCCTATTTCTATATTAAGTTCTCTCAAATTTGCAAGGTGGCCTATAAATTTAAGCTATCAAATCATAGAAAAGAACTTTTTGTGTATCTCATCATCAATCCAAAGACCCATCTTTGTAAATTTTATGCATAAAAATGATACTTTTCTCATAGGCTTGTTATTGTATATTAAAACAATTAGATCATATCTATCCATTATGAGATGGATTGTAAAGATTTTCTTTGGAAATTTAGTAGATGATCCAACCATGCTGAATCTATAGAAATGGAGGAGTAAAATACAGAAGACTATTGCATAGAGATGAGCACAAAGTTGTCCCTTTTCCATGCTTTTGTGCTTCATCCCAAAATGTCTTTGAACAAGAACAAGGTTTTTGGTATTTCTCTCAACATCTTTATGTTGACAAAAAAAGCATTATTTTACCATGTTAAAAGATAAATGTATATGTATTAGATCAAGGTCATTTTGGATTATGTTTAGGATTTTGTGATAAGGCAGAACCCTTTACAAATTAAAGGTGTAGAGTTCCATTTTCCAGTCCTGGATGTAACTAAAAAGGGCCATAACTCTCTTGTTCATTATAGATGTGTTTACATTTTTGAGAAATTCCTCATTCTGGCCTCCCATTTCCTAATTTAGAGGTGTTATCAATATACAGCCATGTCAATTGATGATTGTGATCTCATTACCAAAATATAACTCAGATTTTACTGCATTGCCTACTATTGACAAAATGTTGTCCAATGCAAGTTTATAATAAATATTAATTTTTTAATTGTTCAATTGACTGTAATAGTTATGACGTACAAGTAAGATTTATTTTGGGGTAAGCTTTTGGAATTGAGCATTGATAAATGTATATAAATCCTTATTTAATGCCTTTTTAAACATGTTTGTCATATTATGAATTTAATAGTATTAATCAAATTGAAATATCCAACTACTCCACATTTGTACTTTGTTTTATTTTATTTCTTGGCCAACTGTGATAAAACTAGAATTCAGTAAAGTATTTGTTCTGATAATTATTGTTACATGCATTTTGCTTATATTTAATAAAAAGGATGAAAATAAGCAGTGAATATGGTTTGCTCTGTAGTACAAGGACTAGTAGCTATTATTAGGAATAAAAGCTATTATACTTAACTGTTTCCCCAAGATTGAAGTTCCATGAATCAAATACTGGTAATTCCCTCTCGATGCCAGAACCACCATGTTTGCTTCTGGACATCTGAAAGGCAGAGTACAAAGTTCAATGGAGTGAATTTTTTAAAGCAGATGCAAGGCACCCAGTGAGGCTCTATTGATCATGTAGGGTACTATTTACCCTACTTTGAGAGAAGTTATTCCCCTTTATGTTATCTGCTTATAATAATTTTAAAATAAATGTGAAAATGTAATTGCTAAGTGTATTAGATAAAATAATTATACAATAATGCTTAATATATAATACCAAAAAGTCTATGGATCATTTGCAGAGCTATGTTCACAAAATCATCGTAAGATCTCATTTATTACAAACATATGAAGAACCCTAACAGATGGTGGGTTAAGTGTATTAAATGTATGATTTTTCTATTTATACCCCTTCCAAATCAATTTAAAACCTTCTAATGCAGTTTTCTCAGATAGGTGATTCCCTTAAATGGGAAAAAATATAATAATATTCCTTCACTAATTGCTATAAAGAATTCTGATATTCCATGACGCAATGTATACCATAACACTCATCGACTGTAGCAACTAGTTTACAAATGCATATATTTCTGGATTGAAAGTTGAATGACCAGCTATATCCTATTTCAGTCTTAAGAATTAAGCGAATTACATCAGAAAAGTTAGTACCGATGGTCAGTTAGAAAATCGATTCAACGGTTGACATGAATGAATCAATAATGGTAGGTACTTCTTGATTTACTCTCGGAGATGTTTCTAGGTTACTATTTTTTCTAACATGCTGAAGATGTTACATGTTTTTAAAAATACCCAGAAGGTATGCGTGCGTGTTTTGAGTACCATCATCACTTGTTTTAAAATTTCCTCTTTTAATTCATACCTCTTCGAGATGTTGAATCTATGAAGCATTTTTTTCATCTATCAAATACTGATTTAGTAGATTAAAAATATTTTGAATCCAGACCAAATTTTATGCAATGCACGAAAGACTAGGTATTGCATTATATTGAATTACTTATATATAAGTATTATATAATACACGGAACTAGATTACACGTTGAGCTGTTTGTGAGATATCTTTATGTAATTAGATATTTTGAGTAAAATAATTGAATCGATTTTATTTGTAAAAAGCGATGGTTTTGATAATGCAACACTTCAAGGTCTTGGTCAAATGGTCAAATTTGTTTTTATTCAAAGGAAGGTATTGTCACAAGAATTATACCTGTGAAATATGAAAGCCCTAGTACTAACTGTTCAAAAGTTATGACCAAGATAATTTTTTTTTTTAGTGGATCTAACTCTAAGGTCAAGGTAAAAAATATTTATACCCTTTGAAAGTACTTGTCACATTGAATGGTCATAAGTATGAAAGCCCAAGCACCATCTGTTCAAAAATTTTGTGCAATATTAAAGTTTGAAAATTTTCGGTAAAAGTTATTCAAACTCCAAGGTCAAGGTCAATTTTCTTGTGCCCTAAGAAAGATCTTGTCACAAGAAATAAATCTGAAATATTAAAGTCATAGCCTCACCCACTCAAAAGTGATTGGCAAGATTAAAGTTTATGCAGACAAACAGATTAACGGACATATCTACAGACGGACAGGACAAAATAGCTGAACCCACAGAAAAGTTATTGGCAAGATTAAAGTTTTTGCAGACAAACAGACAGACAGGACAAATATTATATACCCTCGAATCTTCGATTACGGGGGCTTAAAAATATAATACGAACAAGATATATTTAGTAATACTGTTGCCCCGATTGCAGTTCAAGGCTAAGGTAAAAGATTTTCAAATGTAAGGCAAACCTCAAGGTCAAGAGTTCTACAATGTTGGTATACAAAGAAAAGTCTTTTCACAAGGAATATATACGAGTACTTGTGAAATATGAAAGCGCTAATACAAACCATTCAGGGAATAGGCCCTAGGTTAAATTTTTTGTAAAAAGTAGGTCATACTCTAAGATCAAGGTCAAGAGCTAGAAAAATTGTTCCATTTGGAAAGATTCTGTTGCAAGAAATTCATAAATCACCAACCAGGGAAGGATATTTTTTGTCAAAATAATGTAAGTCAAAATCACACAGGGAAAACAAAAGCCCAAACCCAATATTTCAAAAGGCTTTGGCCGAGGTCAAAGTTTAAAAAAAGGTCAAACTTCAAGGCCGAGGTAAATAATATTGGTTCCAGAAAGTTCTGCTCATATGGATATATCTATGAAATAAGGAAGCTTTATCACCAACCATTCAAAAGTTATGGGCAAGATTAAGTTTTTGCGGACAAACAGATCAAAAGACAAATAGACAGATCAGAACTATAAATTGCCTCGATTCTTTGATGACTGGAGCGTAAAAAAAACCTTTGACAAATGTTGTCAAACGGGGCACCAGTGTTTCACAAACACATATATCCTGTTTACTTTTAATTTAAGCACGAAAATGGTCATCTATAGACTGGTTCCCCCATCCATCTATTTCTTTATCGAGTACTGTCCCTCCTGTAGACCCGAGGGACAACACCATGTTCAAAAGATTTTCGAGTCTGGATTCTCTACTCTTCATTTGTTTTTCCTTGTCAATACTCGGAATGCTGTCGTTGGAAAAAAAAATCAGTCAGAAAAGATAGACAATAGCTAATGTTTCGTATTTTAAAGCAAGGAATGGTGAGATTAAAAAAAGAAGAAAAAATCAAACGTTTGAATTTTCATTATGCACGGTTTGTGTAAATATATTATGTAACACTTCAATGAAAAAGCCATTAACAAATAAAGTTCCGGACAAGAAGGTGAAAGTTTGCGTAAATGTATGCTTTGCGCAATTAACTGTGAAGTTTGTTTGCATGAATTTAAATAAATGTTTAAACAAAAATAATCTTTACTAAGATGGCACAAATATGGAAGGTAAGAGAGAGAGAGAGAGAGAGAGAGAGAGAGAGAGAGAGAGATTCTTGTCGTTTTCAACACTTATATCGCGTTAGAAAATTATTATTTATCATTTTTGCTAAACACCTATTAACGTTGATGCATGTATGGTAATTATAATACCGTTGGAATATAATGTCGATTTGTGATGTTTACATCTTGTTATCAATCTTGATGAATTCTGTATTAATTCAATTACTAGTAATGCAAAATTAATATCGGGAGGGGAGGGGGCTGCGCAACACAACCTCTCTCTATTAAAAATGTTAATTGAAAGCCCCTCTTTTAGAAATTACATTTTCGTTGAAGTATAGTCAAATAAGGGTAATGTAGTGGTTGGTACTGAAAGAAGTTGTTGACTTTTTTTTGCTTGTCAAGTTTTTGCCTGCAACAGTTATGTTGGCATGCAACATATTTATGTCAACATGCAAGTTAATTATGTTGACATTCAAGTTACCAGTACCGTAAGAAAATGTAATTCAAATATGGGTTTTACTTACTAACGCCCGTATTTGACATCCTAGATGCAAGGTGCAGCATAATTATGTCAACATGCGACTTATTTATGTCGACGTGCAAGACAATTATGTCAACATGCGATGATGCGACTTATTTATGTCGACGTGCAAGATAATTATGTCAACATGCAACTTACTTAGTATTTTTGTCAACATGCAAGATAAAGATAATTATGTAAACATAATAAACTTATTTATGTCAACATGCATCTACGATGTCAGATACGGGCGTTATGAGTAAATTTAACTATATTTAAATCATTTTTCTTATTAGATTGGTTACTTGCATGTCAACATAATTAACCTGCATGTTGACATAAATATGTTACATGTCTACATAATTATGTTGCATGATAACATAATTTATCTTGCATGTCGGGGGCAGAAATATGACCACCATACGTATGTTTTACCTAGATAAGTTGCATGTGACATAAATAAGTCGCATATTAAAATGCATATCTTGCACGTTAACATAAATAAGTTGCATGTTGACATATATATCTGGCCTGTTGACATAAATAAATTGCATGTTAACATAAATAAGTCGCATGTCTACATAATTATGTTGCATCTTGCATCTACAAAGTCAGATACGGACATAAATAAGTAAATTTACACATATTTAAATTTACTTGTCTCATAAGATCATTAACTTGCATGTCAACATGATTACTTGCATGCTGACAAAAATATATTGCATGTCAACTTAATAATGTTGCATGTGAACATAATTTATATTGCATGTAGGGGGCAGAACTATGCCACCATACACTGCCCATTCAAAAAGATTTTACCTCCCTAGCTGGAAAATAACAGAATTTGTTACATGTACAGATGATGGTAGGGGTAACGGTGATAAGTGATAACCAATCCCTTTTTATGAATTATACAATAAAATATGTTCAAAACAACGGTGATAAGTATTTTGCCGGAATTTAAGGGGATAACTTGCACTGAAAATGCTTCAATTTTTTCGTAAATTGAAATTCGAATTCCCCTTCATAAAATTTACTACTTAAAAAAATTACCTACAATGATGTGTGCAAATGTGAATACATGTATCAATATACTTATTTAACCTTTTTTTTTAGAGAGAGAGAATGTGTAGCCTAAGGCCATGTAAGGTTTTATTGTACGACTGACAAATGCTTCGTAAACATGGAAATAAAATCTCGGGCGCTGGGCTACTGGTATGTTGACATGCAGTACAACTGAATACGTTGACCCAATCTCACACATGGACAATCCTTATTGAAATTCGGAGACCCGTGAAGTTTTTAAAAGTTGGGTTCAAATAAAAGTCAGGTAATGTTATCTAAATTATTTTGCCTTGGATGTCTTTTTGACTCCATAAATTGATGAAACAGCACAGGATCTTTGAAAATAAAATCCGTGTCAAATTAACTTAGAAAAATTTCCACGAGAAACTTTGACCATTTTTTAAAAATAACAAAATCTTTAATTCCTCCGAAAATCATGTTGCTTTGTCTGTTTTAAGACAGTGAAATTCTTATAGATGGACGTTTGTCCTTTATGTTCATTTAATAGATAGAAGAAAAAAAAATAAATGTTGATTTTATTACATTGAAGAGGGCAAACATACTGTGGGAAAAGAAGAATTTATTTACTGTGCGTGTAAACGAATATTTAAATAGCTATTAAAAGTTATAACACTTGAAAATTTTATGAAACAGCGGCAGAGAACAGGAGCCGTTTCTGGAATATAGGCTGAACCCAACATCATGTCAGACGACACAGAAAAGAAATCCAAATATGGCTGCCTAAGCATTCGACCAGGGTAAGTTCTCCATAAGTTAGATGTAATTTTTGTCTAACCCTGTTTTTATAGTACGTCAAAAGTAACGTCTAGGAAATGAAAGGTTACATGTATTAGGGATGAACATTTCTACTGACGTTCCGCACGGTGTTAGTTGCTGTCAGTTTCGGTAACGTCAAAATGACGAAGTTCTAGAAAATTAATTTGACGTTACTCTTTTGCTAGCATTTTTTATGAAGAAAAAATAAAAACCCAATAATACCGCCAGTTATATAATGCAATTCATTGAAAACACATGTAATTAGATTTTATGCCCTTTTGCATGCATATTGCGGGAGGAGAATATAAGCATGATTTGCCTAATTTAATAAAAAGCTTGGTAGAAATAACAAAACTTGTTTGACATCACATTTTAATTTTACATGCTTTTTATTTGAGATAAATTCAAAACAATTCCATATCATATCAGTAGGTGCTAGTACCTGTCCTTCGTTTCAGTACATTGTGTGATTGTAGATATGTTGCTTATATAGCTTTGAATTATTTTTTTCATTCAAAGTCCCTATCCCCAACCCATCTTCAACCCCCACACTCACATAGACCCTTTCATGCTGAGTATTTTTTGGTTCCATAGATCTTTCAAATAATTCAGTTAAAAGAAAGTTAGGAAACGAACCTGAGAACCCCTCCCTGACTTTAAGTTTTCAATGAAAAGGATTTTCGATGTGGTGCAGTTTCGAAGTTTCGTATTTCTTAAAAAAAATGTTTTTGTAAACAAAAATGGAAAATACGTATCATTACACTTATAATACAAAATGGTTATTGGTACTCATATCTTGTTTAACTTATAATGAGGTCCATTTGGCAAACCTTGGGTGTTTCAGGTGCTCATCAAACTACATGTATATCAAAGGTTAAATTAGATGAGGTACATGTATGAACCAGTCGAAGTGTGCCAAGCGTGATGAAGTATGTTAAACGATGCTATCGGGTTAATAACAAAATGAATATTGACATATGTTCAATACTGGACTACCGAATGTAAACTCCCGTGTTGAACGCTTTGCCAGCATCAAATATAGAGTTGACAAACTTTATTGTCAGGGAATTCAAATTTGAAAGGAAATTAAATTTTGACGTGTGACTTTTATCTCGTTTTTTTTTTCAAACTACGGATGATGAGACTTTTGGACAGATCCTGACAGGGATTTTTTTTTATTGGCTCTTTCTTCATATACAAAATTATAAAATAGAAAAGCATGCAATAAATTCAACTATAGACAATAACATCTATCTACATCTTATAGGACAATGTTTCTGATTTATAATCATTAAAAATTATTGTGGAGCTTACTATCTACATAATTTTATACAAATTAACTGTTCATTGTTTTTACAAAGAATCTTTTACAGAGGAAATTACATTTTGATTTTGACACTTAATTGAATGGCATAATATATAAAAAAATATAATAAATTCCAAGATAATGATTATAATATATCTAATATTGGTTGCCAGATTTCATTAAAATTATCTAAATTACTATTTGAGCAATACACTTCTTTTTTAAGCAGTAATTTCTTTTTCAACAGTTAAAAAGTTGTGAAACTCTGGTACTTTTCTAACGATATCCAAATTAGATACTGACACCCAATTTATTTATGACTTTGCAAGCAAAATGCAGTAATTCAAACAGTCAATTTTCTCTCATATAGACCTAAAATAACATTTTGCAAAAAAGATTTTCTACATTGAATATATGTAGATCATTCCACCATGTTAGAAAATGGTTCCAAAAAGTTGCAACACAAGTACAGTAATAAAATTTGTGTTCTAAAGTATCTTCTTTTTTTTACAAAATAAACATTGTGGTGAAGTTTGAATTTTCATTTGAAAAAGTAGTTTATTATGTGATAAAAATCTATGAGTTAGCTTATTTTGAAAAGACTGTAATGATGTTTCAATAGACACACAAAAGGTAGCATAACATTTTTTTCTAAGTCTGCAGGGTGAAAAGTTTGTGTTAAATATTTTCTCCCATTTTTGTACACATGTTGGTACTTCATTTAGACTTTCTACTATAATCCAGTAAAAGTCTTTACAAGATTTTTTTGACAATGGACTTATTTTATCATTGAATCTTAAGATCAAAGAATCTCTATTGATTGAAACTTTTTTGTTTTGCCTTATGTATTTTTTCGCCAATGATATGGAATGGCATTCCTTAAACAAAAGTAATCAAAAAAAGATACATTTAAGTCATACAGTTTACCTACTTCCTCATGACTTAAAAAATCATAATTATCACCTAAAATATCTCCAATATATAAGACTCCTTTTGTGTACCATTTTTTCCAGAACACAGTATCATTATTGATTTTAATGTTATCATTGAACCAAAGAGCTTCTTTAAAAATTTTTGGTTCAATATCAATATCATTACATCTTAGTTGTGTCCATGTTTCAAAAATTTCTCTGTAAAATTGTGGTAATGTTAAATATGCATATAGCCTATTTAAACAACCTCTGCTAATTATAAAATCATTTAATACTATATCCTTCAGGTAAGATTGAATTGTACTTCTGCATCTTGCTTTTGTATTACTGAATATCCTTCTAACCCAACCAAGTTTTAATGATTTCATTTGTGCTTCAAAATTAGGAACTTTCAATCCACCCTTATTAATTTTTTGGCAAGATACTGAACTTTTAACCTTTGGTTTTTCATTATTCCATACGAACTTATTCAGTTCTTTAGACACTTCCTTTATCATTTGTGGGGGAAGTAGAAGTACTTGTGCTTAATATACTATTTTAGATATTGCTAAAATTTTTACTATTAGAATTTTGCCAATAAGTGTTAAGTTCCTCATTTTCCATAAATTCAAAGTTGCTTTTAGTTCATCTAATTTTGTATTTAAGTTTTTAGAAAAAGAAATTTTTGTTCCCCACTTGAACTTCCAAATTCCAAGAGTAAAAAAATCACCTTTTGGCCATTTTACTGGCAAGATTCCTGGTTTGAAATTTTTATTTTTCCTATCCAAATTGCTTCAGTCTTATTCAACTTAATTTTAATAGAACAATGCTTAAAATTTTGAATAACATTTAATATTTCAATTCCTGATTTTTCATCACTTAGAAAACATGTAGTGTCATCTGCTAACTGGCTAATCTTAAATCCAGTCTTCCCTATTTATACTAGTATGTTGCGCATATTTTTATTTGCTCTTATAGCTATTGCAAGCAATTCAACACATAAAATGAACAAGTACGGTGATAAAGGGCATCCCTGTCTTACCCCTCTACTTAATTTGAAAAAGATGTTGCATATCCATTGTTTATGACACTACTAGATATGTCTGTATACAGGATTTGAACCCAATGCCTGAAACTTTCACCACCCCAAATATTTCTAAAGCTTTATCAATGAAACACCATTCTACTGTATCAAATGCCTTTTCAAAATCTACTAAAAGAATTAGTCCAGGGGGGGGGGGGGGGGATATTCTTGATACTAAAATAATTTATAAGATCAGAGATAGTTCTTGATATTAATTAAACATTTTTGATATAAATCTATTTTCTAAATATCTAGTTTGGCCAGATTCTGTTAAATGAGTTAAATAAGTTTTCATCCTTTTTGCCAATGCCTTTGATAATATTTTAAAATCAAAATTTAGAAGAGATATTGGTCTCCATTTTTTTAACAAAGTTCTATCCTTATCTTTTTCTGGAACTATCGTCAGGGAATTCAATTTTGAAAGGAAATTAAATTTTGCTCAGTGTGACTTTTATCTCGTTTTTTTTTTCAAACTACGGATGATGAGACTTTTGGACAGATCCTGACAGGGATGTTTACTGATGCAGAATATATCAGTCAGATAAGATCAATCATTATTGTTTCCTTTTGTTAATCCATATCAGGCTTATCAACCAGAAAATAAGTTAAAAAATTTATATGCTCCTTGACACCTTCCGAAAATGAATTTTTTTAATAAACCGACCCTGTCTTAATATGTTTTAACCTTAATTGCTCAGCCATTTTGAAACTTTGAACGCTCAAATTTTGCAGGTTTAAAGTAACTGTTGTCGATCTAATTATGTAAAAGTCATCCAGATTTCCGCGGAATTTTATAACAGACAAATGAAATTTATAAAGTGATGAATAACTTTTTGATTAAAATTTTGCGGTGCTCCGGGACTACATTCCAAGTCTAATTATGAAGCCATAATTGTAGTTAAACATTTGAAATGGAATAAATATTTACATTTTTCAATTCAAATTTAGTTAAGGATTAGAAATATATTAAAAATAAATATCAATGACACAACTTTTATTTAATTTTTAGCTTGTCCACGAACTTTACGGACAACCCTCGTAATGACGTCAAAACGCCTTATTTCTAACGTGTGTGACATAACATGTTGACATTAATTTTTTATTAGGATTTTGTCACCATTCTATTGAAATTATTTTGGAATATATCAATAACTTTTTGAAGAGATGCACATTTCATAAAAATCCTCTAATTTTGAATACATGTATGTCTATTTTTAATGACTACACATATGGTTAATGTCACCACAGATAACTTGGCAACATTTTGTAGAATTTAAAATAATTTTCAATAATTATTTTTTTTACTCAACATTAAAAAAATTGCCATTTAACGAATCTTAAAAACTGTGTGACATTGAACCTCCAAACTTTGTATCACACGATCTCATTCCTCACAGTAAATCGGCTTCATATCAGAAACCCAACATACAAATCGACACAAAATATCAGTCTACTTTAAAATATAGTTTCTTGCAAATAAAAAGGATCATTGAGATGCAATTTCAAAATTAATTTAGCTCATGAAATTATTGTTCTAAGTTACCGATGACATTCTATGTTCCTTCCACATGTCTTCGGATAACGCTTGTCTACATCTCTGTCTTGCATGTTGAACAACGCGTTCACACCATTCCGATTGAACAACATCACAATTGTAAGAATTAACATCATTTACATCATATTTTGAACTTTTCTGCTAAATTTTATGTTGGTGTTGTTTGTTTTATGGAAATTATCAATATTTTTGTTTTTGACGTAATTGATTGAATAGCCGAATCAATATAGATATATTTGATAAATGGAATTTTTTGATCAATATTTTTGTTAAAATGTATTAATTATACAATTACCGACCGAATAATATATGGTTTTCATGAATTGTTTTAAAATTATGAAAACAGCGCAAATGCCGCCACAATACTAATTTTTGACTTTTTTACACCAACACCGTGCGCGACGTCACTATAATTTTAACATTTTTGCACTATTAGTTGAGTTGGATTCTAATTTTTCCTTTTCGTATGGTGTTATCATATGCCAGGCCCGTAATTTGCAGGGGAGGTGGCGGAGGGGGGCGGGGGCTGAGAATAGTCTGGTTGATGCAGCCACGGGCATGTATATGAAATTACTTCATTTATCAAAAATAAAGTATCAAACACCAAAAAGAGTACATATACACACTCTTCGTTTTTCCAGCTGCCTTCAGTTCGTTAACACGATTAGATGGCACGTACTATTTCATTGTATCTTCTCGTTCTGTGAGGGGTTCATCGTCAATGGTGTCATCAACATAATCATCGTCACGTTAGAGAAAAGATATGAATTGTCCAGTAAGGAGTCGGGCATGATCGCCTCGGCCAATGATTTCGGAGCTGCAGCTCTACTTATGATTGTGGGGTATTTGGGGACTTATGCCAATAAGCCTCGTCTAATGGGAGCTGGGATGTTTTTGATGTCTATAGGATGTTTGGTGTTTGCTCTACCGCAGTTCATCGGAGAAAAATACACTTACACCATATCAAGTAAGTTATTCACTCTTATTCCATAAAGAAATAAGCTATTCGAGCATCAGCTTTTCAAACGAATTTGACACTTACCATTTGAGAGTTTGCATTCAATTATTCATGTAGGTGCAGGGGAAAACTCTACCGATAACGTCTGCGTTGCGACCAATTCAAGCACTGCAACTTGTTCAATTCAAAGTTCGAAGCAAAATTACAAAGGCTACTACTCCATGTTGTTGTTGGGTAATGCACTCATCGGTATCGGAGCAGTTCCATCGTTTACGCTGGGAATAACGTACATCGAAGAGAACAGTAAAACCAGGAACTCTCCCTTCTACTTTGGTACTACCTCCTCTCTTACTCGACACTAGCACAGTATATTACTAGTACCGTAATGCCAAAGTTCTTCTGTATACATAAAAGAACCCAAAAGAACAAAATGATTAATTGTTCTATAGGAATTTTAATTTCTTAAATGTGTCTCGAAAATCCCGAAAATAGAATGAAAATGCTTTTGTAATACAATACTAGTATTTACGAGTAGATTGTGGTTTTGTAGGTTGTACGTTTTGTTGCGCGGCGCTTGGTGTTGCTGTAGGCTACATTGTAGGGGCACAATCTTTGTCCATATTTGTAGACGTGGATAAAGTGGACATAAGCAGGTAAAATTAACCTACATACATTAAATTAGTTTTCGTTAAAGGTTACATTTATCTGAATAGATTATTGACACCAATTTGATTTTTTAGTCTTTCTCTGAGTCCACTGAGCCCACAATGGGTAGGAGCCTGGTGGATCTGTATTTTGGCGGGAATGGGAGGGTTTATATTGGTTTTGTTTCCTATAATCGGATATCCCAGAAGACTTCCAGGTAGTATAAACCTTGTATAAATAAAATCAATATAATTCCTGAAGTTCTATTTCATGCTTTTTCTCTGTTCAAAAAGTGTTTGCTGAATATATATTTCATTTTACCTTGTACGAGGAACAATATGCGATGAAATGTTTGCAATGTTCAATTAGGTTACGATGAACTGCAGAAAGAAAAAGTTTCAGAAGCTCAAACCAATTCTGAGAAGGTCTACAAAGAAAAAGAGGAATTTGGCAAGAGTATAAAACATCTTCCAAAATCTCTCTTACTACTAGTATGTAAATCTTTCTCGTTGATTTTTTTTTTTCAAATTTGGATGTAACACATATTGTTTTCAAATGATTTTGATATATGCATACTTTATATATTATTATTTATATTTATAAATCTTTCTTTGTCTGATTTGAAAAAAAATCATTACAGGCGAAGAATCCAGCCTTCGTTTTCATCATCCTTGGGGGAACTGTTGAAATCTTTATCATCGGCGGGTTAGCAACATTTGGCGCGAAATTGTTCCAAGAATTTTTTAATGTAGATATATTGGAAGCCGGAAATCTCATGGGTAAAAACATGAAATATGTATTAGTCTCCAAAAAGTGTTACACTTGAAAAAAAAATAAACTGATCATGATCATTTGTTAATTTCAAGGTTTCATCACTGTACCTGGATCTGCGGGTGGTATGCTCTTTGGAGGTTATGTTGTGAAAAAGTTCAACTTGAAATGCCGAGGAATAATTCGCTTCAGCTGCGCATGCTTGTTTTTCTGCATGTTACTTGGCCCCTCATTCCTGGCTACTTGTCCAAGCCGCCCTATAGCTGGCGTGTCAAGGACATATCCATCAACTGGGTGAGAGAAGTATTATCATTAAACTGAACTCGCTAAATAAAAACGATCAGAATGGACGTTTTTTGACCATTTAGCAAAGCTCTCCTGAAGCAACTATTAATTAACCGCAAAACAAGAGAATTATTTAAGCTGATGTACGTCCTTGAAAAGTAAAATCTTCTCCAGACAATATTATTTTTACCCAATACAACCCTTTAAAGTCATGACAAGCCTTGCTTCGCTGGCCTTAAACTGTTCTACTATTGATGTCTGAGGAAGTTTGTAGTTTGGCTGATCTGCTGTACAAGCCCATTGATCCAAACCTTTGTGGTGCTCCAAACCATTTCATGATCGAGGTGTTTATTGATGATTATCTCAAATTGTTCAACTGTTGATATTGGTATCTCGTACAGCATTAATGGCCAAGCCAAGCGTGGAAAGAGGCCATGTTGGTGAATCCATACCTTGAGTTTCTCTGGTAATCCTGAATTGTCTGTGTTCCTCATCCCTTCTATTACTTGTTCTATTTTTAAATGTTGGCTTTATCTCCAAGTGTTTCGTCAAACCATTTGCGTAAGCACTTTGTAGGGTTTCCGATAAAAGATGAAATATTCTATCCCTAGATTGTAAACTCATTTGAAACTCCTTTTCCCTTTCTTTACTATCAAGGATCTTAACTTCTTAGGTTTGAAAAGGTCATTCTTGCCCATGATGCTGCTTTTTCTAGAGCCTTTAGAATCTATCTTGCTTGGATAATTATGGATGTCTGTTGTTATTGTAAGATCATCCATGAAACCTCTGTATGGTGTTTTTTCTCTCCGGCCTTGATGGTCATATTCATATCCATTACCAACAGGAGCACTGAGATGGTGCAACCTGTCAAAATTCCCTTCTGCAGTTTCTGTCAAGATGTTGTATAGCTGGCTGTTTTGAAGCGTAGGTGTATCCCACTGAAGTAACTTTTGATCAAGGCTTGTTGGTAATTAGAAATATCTTAAAAGTTGTATTAACCATCAACAGTTACCATAAAATGGCTCAAGTTTGGATTCTTGTTTTTTTTTTTTAATTTAAACAGGGATTCGTCTTTTATTTCCTCGTGTAACTCCGACTGTGGATGTTCTACAAAAGGATACGAGCCAATCTGCGATGAAAACCAAATTGTGTATTTTTCTCCATGCCATGCTGGATGCAAAAGTATCACCACTTTAAATGAAACCAAGGTAGTAAAAATACGTTTGAATAAGATTTTAAGTATTATGTAAATGATTGATAATGAATATGTTCTGTATTGTTATGTCTATGAACTCACCATCACAACTTAATAAAATAAATGTAGCCCTTCCGGAAATTCTTGTCTGTCCTGTCTTTCATCACTTTCATAAAGATAATCGAATTCTAAAGCATTTTGCAGACAGACAGACAAATTGAAAAGCTTAGATAATAATACAATCTTCCTCAAACTTTATCAGCAAAAATAAAATAAATATTTTTCTACCAGATATATCAAGACTGTTCCTGTATAAACAGCAGTGCCCCGTCCATGGTTTTGAGAAGTGGGACGTGTTCGGGAAGATGTACTTGGTTTTATGTGTTTTGTGTTCTCTTGTTTTTGATGATGTTTTTGACATTTTCTACAACCTCACCAACACTGACAGCAATGTTCAGGTAAGTATATCATGAAATAAACTTTTGTTTGGACAAGGTTTTTAATTTTTTTAAATATATGTTTTAGCATGTTTTGTTTGTTTTCTTTTTTGCATAGATATATATGTATTTTCATATTGACTGAGTAAAAATGTCTTGAAAAAAGCGATTCTTTGGATTTGTTTTTAAGAAAATCGGCGTGACTTGGGTTTTAGAATGGTTGCCATATGACAAGTTTCTGATTTTGCCTAGAATTAAATTGAAGATTACTTTATCCAATATTTACCGCTCATCAAAGTAAAAGAGTACATTTTCAGATGTATTCCACAACAGCAGCGTTCCCTTGGACTTGGAATACAGTTGACTTTTGGTCGACTTCTAGGTAAGTAATTGCATTGTATTGACATCATAAACATAAACGTACATGTACCTTTAAACGTTTCTTTTTCAACAAATGAAATGCCATCAACTTATTTATTATTGATTAGGAACGCTACCTGGACCAATATTCCTGGGAGCCATTTTAGACAGCACTTGTTCGGTGTGGCAGGATAATTGTGGGGTACGTGGATCCTGCTGGATTTACGATAAATGGCCGCTAGGTCTTCGTCTTATGCTGTGGTGGATGGGAACAAAATTCACTGGAGTTGTTCTTCTTTTCATTGCATCTCTTGTGTACAAACCAGAGGTGGCAGAAGATTCTACAAATGCAGTGGAAGTGAAGAATAATAACGCAGAGAAAGCAGGGACAGACAATCCCGTCTTCAATATTTTTGACGAGAAGAAGTGTAATACTAGGTTATGAGAGAGAGAGAGTGTGTGTGTGTGTGTGAGAGAGAGAGAGAGAGATGTGTGTGTGTGTGTGTGTGTGTAGAGTAAGAGAGAGAGAGAGAGAGAGAGAGTTATATAGAGAGAGAGAGAAAGATATTTATCAATGGGAATGTATTTGTTTTTTCTTCCTTGTTCGTGCATGTGTGTCATCGCGCGAAAACTTTATTGTGTAACAAGATCAAGCAGCAAATTCAAACCCAGAGGTAATGCTATCTGAAATAGGATGCATACATATGCATTCATACATGTACACTAATTTCTATTGGAACTACGAGGGTTGATTCAAAAGTAATGTTACAAACTGCCATAAATATTTAAAAATTAAATGTTAAGGTATACCTTTACTCAGTTGACAAAAAAAAGATTCCACTGATAGGAACGAAAAACCACCTTTTGCACATTGTACACCTATGATTCTTGTGTTAAATTTCAATTTCAAATAACTAGGTCATGCAATGACCAACTTTTCATGCTAGTGGCCCTTATGTCACTCGTCAGCTTTTTAGAAAAGTTGACGCAGATCCTCTTGCGTCAAAACTATTTATTAATTTTCAATTTTTATAACATATTTAAATTCAACAATGTTAATGTTTTAACATTCAACGAAAAAAATGCTCAAAAAGCTACAAAAGCTCACACAATAATTTACGCGCATTAATTTGCAAGAATTTTTTTTCTATGATTAATATTATTCAAACTATTTAAGGTAAAATAAAATTATATTTATAGCCATGGTTACATCTGATAAATTATGACAAAGGTTAAAGTAATTTACCAAAGAGTTAAAGTTTAAGTGCAAAAAGGTCAACTTATTTGTACCGTAGATCAGTAAGATGCACACCGACCCCCTATTTTGTCTGCGATTTTGAGTCACACTGTATGAGTACTTATCCAAAATATACTTCTCAAAAAATCCTTGATTGAACAAATTTCACGAGTGACATATCTTAAGTATTTCTCGGAAAATACCCCAATTTTTCACACTATGACCATTTCTTTCTTTACTCACAATATATTACAGGCAACAAAACTCCTTAAATAATGAAATATTATAGGAAAGGAACAGCGTTGCTTCATATAAATAAACGATTAGAATCATACACTTATTTATTATTACAGTCCGAATTTCCTCTGTCATATTTCTATTTTCCCCATTTGTAATCAAGGAAGGATATGGAGATAACGAACAGTATTCAATATCAAAGTCCATAAAACAATACAAAATAGGAGCAGAGCAAACGCGGACCTCCGAAACACCAGAGGTGAGATCAGGTGCCATGGAGGAGTGAGCTGACCGGTCACACCCGCCGTGTGCTCATTGTCATGATCGTGAAATAACTGAAAAATCTGTCGTTAATTCAGTGTATAAATAATGGACTAACAATTGGTATGAAAAACGTCAGTCAGCATATGACTAATTGATAAATTGTATTTGCTGACAAGGTCATTGTATCGACCATAGAACTTACGAAATGATGACTTTAAACGAGACTGCTGATATTTTTGTTTCATTAACTTGCTTGTCAATAATTTACCTCGTTTTAAAAATTGTTCATACGTAGAGTATGCTCTTGCGTATCGAATCAACTGAGATATATATTGCTGCATAAGTAAGGGAAGTTGACGATAGAAAAGTTGAAGTCGTCACGTTTATCATATAACTTGGTTGTTAGGTTACCATTAACGTCTTTTCAAGTCAAATATCAAAGTATGAAACAGATGTGTCAGACTCTGTGGTATCTTTTATCTCAAGCTCTCCTGGATATATCGTATCGACGTAGGAATGGAAATTACCATTGTTAATTGACAATACGTCGTCGATATATCTGAAGGTCGAGTTGAAGGCCACAGCAAGTGTTTTCTTCTTTTTACGCATAAGATTTTGCATAAATTCTGCTTCATATGAATACAAAAATAGGTCTGCAAATAACGGAGCGCAATTGTTCCCATGGGAATTCCAATAGATTGTTGGAAGACCTGATCTCCAAAAACCACATAGATATTGTCAATCAAAAACTCATACGTCTTCTTGATGTCAACTTCAGAGTACTTGTGTGTGCAATCAGAATCTTTTTTAACAAAATAATTTTGCATATGACCAGTGACCAGGTAAGTAAAATTACGAGTTCCATTTTTATTGAAAAAGCAACTGTCAATTATATCAAAAAGCCTGGATTTAAATTTATCGTGGGGAATAGAAATATTACAAAAATCTGAATGGTAAGAACTCAAAATCATTTATAACCTCAGGTTACTTTTGTTGCCCTGATTCTAATGGTGCTAATATTATATGAGGTCAATGATCAAATTATTGAGATAAGTTGTCTGGAATGGTTTTTGTTCACATTTTTAAATTTCTTTATTTCATAGCATTCAATTATTTGAAATAATTCATGAGCGTTAACATATAATATTTGCAAATTGATGTTTAAAAATACATGTAACCTTTCATATATTTGATATTAAAAATGAGAATTTCCTCTGCATTACCGTTTATTAACCTTTGTTCCTGTATATATTCTTCAAATAATAAGATATAAAATTTTGACTTGATTAGAATTAAAACTTGGTTATTTTATCATTCGTTTAGAATAATTTTTGATTTAACATATTGTACTTCATAAAATTTCCTTTCTGTCTTCTGAAACTTGAGTAAACGTCATCCTTGCGCAACAAAAATTGACGTACTACTATCCCTATCTATTTAAATAATTTGCCAAAAATTTCATTCGATTAAATTAAAACAATAAGATGAATATCACGTTAAGTTTTGTCTACTGTCGGATGGCAAAAATATTACCGATGTCATAATGACGTTACTTTTGGCACTCATTCAGTTCATTTCTATATCTTTTACTGCTATTTTGCTATAAGCTGATGAGCTGTAGCTTTAAGATCATTTAATAAATGAAGTATTCGATTTTTTTTGGTAGATTCAAAATGAGTGCAAAGTGAAACGTCAGAACAACCAATCCTCGTATAAAACCTTTCTTTTAAACATAAAACAGTGTTATCACGTTTTCATATTTCCATATTGACTGTATTGAAAATTTACGAAGAGACAGGGATATTAAGTTAAAGAAAGTATACTTATAAAAATGTTCAAGTCTAGTACGTTTTCAAAGGAAAATTGATAAGAACCCAAATAAGATGTGATATTAATAGAAATATTTTTTAAAGGTCTCTCTTTGAATAAATGTTGATCCAGATGAAATATATGTAAACAAACTCTGACAAAACTATTTAGTTCACAAGGAATTCCAGTTTTCTTTCTTTTTATTTTTTAAATATAAAATTATAATCATTATTTAGATTGAATTTTTACATCTGCTTATATCTTTATCTTTTCTTGTTAAAAAGTTATGCGATTCTTCAAATAATAAAACCCTTGCGTTTTAAAATAAGAAAGAGAGGGACAAACTTTCGTTTGAGGTACCTTTCAGTGTACTTTCTTTCCTTCCCACTTTAAATTATTTTTGTAATTTGGAAAAGCAGTATGTTCTATGGGATGTTTTCTTGCTTCATATACACAACAGGACATTTTTTAAAATCATATTTTAATCAGTCTAACGGCGAGAAGATAGCAAACATAATAGATATGTGAAGTGTACTACAAAGTATGTATGAAATCTTAGCTATATTAGCAGTATTTCTAAGAATATTTGGGGGGGATACCGTAAAAAAACAAGTAATCTCGATCTTATATTGAAAATGAATTATGTTTCTATGACATTCTATACTTTTTAGCCTTTCAAATGCATATATCCTGTTTTGCACTTTTTCTCTCATCTGCCTTGTACATGTCAATCAATTTTGCGATGGTTCTTGAATTTAAGTGCGAAATAGTACTGAATTCACTAAAATTATTCAGAATTTTTCAAACTTTTCAATATGATATTTTACGGAACAGAACAGAACAGATCATCTCAAACCATTCTGTACTGTAATGTGTCCATCTCTTTGGTCAGTCAGAGCATAAAGTATGCAGCTCTCAATGTTTGACGAATGTGTAAAGCAATTATTCTGAAATCAACAGTCTTTGAACAATGAATTTTCTGGACCACCCTCACAATTAAAAAAGTATTCTTCTTTAAATCAACTCAAAATTCCTACAGGTGGCATTCAAAGTGAACCGATAATATTATACATTGTACAGTACAACAACACTACTTTTGGTGAACTCTCTTATTGTCACGCCCAGTATTGTTGTCTGGACAACTTATTTTTTCTTCACTAAGGATTTTAAACAAAATGCCAAAACGAAAGTTCGGTTATCATATTAGTTATCTACCAGAACAAGAATTAGAAGTGTATTATAATGAGATAAACAAACGTTAAAGTAAAAACTATCCGAAATGTCACTGGAAGAACATCAGTCCGAGGTATGTTATATTAATTCCAAAGTAGTGTACAGTTCTCATTAAATTAATTTTCCTTTCAATAAAGTTTTACAACCGTGCACGATTGATCTTTTGCAATTAGTATATTAAAAAAAAATGAATTTGTAATTTTTGCTTGTTTTTTTAAGTATAATATTATTTTCTTTTACCCTCAAGAAATTAATGCCAATGAGCAAAGCGAACCAAGACAGAGGGAAAAGTGATGAAGTGGATAAGAAAATAGAACCTTATGGTTTCTGTTGTTTTAAACCGAGGTAAGGATTTCAGTTTAAAATTTATGGAACGCAAATTGCTGCTCAAAGACCTTATGTCTCTCTTTTCTATATTTCATCTTCAAAAATTTATGGAACGCAAATTGCTGCTTATAAAGGCCTAATGTCTCTCCGTTCTAAATTTCATCTCAAAAATTTAAGGAACGCAAATTGCTGCTTATATGTCAGGGCTGTTCAATAAATTATGTCCCGAGCTTTATGACATACAATAAAGAAATCATATTACATTAATCTTGACTTTCTCTCATGAATGAATCTTTAATGAATTGATTAGTTTTTTTACCACTGTTCATCACATAGTTTTATTGTGAGAAGATGGGAAATAAGGGCTATTCGAGAC